ACGCAATCCCTAATTGGTGGTTTGGGTTGGCGGCTTGAGGATTTAAACCCTTGGTTCTTGTGGAGGGTACGTGAGGGTTTACCCAGTTCACCACCAAACCACCGATTCGGCCCCAAACCACCAATTGGAGGGAAGCCTAATGTTGACGTTACTCTGTTTCTTCACTGTTCTTGCCATGTTTTTTGGTCTTTCAGTTTTTGGGTTCTGTTCCTTTTTACAGCCCATATTGCTTATTTTTGCAGCCCATATTGCAAGACCACACAAGACTGTTTTGCAGCCCATATTGCTCCCAATCAGGGACCGAAGCGGCGAAGCCGGGCCACGCGAGCTTCGCGGCGCCCGGCCCTAAGAGCGCGACGTTCGACAAAGAGAGCCGAACTGAAAGTAAACATGTTTTATTACTGCATGTATGCAATATTTACCCTCAAAATTGGTCAAATGTTGATATACATTACATGGAATGTGTGGGATAGATTGATTTCTCGCGTTGTGTTAGACTTCTGAAGTGCCAGCATGTGATTCTCATGTCAGTATGTCCCGCGATGAGAGGAAGTGATAAAGACCGCTTGGATCGAAGCGACAGGACACATTGCCACAATCATCGGCATTCTGGGTCCTGGTTTCCTGAAAAAATGCATTTCCTGAAGAAAAACTCATGCTTGCAATAAATTGAGCTCATGGAGATTGGGATGCTTGCGGGTGTGCGGCCACAAGATTTGGGGATGAAACCAAATTAGTGAAGCATCAAACAACAACTGATTGGGCATCAAGCATGTCTCATTAGGCATCAAGCAACAAACATGGGATTTCCATAGCAGCTGCGAAGTACAAAAGGGAAGGAAGGGGAGGGGGAAGGCGAAGCGGACGGGGAACTGGCAGGGGAACGGTAACGGGAACGGGATGCGGTTGACCCCCCCAGCCCTGCAAACCAACCCACCCCAAACAAGCCCTAAAGAAACCAACCCCAGCCCTAGGTTTGTTGATGAGGCGGGGTGCAGGCTTAGTACTTGTAGCAGAATGTTGCCCAAGAAGCTTGTGCGATGCTGAATATGCTTGTTTCAGGATTGTTGGAAGTGCCGTACGTGTTTGTTTTCTGCATAATAATTCCATTGGATGCTTCAACCCAAGATCTGCGGAGGGACCAATTTGGTTGTTGAGAGCTCGGACGTCTCAGGTTCGACCCTCCAGGAGTGGAGCCGGAGTTTGGGCCGTCAGCTATGCCAGTCGGGAGATCGGAGGTCGGAGTCCATTGGATCAGCTTCTGCTGGTTCAGAGCCCGGTGGTGTGGTGGTTAAGGAAGTGCAAAGCCCATTTACCCTCCACAACATCCAGGGGTGCAACCCCCCAAACCAGCAATGCAAACCGCCAAGGAAGGGTTACCTGATAGGAGAGTATGCAAGGAAACAGCCTGTTGGAGAGCAATTGAAATGCAGGCAGGTGTTTCGGAGGCTACTGATTATCCCCATTTGGTGGCGTTCAACCTCACCTTTTGTAAATTGGGTTTGCGCATGTCCTCTTGGTGGGGCTTCCCGGTTTCACGTTGGAAAAGCCGGGTCCTGAACATGGGCGGCCCTGAAAAAATGTCTGGCAATACCCCAAGAAGGGCACCCAACGAGACATGGGCCTCACTTTCCGAGCGTGGTATTCTTGCGGCTAGAAGGGGAACGAGGGATACCCCAGGCCTTCCATTGAGCTGAGCTTCAGAAATCCGCCCTTGGCCCGTAACCCAGGCGTTTCAGTGGGGGGTCCCCCCAAAAATGTGCGGCCAGAGCTTCGGAGGGCCTTTCCGTCCGCCAGTTCCACCAAGGCCGCGGCCCAAGCCGGGAGGCTCAGGGGAGCTTACGGATGGGGGCGAAATCCTAGGCACCGCTGAAGAAAGAAATGGTTGAAGCCATTGTTTGTTGGTAAGAAACAGGAGTGTCATATATCATGCCATGGTTTCTGGATGCGAAATGGATTTCGCAACCATCTACAGTAGCAAATATAGCCTGTTTAGTTGGAGAATGTAGTTGTTTGTTGGAGGAAGCCCGTTTTTGGGGTTGGTATTGGACACCAAATGGATTCCCCGTTTTGGCATCAGCTTCTGGCCCGAGGCCCTGGCCAAGGCTGCGTGGAGTGCAGCGCAAGTGAGGGGCTTAGGGCGAAGGGTCCGGGCCCTTCGATTTTTGTTTTTCGTTTTTTGTTTTTGTTTTTTTTTTTGCCGGGTGGGGCGGGGGGTGGTTTAAAGCTTTCAACATTTTTCAACCAAAACAGAGGGTTATGTTGCTGGTGCGATAGGTAGGGAATGACCCAGGGTGTTAGGAATGCACCTCCCTGGGTTCCCTTAAAGGAAACCGCAAGGGATGGTTTATAGGGTTCATTCCCTCGTTCCCTGCTGAGAACCAGAGAGTTATGTTGACGCCACTTCTTGTGGCCCCATTGGGGCCACGGCAGCGTGCAGGTCCGTGGAGCTCGAGCTGGAAGAGGGTCAGGCGCCCCAATGTGCGCAGTTCTGTTTGAAACCGGTTTCTTAGGTGGTGCGAAATGGATTTCGCATTCATCCCCAGCAGGGACTCCTTGTCTGGGATCGTCAAAACACACACCCACGTGTGGTCCAGGAACCTACTTTTCTTGGGGTTACTCGGTTACTAGGAATTTTCATGGACCCCTCGGGAGTTTGGACCAGTTTGTAAGGCGCCTGGCGCCATTCCGAGGCGGACCTGTGAGGTCACATTCCTACAGCGACAGCGTGCCTGCAGCTCAGCCCTCGCAAATCAAGCTCGGAGAAGTTGTGAAGACGGAGCCACAACTAGGTCCCCCAGCTAGGTGCCCTTCTCTCCCCTTTTTTAGGGGGGGTTCCCCTACTACAATAGACTACAGAAAAAGGGTCCCCTTATTTTAACCTCTCTACAAAGGCAGAACAAGGGGTCCAATGAGGGCCCAGGTAGTCACCACAAGTTGAACAGGCACCTCGCAAGCTTCCATTTGCTGAAATGATATTTGCGTGATTTTCCCCATTTGGTTTTAAATGGAATCAATTTCACTTGGACATGTTCTTTACTTTTTCTTGGGACTTAAGCAAATGGAGGATTTAGGGACGGGTTTGACGTACCAAGTTGGAAAGTGCCCAGTGATCAAACAATACAGATGGCCACACAGTGTCGAAGAGGCCCATTTTTGCAGAAGCATGTGCGTGTGTGTGTGGTGCGTGTCTCTGTGTCTCGGATCTGTTTGTTTGTGTCGATGCGTGTGTGTTGTTGTGTGTCTGTGCTTGAAGGGAAACCAACCGAACCAACTATTTTGGGGTCCCTTATGTTGACACATGCCCATGTGGATGTGTGTGTGTGGATGTGTGTGTGTGGATGTGTGTGTGTGTGGATGTGTGTGTGTGTGTGGATGTGTGTGTGTGTGTGTGTGTTTTAGCGGGTTGTCCTTTTGGTTTCCCTTGAACACCACCACAAAACGGGTCAAGGGCGGCTGAAGCCGGAAAGGCTCTTGGAGCGCGAGCACCGGAGCTCGAGCAGCTGGATGTCTGACAAGGCCACCCCAGGGCGGGTGGGTGGGGGGGGGGGGGGGGCTGGGCAGGATGGTCAATCCACTCAGTATACCTGGGCTGTGTTTTGTTTCTTCCTTTTTTGAGCAACAAACTAAAACCGGCCAACCACTCCATGTTTGCAATATGTTCTCAATCCACTCAGTATAGGTCGTAGATACGCTTTTCAGTATTTTTCCACATGTACCCTCGAAATTGGACAATTGTTGGTATATATGATCACTAACTTAGGATCTAGCTTGCGAACCACTTGCTAACTTGGCAACTCACGATGCCTCCGCCCCGCACCTAAGTTTGCTCTTGGCACTTGTTCCCCAACTTGGCCAACGCTTCCCTCAACTCTACTTTGTGTTACAGCCCAGCCATCAGGGAGCTAGCCCCAAAAAGCTTTATTGTGACCAAGAGACTAGGACTGTATGACCTATCCCAATCCATGTAGGAACCATTTATAAGCTACTTACCTGCTCCAAGTGGAGTTCGCCCGGCAGCAAGCAGGCTATGGCCTAGTCATAGCAACCCAAAGTTGTTTGGTCATGGCAACTCACCCTTCGGCCTAATGTCGCAGAGGGCGTTTGCCAGGGCTCTATGAGTGGCATTGACACCTTGAGCATCGACGGTCCAGGTGTCGGACCAAAAAACAACAACACAGAGAGGCGCAGCGTTTGCCCGATGCGAGTCATCAGGCTATCTTGTGACCCTTGTAGGAGCCGACATTGAGCTATTCAAAACCCTTTGCCATCCCAGGCTGACAAAGGCTTCTACCAAACCAGAAACAAACATGAGCTGTGTTAGAACCGACAGTCATGGTTCTGAAGGGGCAAACAGACCTCTCCGTGGTCACGGTTGCAGTGTCAAAGGGGTTTATTGGATTGTTCCGACCCGGCAGCCTGTGTGTTCTCTTCCCTCGGAAGGTTTGACAGACCTGAAATGGGAAGGAGTAGCTGCAGACCTGGCTGAAGGCGTTTACGTGTCCGGGTCGGTCAATGGTCCATTTGGCGGGGATAATATGATTCTGACAGTGCCTCATGTATTTTATGTGGTGTAGGACGCCCCTTTGACGGTTGAAATGTGAAGGGGAAACCGAAGCCATTTGCGTCTCAGACCAACCTGGCAGTGACGCCCCAAGGAATCCTCGGATTCCTGGCGCCTGGGGCTTACAGCCCTCCGGGCAGTGGAGTGGCGAAAAGGGCACCTACTGTGGATCCTGCACCATCTGGGAAACCCCGGAATGACGATTCCCCTGTAAATGCCAACAAACAATGGTTTTTCATGGCTTCTTGGGTGGTGCAGGATTTCGTCCATCCACAGTAAGACTTGAGAAGCCCTTTGGTGTTTTGGGAATCCCGTCGGCGCCTTGGGCAAACAGGAAACACCAATCTGGTCGGCGTCTTCCACATGCGCTGGGGCCAGTGGTGCTGATGTTTGAGGGGCTGAAGCCGGCTCTGGTTCAGAGCGTGCGGGGCTCGCCATGCCGTTCTTTCCAACCGAGCGTTTTCGGCGCTGGGAAGACGATGGCACCGGCACGCTGTGGAAGCGGTTCCCAGTTGCCTGACTCGAAGCCTTTGGCCATTGTCCGCTTTTAAGGACTTTCTTCATGTTTGATATTACCAAGCCATTGGAACCTGGCAGAGGGGGGAGCAAGACCAACGTTTAAAAGAGGCTGGTGGCTTCATTGTTGCCTGGGAGGGTAGGGTGTAACATGGGTAACTCTTGATTGCTGGCTTGCATTGGTGATTTGGGGATATGAACCCCTTGTTCTTGAGGATAAGTGGGACGCCTCCCTCGGAACACCTTCCAAACCACCAATCCAAACTACCTGGAGGGAAGCTGAAGTTATCAAGCTTCCCCATTTGCTGGACTTTGTTTGTGGGAAGACCAGCTTTTGGGCCATCCACTCGGGAAGTGAGAACTTGTTGGTTTTTTCCACTCGGGAAGTGAGAACTTGTTGGTTTTTTGCAGGGTCGGGTCTGACTCCGGCCAAGGAATCAGAGGGCGTATTCCTTGGCCGCCGCTATGTTGCGGGCGCCTTGAGATTTTTGCGTCCGGTGCGGGGTGCGTCGAGCGCCGGGTATGCCATCATCATCGCGGATGGCAATGGCGGCTACGTGCAGGTGGGTATGTGCGAAAAATCGGCAGGCCCCCGAAATGGATTTTCTCTAAAGCAACCTGGGATTGTCTCAAAAGCAGGAATCGGAACCCCCAGCCACGAATCCACGGAAACCAACCAACCGGGCGGCTCCCCCCTCAAAAACAAATCATGAGGGCGCCCTAGAATCTCACACCAGGTTGCTGATGCCCACGAGGAGACCGACTTTTGCGAGATGCTGCAAAAGCTGAACTCCACGGCATGTGGCCTGGCGAGCTTTTCCTAGAACGTGGGCCTTTGGAGTGTTAGTGTGTCGCCATCACTTGGGAGCAGCAAGTCAATTTTTGGGAACCAAAGACCAATCGTTGCGGCCTTTGGTTGCGACCTGTTAACCTTTCTTTGTTTAGCTCTCACTAGCCAAAGCATGATCTCTTTTTTGCGGGCAAGAGCCAAGGTGACGTTATGGCTGTGGCCATGACTTGCGCGGACCAAATGCAGCTGCTGCACAGGGTGATCGAGAAGGCCAAGCAGGTCCCCCAGCCTTCCGCTGCCATGGCCCACGAGCTTTCTGAGATCGAAAAGCTGGAGAGGACCGGCAAAGGTCACGGAGAACGCAAAGGGCCACTCTTGTTTCAAGAGTGAAAGCGAGCGATCGGAGGGTTTTTGGAAGCCTGTCCTCTTATATAAGAGATCTTGGGAGTCTTGGGAGAAACGTGGTCTTCTTGGCGGTGGAAGCGTCAAAATGAGATTTGCACGCGACATGCACGTGTGTGCTTGCGCTTGGGAGCGCTTTGGAGCATATGAGCGGCAGGCAGGACTACCACCAATGGTTTTGTTAATTGTTGGCATTATAGCATTCCAAACTGGCACGGTGTTTATGATGGGGTCACAGCGGGCATTGACGACCCAAATTTTTGGTCGCTCACAAACCACAGACAAACAGAAATGCAGATGAGAATATTGCACAATGCTAGGCTTGCCTTTCGGGCCACCCCTTGCTGTTACCAAGTAGGACAACCAGAGGGGACACTAAACAAATTCCGTCAACTGGGACCGATAGACGAGCACTAAGACCAACAAGAAGCAAACAACCAAGGGATCAATTGGGAAGGTGAATTGTAGCTATTGTACCTGCAGCGGTCCCCATCCATGTGCAAGAAAGGGACGAGTGGGTAAGCTTTTTGTTCGTTTCTCATGTGAATGTGCAAATGATCCAGCGGACCCTGCTAATCAACCCAGTTCTCGTCCTCGGGTGTTTCAGCTTTTCGGCGCTGGCGCCACAGGGTTTTTAGAGCAGGGTCAACACATCATTTATTGCAGGGTGTGGTTGATTGGTGAGGCAGGCGTGTATTTGAGTTGTCATAATTATCGTTGCCCGCGGCAAGTTTCTTCACGCTACCGTGGAGAGATTGTGTACGGAATTTCAGGCACCCCAATCTAAATCGACCATGTTGCAGGATGTGCTTTATTTGAGGAGTGTATTGTACTGTTCCGAAGGGTCTTCGCGACTCACTGGGCAAAAACTTCCCGATTGGGTATGACGGGCATGGGTCAACATGGACATCCAGGCTTAGGGTTCTGCATGTGTTGGTCGTTTGCAATAGTGAACCGTCCAATTTGGAGCTGGCTTGATCATGCTTGCAGAAGCTTGCGCTGCAAATGCACTCTCTCAAGTTGCTAGATGTGTGGAAGGCAACTTCCAACATCTTTCAGCTGCACCGCCCGGAAACCATTCTAGGACAGGCGGACAGCCCCCCAAACAGTTCAGCCCAAGGGTAGTGAGTTTCTAGAGACTTGGGATCTGGCGATCCAGTACATGAGGTTGTAAGCCAAATTTTGGTGTTGATCAGCGAAAGGTCTCCCGCTTGCCATTTGCCAAGCGATTGAGACATGCAACCTGCGTGGCCCTCTTCCTTGGATTTCTTTGAGGGCTCCTGGGAAGACGATGATGGGAGCAAGATTCATGTCGAGAGCCACGACAACTCAGCCGTGGCGGTGCTCACGAAGGGTGCGAGTCGCCGGACTTTGTCGGTGAGGATTGACAAGTGGGGGAGATGGATATGCGGCAAAGGAGTTTTACAGAGGTACTGTCGCTCTGCCAGTCGTATTTTATGGTGGTCTGAAAGTGACGAGAAGCACTGGACCTGGAGCCGGGCAAGCGCGTCCTGGGCCGAGGAATATCGCCCAGATGCGCCCTTCCTGCCACTGGTCGAGTCATTTTGCGAGTCGCTGCAAAGAAGGGAGATTTCAGAGGCACTGATTTGGGTGCCTGTATGGGCGTTGCAGTTTCCAAGATATCACTGCAAGGAGAACATCGCTTTTCGTGCAGAGTTTATGTTCAGCCACCTGGAAGAGCTGCTGAGGTGCCCTGAGAAGGTGAAGGATGAGCCTCCGTTAGACGTAGCTCTGCAGCAAATGCCAGATGGTAGGTGGGAGATGTTCTGCCCGAACAGCAGGCTCTTGGTGCTTCATTGCTTGCAGTCAGTCCATGTGAATGTAGTCCTTACTGTCAGATGTGAGGTGAGGAGAATGGGCCTTGATGGCTGCATTGAGCCCAACTGGCCAAAGAATTGGAACTTTTTTCTTGGCGATTGGCATGACAATAACGATCTTGTCCAGGTGCGCGTCAAAGGGTCCGCAGTAGTGGCACATCTAAAGGGGCGTTGGCTTCGCATCAAACAAGACGAATATGGCAGATGGATCTGCGGCGATGGCGTTCTCAAGGCGCACAGGTCTTGCAAGGACCGGATCTTCTGGTTGTCCGATGACCTGTCTAAGGAGTGGACATGGAGCCGCCAGCGTCGCGCTTCTGCCAAGCAGGCAGCTGTTTGTTGTGAGCCAGAAATTGCCAGATGTGCTGTTCGGGCGATGCTGGGCACCTTCTTCTGTGGAGAGTGGAAGGACAACCATGGGAGCATCGTCAAGGTTGTCCTGAAGGGCGGCTCACCTACAGCAACTTTTGACAGAGAGGAACGGAAGAGCATCCGCTTGCCCGTCCACATTGACAAGGGCAGGTGGGTGTGTGGCGCGGGAGTGTTGCAGACCAATGCTAGCAGTCCCAGCCGAATCTCATGGCTGTGCGAGAGAAGGTCCAAAAAGCAGTACACATGGCGCCGCAATCTGTGCGATGAAGCTGACGAATACCTGCAGCATACGCCATTCATGACGAAAGTGAACCAGTTTTGCAGGACTTTTGAGCCGGTTGAGGAGATGTCAATGAAAGCCATCGCTGTACCAGTATGGGCTTTGCGGTTTACACAGTACAACATCAACGAGAACCTGAAGTTTAGCGATGGGAAGGACATGTTTGATATGTTAAACAGGTTCCTCCACCATCCGAAAGAGACCATGGAGCTGCCAGCCCTTGATGCTTTCTGGTTCCGCGGGCCAGACTCGCAACAGGCTCTCTACTGTCGAAACAATCGGCGGCTCTTGGTTTTGCGGTGCCTGCAAGCCGTACACCGCGATTCTGTGGTGACTGTAAAGTGTCGAATCCACGATCCGCAGAGTACAGAACCCACCAGCGAGGGCAAACTTTGTTTGTGCGAGTGGTGGAAGCGAGGCTACTCCAAGCCTGGCCAGTTTCATGGCTGTGATGGCCTGGGCTTGGAGATGTGGATTCGCCCTAGAATATGATCATCTTCCTTGCCCCTGTGCCATTTGTTTCACCCAGAGCGGTCCGGGCAAAAGGCAACGAGTCGGCGAGCCGCGAGCCAAGTCCATGGGACCTGAAGGTCCGGACGAAAACGGATCGATCAACGGCCCCTTTGGGCCGAGTGCTCGGGTGGCGTTGCCGGGTCATTCGTTTTTTGTTTTTTTTCTTCTTTTTTTTCTTTTTTTCGCTGCACGTGGAGCTTCCACCGATTCTCGCGCGTACCTTCGGACCTTCGGCCAGGCCCCCGTGCAAGGCAGCCTCATGGCCAGCCTTGACCAGCACCCGCAGCGCCAAACAAGCACCACCAGGAGCCACCACCAGGAGCCACCACCACAGCACCTTACGCGCACAAACAGCGCCCAAAACAGCACCTGCAGCAGCCACCTGGCCCGATTTTGCGAAACATACCCCACCTTTTTAGAAGTAAGAACGCCAATATCTAAAGCTATCTGGGGAGAACCGCCCATATTTATCTTGGTTTTGGGGCTCATTGGAGCGACATCTACTTCCAGGACTTTGAAGCAGAGGGACCGGGAGCTCGCGGAGTCTCAGCGAAAGTTGCGGCAGCGGGAGGCTGAGCTCCGGGATGCCAAGGCGCAAAGTTGGGTTGGCAAGACCCGAGCCCCGGTTAAGGGGTCGGTCCTATGTGTCACATGTCGGTGGTTATGAAACATCACCTTGTTGGCCCATGAAGGGTGGTGATGTTTTAAGGGGAAATGGTGAAAGGGAAACCACCAGCACCTTCTGCGAGGGTGGTGTACAAATGGCTCACATAAAAGCACAAATGGACCACCCTTGGAGGGTGCTGTCAAAGGAAGGTGTTTGATAAAACACGTGGTTACAACACTTGCCCAAAGCGAATGACATGTTGACCTTGTAGGTTCGCCTGTTTGGATTGTTTTAGTCATGCCTGCACCTTCATTTGAACACCTATTTTTGCTCGATGTGGTTTGTCACATTGTTTCTGGCCGACTGAACAAATACGGGCTGTTTGGGCTGAGTTGGAAAGAAATTGCCCGATTCTATGGAAAAGGGTCGTGACTATCCTTGCAGGCTGTTGTTCTGTATGGACGGCCCGCAACTGGCTTGCCATTCGGGTAATGATGCAGTTTGCCCTATTTGGACAACACTTCTGGATTGAAACCCTGGGGTTCGCCGGCTGATGAGGCAACTGAGCTCGTTCTGTGTGATCCTGCATTTCTGGATTTGACCACTTTTTTGGATTTGCGTCCTTTTGCGGGTTTTTGCGCCCGATTTGCGGTATTTTTAGGTCGGAAATGTGCATTCTTGCTTCCAATTCCTGTCCCTGTGCTGGCTCCACTTCTTAACGGCACGAAATTCAGGATCTGCACCAAAGCTACGTGGTGCCTAGACCCGCAGGCTCAGCTACCCCAAAAATGCTTCACAGGCAAGAAACGCGCTGTTTTTGAAATGTTCGTTTCTCGGAAAACTGCCTGATTCTGATTCTGACGACGACCAGTTTTGAAGGCCGCTTCCAGAAAAAGGAGTCAATATCCCAAATGAACCACAATAAGTGACCGCTTGACGCTGCAGGTGGCGTCAAAAGTCCTTTGGGCAACTGAGAAAGTGTACAAAAAGTGCTGGAAGGGGGGGTGTTGTCAGAACAATGGCCCACATCTGTCTTTGCGCAGGAGCAGTTGCTGCTCCTGCAAGGTCGGCTGAGCCGGCGCCAGGAAGCAGAGGAGGAGTTTGTGGCCGACGCTTGGCGTAAGGCCGGAGTCCGAAGAAACGTCCCATGGCTTCGGCGTCAATTTCTAGGCCATTGATGGGATTCCTTTTCTGGGGGTGTTCAGAGGACAATGTGAGGAGTCCTGCACGGGTCGTGGGTTGTTTCTGTCTCACGCACTTGCTTGCTTCATAAGGGATGCTTGCCATTAAAGTTTGCAACTGACAGCAGAGTCCTTGCCGATGCGCTTAGGCTGCAGGGGAAAAACAAATGAGCAGCTCTAAAAACCCCCCGTTACATGCCAAGCAAGAGTTGTGTCATAACAACGCCCCGCGTAAGCCAAAGCCTGCACGGCGTAAGCGGGCGTAAGCACTTTTTGAGGAAACATGCTGCGTAAGCACCTGCGTAAGCTCTTCTTCGTGATTGCTTAGTAAGCTTTGTAAGCATGCTCGGAAGAGTTGTCCCACATGTGCTTATGCGTTTTTTGGTGGCTTGTGCTGCAACCTAGTCGAGCTTGGCAACTTGCCCGGAGGACTTTGGCTGCAGGAAGACGTCTAAGACCGCATGCGCGCACCATTAGGAGAAAACATCAGCAGAACTTTGATTGGGAGCTCTTGGGGCTCATGCTAGGTGCTGTCGCAACCTCCACTAGGACAAACAAAGGCTTCAGTAGCCGCTGATTTAGGAAAACTACAGGGGCGCGGGCGCGTAAGCTCGCGTAAGCAGGCGCGTAAGGTTCGCGTAAGCTCGCCTAGCTCAGCTGCCCCGCTAGCCCTCGTGATGGATGCCGCTACCGCAAAAGCCTGTTTCTTGATTTGCAGCAAAAACAACAACACCAAGCTGCTGAAGCTTGCGAGCGTAGTTCTTCGTCATCTCTTCCACACAGTCATCCACATCATCTTCAATAGCTCTGGCGGCTGCACGGGAAAAGAAGCCCGCGTAAGCAATTCTTGAGGGGAAACGCTCAAAACGCCGACGCGTAAGCGATGCGTAAGCTTTACATGCTGTCTGACTGCCGCGTAAGCCAAAACATGGGTCGCGTAAGGAAAGCGCAAGCTTGCGCGTAAGCAACTTGATACGACATAGGGATTCATGGGAGGTTTATAGAGTCGCTCAAATGGCACTTCTCAGCATTCCATCCATTGTTCGGGCCGTCGAGTTCCCTCATTCAACATTTGTGAGTCCAATGTGCCAGTCATTATGTGGATGACCCACAATCACAGCCGCAGTTTTGCCGTGCAGAAGTTTCAGGAGATACTGGCAAGCCCCAATCGCACATGTCCTGGGCCCTCCGGGTGGGCATAATTTCCGCCGTTTGGCGAAAAAGCCATGATTTCCCGCTGTTTTGTTCAAAGAGGGCTTTTGACCCAACAGCCGCTCTTTTTCAAGATTGCCGCGAAGCGTGTACGATTGACTCTTGACAAGTTGCGGGGGGGTTCCTTCATTCCTGGCGATTCCGGCATTTCGCTGAGGGTGCTGCGGTGGAAGCCCTGATGACGGCCGATCCGGTCGGCTCGAAGCGAAGCGGGCCGTTTGGCGTGCCTTCGCGGCCGAGTCTGGGGCCGTGCCAACCCCCCGAAGCGAATCTGAAGGACTTGCTGGAGGCGGGGGGTTGAAGGGCGGTTGAAGCCAAGTGATCCAAGGGCATGTTTAGTGTCCGTGGGTTTGTGTAGACATTGCGCATAATGTCATACCCTCCTGTCCCCTAACATTTGTAACAGGGAACCCGCCAGAGATCGCCAGAGGCTCCCTTCTTGAAGGACATGGTCTTCCAGGACCCCTTATCAGGTTCTATGTTAGAGAACGGGGCCCTCATGAAGTGTTTGAGGTGGATGGGGACTTGTCGGAGGTGCTGCTGCGTGGCAGGGTCTTCAGGGAGAGCCCGGCAATGGGCTTTTGGCAGCTGGCGAAGGACGGAAGTCTACAGATGTCTTTTGAAATAATTCATCTCTTTTGGCCAACCGCCTCAAAAGAGGCTGCTGGAGAATATGAATCCCCACCAAGTCTTGATTTCCACGAAAGGGTCGCCATTGAAAATCACACTCATAGGCTTCCCCAAAAAGTGTGGGTTTCCTCTTGGACGAACTATCAGTTTCTGAGCAGTTAGAACTTGTTTCTTTCAAAGAAAACACAACCTTCCTGTCCACTAACCTGGAGCCTCGTCTTCCAGGACCTTGTTTAGTCAGGTTCTATGTTAGTCAGCCACAAGATGGGCCCCTGAGGCCAGCTACAACCACCACAGCAGTGGCCACGTGGAGGAGGACGGCAAGCTGTGGCTCGTGGTGGCTGAGGTGCAGCGCACAAACACGCGGGTCATCGCCCGCGAGAGCTCTCCGGGCGCGGTGGAGCTGGGGTTTCGTGGCACGGTGTCTGAGGATTCGGGCGGAGCGTCGCAGGCGCGCTTCAATCGCGCAAGAGCTCATGCGTCTAGAGCTGACTTTGGATTGATTTCTGCCAAATGAAGCCAAACTTGCTCTTAAACAAATAAGCGACAACATGATACATTGTGTCTAAAACAAACGCGTGTTGTTTTCATTGTAATCCAAAACATGTTTTTTTGTTAAGGCTTTGTCATGAAGACCCGGAGGATGTTTGCATCTAGCCCCCCTTGATGGCACCTCCGCAGGCCAACTGGGCCTCCAACCTGGACTCCGAACTGGTCAGCCTAGATCCGAGGTTCCACCGATCCAAAGTCGGAAGTCCCCCGAAGGTCCACAAAGGTTTTCAGGACCGCACGCTATGCCTTGCTTGGTGCGAGAGAGGCAGGGGATGAGAAATGGAATGACCCGTATAAACCATTGTGGTTTCCTTTCAGGGGATTTCTGGGTTCATTCCCGCATTCCCTACTGAGCACAATCACTTAAGACTTGTGGCAGTTCAGCTGAAAGAAAGAGTTGGTTCATTGGGTGAAAAGAGAGGCTTCAAAGTGGAGCACGCAAGGTGTACCGTTTGTTATACCCACTCTGAGTAGATCACGACACCCTTGTGCTTTGTGAAGCCTTGTTCATGTTTCAAGCGGAAGTCACTCGGGGCTCGCCGAAAAAATCCGCAGGAGGCCTACGGTGCGGTGGCCTCGCAGGTCGTCGCCTGGCTGCGCGGCGTCGGACGCGGCAGGGACGTGCGCCGGGTGCGTTTGGCGGGGCACTCGCTGGGGGGGGCGCTGGCCACCTTGGCGGCGGTGCACTTGGCAGAGGAGTTCAACGTGGAGGCGGGTCGACCCCGAAAGCGCCTCATAGTGCCAGGCATTGGCGGCCAGGCATCACCGCTTTTCTGGGCGGTTTGGAGAAAAGGGGGGCCGCTTCCTGGGTTGTTGGGTGAAAAAACCCGGGTGGTTTGGAAAAAAACACATGGTTGGGTGATTTTTGACTTGGTGGTTCAATCACGCAATCCATCTATTTTCCAAGAAGCACCCCTATTTTGAGGTGGGGGCACCCTACTGGGTTCCGGGCAGCCCTCTCAAGATGCTACGGGGGGCCATCGGGGTTTTTGGAAGGGGGCACCTTCCGGATCAAACTCAACCAAGCGGGTTCTCAGTATTATCCGGGGCTTGAAATTAGGGACCCAGGGTTTTATGTTGCAGAGTGGGGCTGAACAAGCAAGCAAGCTTTTGGTTTCCACGGGAGACCAAGAGGTTGAATTCAATCGTGGTTGGAATCGGAACATGTTTCCACTCAGCCCAACCCCTGAGGTAGTGGTCACATTTGGCAGTCCGAGGGTGGGTGCTGAGGACGCGATGTGGCCAAGCATCTTTTGTGGCTTCCTTTCTAGGCGCTTCATTCCCAAAACTTCCCCTGTCCAAAAAGCCGACCTTTTGACCTAATGTTTTTTCCTTTGAGTCTATTACCCAGTTGCCCAGTGGTGCCCTCTTTGCCTTTTTTTGGGGAAGGCTTCCCTTTAAACTCAACCAACCAAACAAGGATGCCCTTTTTTCCACCAAAGAAAAAGACTCGTGAAAATCGCGGTCAAATGCACGTCCAGGTTCCACCCGCTTCGTTCCCCTGTCATTTCCAGGGCCTTAGTGCCCCAGCGCTTTGTTTCGCGCTCGCAGGACTTCAGAGAGCTCTACGCTCGCCTGGGCTTGGCGCGGCGCACGGCGCGCTTCTGCAACGCCGGGGATCCGGTCTGCCGCGTGCCACTGGAAAGGTGGGGCTTTGTGCACGTGGTGCAAGAGAAGGCTTTGGGAAGCTCGGCCGAGGTCCGATGGGGGGACTAAACGAGCGAAAGCCATGGTGAAGATCCTGTACTTGGGGATTCCTTATTTCAGGTAGGACATGTTGTATAAATATCCAGATGGTTGGCCTTTTCCTTTGTGCTGGTTGAGGGCTAAGTTGGCCCTTTTGGTGGAGTTGTCCAGTTTCGGCTTCAGGTTTCGGTCAATGCCTGGGTCATGGTTTCAAGTTGTTGGCGCCTTGTGGCCATGTCTCTACGCACAAGTGAGGAAGAGCACTGCCGTTGCTGGGGCTCCACCCAGACAGCCACTCCATGGAGGGCTCCAAGTCCTACTTCCGCACCTTGCGCGATGCGATCGAAGGCCCAGCCTTGTGCTCCAAGACGATGAGTGCTGCCTGTGCTGTGTCCACCGTTGTGGAGGTGGCTGTGGCTGCCCGGAACACGCCGGCGACACTCGAAGGGGGTCTGCGCTTGGCCGGAGAACTGCTCATCAAGCCGCTGATCTCAGAAAAGATCGCGATGGCGGCGGATGTGTGCAGGATGCGCCAGGAGATGAAGGTCGACATAGCGCAGGTGCGCGCGGACTGCTCTGCGCTTGTGGAAGGCATGAACCGCGCCGAGCGGAGGCTGCATGAGGCCATCAGAGAAACCCAGCACTGGACGTGGCTCGTAAGCTCGGTCTCGGTCGCTGAGACCATCGACAGGCACATGATTGACCTGCCGCCATGGAGCCGGGCGGGCTCGGGCAGTGCTTGGTTCCTGATGCTCACAGAGCGCAGAGACCAGATGCTGAAGGCGGCTGAAGCGGAGCAAGCAGACCCAGGATCACAGCTCGCCTCCCATTTCCTGAAGCTCGGCTGCCCAAAGCGAATCCACCTTTTGACCTTTTTGTTTGCCTTGATCCAAATTTAGTCAGGTTCACTTGTATTTCCAGGGACTTGGGCAAGTGAGGAAGCTGTTTTTGCGGATGGGGGAGCTGGTGGTGCTTGCTATGCGCCAAACTGGAGCCAGCGACAAGGCCGTGGAGAGGGAGGCGGGGGCCTTTCGCAGCAAGTGCCAGGGGTTCTTGCACGCGGATTGCGTGGTAACCTGGGCGGAGGTGGTGGCAAGTCTGCAGAGCCTTGGCAGTTCCGGCCACATGTGGCACGGGCTGCCCTTAGCTCACTGGAGCGCTGCGGCCAAAAACGTGCTGGAGGATCCCTCAAGCCTTCAACTCGACTTCAAAGAGGTTTTGGAGGACAGTTGGTTCAAGGATCTTCTTTCCAGCAGCCTTTTTCAATATCCCTGGACCACTTTGCGCCTGAACATCGCGAAGCAGAACTTCCTCACGGACGCGAGCTTGGAGGCCCTGGCCGACAAGCTGCCACCGAGCCTCACTGCTTTGCACTTGCTGTTTCGCAGCAACATCAGCTTTACGGATGTTGGGCTGCAGAGGCTGGCAAGCAAACTGCCGTCTTTGACTCTCCAGAGCCTGCGCTTAGACTTCCACTCCAATCAGCAATTCACCAACAAAGGGTTGCTGGACTTGGCGAAGTCTCTACCAGAGGACCTTAAGGCTCTGCACTTGAACTTTCACCACAACACCAACTTCACGGATGAAGGGCTTCAGAAGTTAACCAGCAAGGCGCGGAGCCTGGTGTCCATGCACCTAGGCTTCCACTCCAATCAGCGGTTCACAGACGTGGGGCTGCAGGGGCTGGCAAGCCAGCTGCCACCGAGCTTGGCGGAGCTCTATTTGGATTTTGGCTCCAACGAGAACTTTACGGATGCGGGCCTGCGGGGACCAGGCGACACTTCGCATCTGGACTTCTATTACTCCATGGACTATGGGGCGGGATCCCCCCGGGGGCTGGCAGACTGCCTGCCACCCAAGCTGACCAACCTGCACCTGGACTTCGGGTGCAATGCGAACTTTTCGCCGGCGAGACGCGAGTTCTTGAGGCGGAAGGCGCCGCCGGGAAGTACTCTTGTGCTTCCGAAACCTGCGGCGTGCGGCGACAACTAGCAGACCGCGTCCAATGGCCACCCAGAGCCACGAGCGTTAGGACGCTTCTTGACGCGTGAGCGGCCTGGCGCGGGAGTTTCGGCAAGCTCCCAAGGCTTGTGGATGTGGCTCAATCTTTGCAGTCTGGGAGGAAAATCTGACTTGGAGAGACTGGACATCGTGTCAGAGTAGGCATGGACAGAACATGATTCACGGATGTTGTTTGGCACATCTCGGGATCTGTGGCAAAGGAAGCGGCAGGGAAAGCTAGGCCGTTCCTTCAAATGTTGGTAACAAGTACTTGGACCAGTTGAACATCATCACATGCTCGGGTTTGTGACTCAGCTTGCCCAGGCAGAACGAGAGCGCGGCGCTGAGAGGGGAGCTTGCTTTGGCAGAGAAAAGTGACCAATGGGTTCGCGAGCTGGATGGTTCAACTCACTTAGCAAGGTGTTCTAGAACTTTGATTGTGCATGAAGGTTAGCTGGGGTTACCCTCCCTCCAATCAATATGAAACCTGAGGGGGTCCATTTAAGGAAAACCGTCCAAGAACGTCAGGTTCCATCGGTTTCATGTTGATTGGGTGGGTCCCTGAGCCTCGTTTTTCGGGGAAGACTTTGACTTACTCGGGGCCTGATTTGCTTTGCTCCTCCGCAAGCGGAAGAGCGCGCCCATTCGGACGGGCACACTTGTGGTTGCGCCCTCGTCAAGGCCCATTGACGAACTTTCCCAGAATTAGCTCCCCTTTTCGCTTTTTTTGTCTTGCATTTTTGGGGTCCCTTTGTTTTCCACTAACCAGGCAAAAAAGGTAATGTTTTGCTGGGGTCCCAATTCCAGCCTAGCTAAGCGAGTTCTTCGAAGACTCGAACCACGACACTCGGCCCTGAGGCCAACACAGGGCCACTGCCAGACGCAGGCGTGAGCATTGTTCAAAGTAGAGCTCCCATTTGCCAACGAATATGCTACTGATGATGGACCAAAACCTGCACCACCTAAGAAACCCTGGAATGATGATTATCCTGTAAATACCAACAAGTTATGGTTTCCCATGGTCTCAAAGTGGTGCGAAACGGATTTCGTCCATCCACAGTATGATCCCCTGTCGGTTGTGTTTAGGGTACTTATTCTCACTTGCCCAAGGCCGACCTTTTGACCTTTTGGTTTCTGTGGTTTGGTCCACTTTTAGTCATGGCCCCAAAAGGTTAACCTTTCATTTCCAGGTCCTTTGGACAAATGAGTTAAACATGCACCTTGCAGGTCAGGACCTGACCATTTGCCCCTGAATGATCCCCGGTCGGGTTGGTTTATACTTATTTCTTCTGGAACATGGTTCTTTGACGTTCTTCAATTCGCTTAGTCTTTTTGTTCCTTTTCCCCGGGATTAAAGGAACCAACCCAGGGAACCCTTCAAGAGCCAAAAGGAAAGTGGCTGGATGCCTACTATGAGGGTCACTGGGATTCACTGGGTATGAATTTTTGTTTTGTTTTCCCCGGTTGGTTCTCAAAGGAATCTACTACTGGAAATAGACTTAATCAAACGGCCCAAAAATCATTTCTCCGCCTTCCAAGAGTGGCTTTACATGTAGTTTGTACCTGAAGTGCCCTTGGGTCGTTTTGGGTACCAAGGGACAGCCTTTGGGTTTGTCCTGATGTCTAGTCGAGAGGATGTCCAAATAATGGTCTCGGATGGTTTCAAGCACGCGGCAGCTTACCAAATATTGGCTCCGCTGGAAGGAGCCTCGCGCGAGTCTTGATCTCAGTGCCCCAGCGTTGGGTTGGGTTGAGACGGGGTCGCGCCAAGATCTTTTGGAATGGATCTGGCGAGAAAAAAAAACACGGGCGGGGCCGTTGTGTGTGTGTGTAACCAGCTAAGTATCAATCCATGTAATTACTTTCTAGGTTTGGGGTGCGTGTGCCAACTGCGCATAAGATATTCTGACTTGATGGGCAGTGAGGAGAGTGATTATATCCCTTCAACCCAATGATTTCCGTTGACGAATGCGAAGGGACCCTTGGGATTTCCCCAAAGCAAGACCGCCCAATCCGCTGACCAGAGGTTTAGTCATGTGAGCGTGCCCTTCTTCGAGCCAAGTTGCATTCGCCCCCAACATAAACCAAATAGGGCCTTCCTAGAAACAGAACCACCACCAAACCGATCGACACCCAAGAACGTCTCCATCAGCCTTTGGGCCAATTTCATTCCGATATTTTGTTGGTGGACGCTTGACTCACTTGCCCAAGCGAATCGACGTTTTGACCTTGTGGGTTTCTCTGATTTGGTCCATTTTTAGCCAAGGTTCTGCAACGTCCTGTTGTTAATGTTGGGGAGTGAATAATAAAGGGCCCCCCCCTCAAACAAAATGGGGGGGGGGTCAATAGAGGAAACCCTAAAGCAAAATGAGGGTCAGACCGGGTCTTCCCTAAGTAGTATTCCAGCAAGTATTGGTCAGTATTGGTTTAGTATTCTTGCTGACTGGCTTAGTACTGCTTAGAATTGGTTTAGTATTGGTTTAGTATTCTTGCTGTCCTAAAACACTTTTCTCAATTAACTCCCCTTAAACAAATCTCATTATTGGCTTCCTGGGTGTTCCCTGTACTACCCCCCTTGAAATTTTGGCAGGGTGCAACTTTTAGTAAGGGCTGTCTTAAAGAATTTGGCTGTTGGGGCCTCAGTTAAACTTCCTTTTCTGGGGAGACTCAGTAGTTCTTTGGAAAGGAAGCTTCCTTTTTCTGGGGAGACTCAGTAGTCCTTTGGAAAGGGAAGCCCTTTTCCTTGCAGGCATCCCTGGCCCCAGTCCTAAAAAACTGTTCTCAATTAACCCCCCTTAAACAAATCTCATGATTGGCTTCCTGGGTGTTCCCTGTACTACCCCCTTGAAAATTTGGCAGGGTGCAACTTTTAGTAAGGGCTGTCATAAAGAATTTGGGTGTTGGGGACCTCAGTTAAACTTCCTTTTCAGGGACTTCAATCATCATCTCCTTTTTGGTGGTGGTGGTAGGTTGGGGGGGGGCGGGCGGGGCAGAGAGAGACAGGAGTTGCACTGAACTAGGAATTAAATATCAAACTTTTTTTGGGGGAACATTTTCCTGATTTTTTGCCCCTCACAAAAACTTTTGTGTATTAACTCCCCCTTTTGCTTTTCAGGGGTGTGAATAATTGTTGTTTTTCTTTGTGTATTGACTCCCCATTTATTATTCGCAACCTAACATTAATTCCAGATTATTTGTGCTTAGTTGGGGGGAAGTACTGGTTTTCACATTTCTCTCAAACGTCGGGGCGCCTGCCAGCACCCTCCAAGGGTGGTCCATTTGTACCTATCACAAGAGCACTACAGGTGCAATTCAGAAGCCAACCTTGGAGGGTGCTGTTCAAATGTTTGTTGTTTTTGTTCTCTTAAACCCCTGATCTAATGTTTTGTGCTGGTCAAATGGTTTTTTTAGATTTGTTTTGTGTTTGTTTTTGGTTGGTTGCTTCCCTTCTCCTCTAAACCGGGGTCCGGCCCGCAGAGCCGACTCGACTCGAGGACCCGGGTCCTCGACGCTCCCAGCTTCGAGGAGGCGGGAGCCGATTGCAACACGGGCCTCATGGTCGTTGGGATCACTCGGGGTTTTTCCAACCACTTCTGTGACACAAGGGAATCTCCCCCTTTATATGGGGGGTTAGTCTTTGGGAAGCCCATTTTGTTGTATCACAGAAGTGGTCATTTCCCACAGCCCGGGGAGACATCTTTCCAATTTTTGCTTCTTGTGGTTGACAATGTTGAGATCCAACCACTTACTGTTAGCCCGGGAAGTCGCAGCAACTGCTTGTGGTCATCAGCGTGCCAGTGGGGGAAGGTGTCAGGGTAATTCGCATCAAGTTGCGTTGCCAGTGGGGAAAGGGTTCATGTGTGAGGAAGACTCATGTTTTTCGTGGGTGGGGAGCTGCTTTTGCGTGCCGAACGCGGACAGTTTGTTGGCTATTTGTGTTTGCCAGAAAGCTTATGGAAGAAGAGACGTGGCGTTGCCAATGGGGGAAGGGCCACTCTTATGGAAGAATAGGATTTGCCAGGGCTATCGATTGGCGGACTTGATTCATAGTGATGCCTCCTTCAATCAAGTGGTTCGTTTGCCGCTGCCGTTTAGCCGGCATCGCTGTGCACGCGGACGATCCTTTGCCAAGCTCGCAGGATGCTTGGCGCAGAAAGCAGGTATTTTTCCAAAAGGGGAACTAAGATATGCTGGCATTTTGCAAGCCAGCAACGGGTTGCATTTAGTTGCATGGTGGAGCTGTCGGGCAATTCATTGCAAAGCTGCTGTTTGTTTTGGGAAGACCAACTGCGTTTGTGCTTTTTGCAGGCGCTTTTGTGTTGCAAAGCGTGAGTTGGCTCGCGCTGCGATTGCTTTCAGGGCCTGATTCCCTTTGACCTTGAACGCAGTCAAAATGAAATGCGATGCAGCTCCATACATTGAAGCAAACTAACATTGCAATACGGCGAGTGGGCTCAGAAGGGTCACTCGCTCAGCTTGCACGTGGCAGTGAAGGCTGTGGTGGCATCCTGGCGGCACTGTGGCTGGACACCTGGAGAGAAGTTCAATGCGGACAAACTGTTTGTTGAACGCAAGAATGAGCTGTTCAAGTCGCTCAAAGATGCAGACGAGACAGCTGCCTCGGGAACGACATCACTCAAGTTCATGCGCATGATGGCGCCGGCCAAGGCGAAGTGCAGTTCCTGTCAGCAATATGTCGGGTCAGACAGCCGCTTTGGTCCTCACTGCGCTTCGCCAAACGCAAAGTTCGACAAGGAGAAGGCTCAGTTGCTTCGCTCAGGGGCACGGAGTGGCTGGCGCACGGCGCCAGCCCCTGAAATTTCAGAGAGTGCTTCTGCGCAGGGGCACAGCAGCGCCGGAGCCACCAATTTCGGGACCCGTGTCAGCCTCTGGTGCTTGTGCTGCTTCCAGTGCTTCCAAGGAAGCCCCTGCTGCGACAACGCAGGCCACCCATGAAGACGGTGTCCCGGACTCAGGGGAAGAGCATGACTGCGATACTGTGGCGGGATGCGCTGACATGATAAGCTGCTACTGGCCCCGCTCCAAGCGGAAGGAGATCCTGGTTTTGGCTCGGTACTATGTGGAGACAGAGCTGAAGCCACAGGCAACCAAGAAGGATCCACTATACGCATGCTTTTACAAAGCAGTGACAGGGCCGAAAGTGCTCTTGTCCAAGCAAGGCAGAGAGAAGTGGGCGCAAACTGTGTCTCACAATCGCAAGTTGAGGTTTCAGAAGATCGCCAAGTGATCTGTCCGTTCAGCGCAAAAGGGGTGCGCCATCATGAGCGTTCCATTGGGATTACGTGTTGAAAAGCCCTCGCAAACATGTGCTACGAAGTGCTTTCCCTGATTTGCAAACGCATAGGCAACGCACATGTTGAGGTGACTAAAACATCATTGGGCTAACACTTTTGTGACACACATTGCGACGTTACAGTGGCCGAAAAAGTTGAAGTGACTTTCCGGGGCTGTTGATGTGCAGCGTTCCATGGGGGCAAGAATCCCGGCCAGAAGTTGAGGCAACTTCCTGTTACAACAGTAACTGCTAAAAATTGGAGATTTGTTGCTCCCCTTCCAACGTCAACCAAGGGCCTTGGGGCCTTGGGGGGCCCAGCGGACGTCGAAGTCTTCCAAGGGGCCAGGAACTCCGAGGAATCCACTGGGTGCATGGGTTCCACATCCGTCGGAGTCCAGAAAAGTGGACACCCCCAAAACCGAAACGGACGGATGTCCTGGGAATTCAAGTTGAGAATTTGCCCCCCTTTGGTACGCTTGGAGGGGACACCACTGGGAACCCAACCATATTCACAGGTTTCCCATAGCAGGCCAGGTTTTTTCCAGCCCTTCTGGTGGATTGGGAACACCCGGGCATCAACTAGACCACGGTTGGCCCGAAAGCAGAACATCGCAAGCGAGGTCGGCCCAACGCTGCAGGATGCGTTCTTTTTCCCTACACTTCGTGAAGCAAGCGCGAGACAGCACCAGGCAAGGTGCTCTGCGCAAACTGGTCGGTGCAAGTTGGTCTGCGCAAGTTGCTCTACGCAAGTTGCACTGTGCAAGTTGCTCTGCGCAAGTTGCTCCGCGCAAGTTGCTCCGGCAAGTTGGTCCCTGCAAGTGGCTCCCTGCAAGTTGCTCTGTGCAAATTGCGCTCCCTGCAAGTTGCTCTGTGCAAGCTGCTCTGTGCAAGTTGCTCTGTGCAAGTTGCTCTGCGTAAGTTGCTCTGCGCAAGTTGCTCTAGGCAAGGCGCTCTGCGCAAACTGGTCGGTGCAAGTTGGTCTGCGCAAGTTGCTCTGTGCAACTTGCTCTGCGCAAGTTGCTCTGCGCAAGTTGCTGTAAAATGCAAGTTGCATCTTGCGACGCCCGCCCGCGGACCAGGGAGGAATCGAACCCGCGACCCGCCGGTTCCGGGAGCAGGCGCGCGAACCACGAGACAACTCCCGAGGACCAGTTCGAACAACAAAAGTTGCAAAAAACCTTGAGTTTTTGCACCTCGACCACGCCGATTCCCGCAGAGGGCTGCGCGAGCACCGCAACATCGCAATCCGGTTTTTGCACCTCGACCACGCCGATCCCCGCAGAGGGTCGCGCGAGCAGGTTAGAAATCGCAAAAAACCATGGGTTTTGCACCTCGACCACGCCGATCATGGGTTTTTGCACCTCGACCACGCCGATCCCCGCAGAGGGTCGCGCGAGCACCGCAGAAATCGCAAAAAACCATGGGTTTTTGCACCTCGACCACGCCGATCCCCGCAGAGGGTCGCGCGGAAATCGCAAAAAACCATGGGTTTTTGCACCTGACCACGCCGATCCCCGCAGATCGCAGCAAAACCATGGGTTTTTGCACCTCGACCACGCCGATCCCCGCAGAGGGTCGATTTTCGTGTAGTGTCGTCGGCACTACCCCGCCGCCCTAAGAAGAGATTTTAACTCCTCGCAAGTCAATTGCACTTGACTCCTTGCACTTGCAACTTGCACTTGACTCCTTGCTTGTTTCAAGGAGTCATTGCAAGCAGTCATTGCAAGGAGTCATTGCAAGGAGTCATTGCAAGGAGTCATTGCAAGGAGTCATTGCAAGGAGTCATTGCAAGGAGTCATTGCAAGGAGTCATTGCAAGGAGTCATTGCAAGGAGTCATTGCAAGGAGTCATTGCAAGGAGTCATTGCAAGGAGTCATGAGAGCCATTGCAAGTTGCAAGGAGCCAAGTGCATGGAGTCAAGTGCAAGTCGCAAGTGCACGGAGTTAAGTGCAAGTTGCAAGTGCAAGGAGTGCAAGGAGCCAAGTGCAAGGAGCCAAGTGCAAGGAGCCAAGTGCATGGAGTCAAGTGCAAGTTGCAAGTGCATGGAGTCAAGTTGCAAGTGCAAGGAGTCAAGTGCAAGTTGCAAGTGCAAGGAGTCAAGTGCAAGTTGCAATCCTTGCCATGACTCCTTGCAATGACTCCTTGCAATGACTCCTTGCAATGACTCCTTGCAATGACTCCTTGCAATGACTCCTTGCAATGACTCCTTGCAATGACTCCTTGCAATGACTCCTTGCAATGACTCCTTGCAATGACTCCTTGCAATGACTCCTTGCAATGACTCCTTGCAATGACTCCTTGCAATGACTCCTTGCAATGACTCCTTGCAATGACTCCTTGCAATGACTCCTTGCAATGACTCCTTGCTCCTTGCAATGACTCCTTGCAATGACTCCTTGCAATGACTCCTTGCAATGACTCCTTGCAATGACTCCTTGCAATGACTTTCATGATGATGATTCCTTGCAATGACACCTTGTAATGACTCTCATGAGAACAACTCAAGTGAACCCAGCGGAAGAACCCTTCGCCATGCTTTGGGAAAAGCAAAAGGAAACCAAAGTTCATTTGGGTGACGTAACCAATCTGATAAGCAGGTGCTCTTTAGATGGCAAATCCAACTTTCGGATTCGAAAACCAATCTTTAGGGGAGTTCCTTATAGGTTTTCGGCTGCTCTGCCTGGGTTGGAGGATTCACCCCCTTCTTGAAACCATGGTTTCCACCACATCTCTTAGAGAACCGCCTTTGTTTCCCCTATTGGGGTTTCAGCATGTCTTGCCACCAAGCCTGGTGGGTCTTTCTATAATTAAGGCTCACTACACGAAATGTTTTTTGGGAGGACCATTGGTAGACCAGGCTTTGTTTGGCGACTCCATTCAAAGGCGTTTTGGCTGGGTGTGGGGTTGCGCCGGTCGCCCCTTGTTCTAGAGGCATCGTAGACGAGGGTAAATGGGCAAGCTGCGTCTGTGGATGGACAAATTTGGAATGATGAGTCCCCTCTAAATACCAAACGGTATGGTTTCAACCATGGTTCAAAAAAATGCGACCGGATTTCGCCACCAGAGGTATCCCTGAAAAAGGCGTTTTGGTACCGCCTACCAAGCTTGGTTATTACGCGAATGATGACACCTTCCTTTGACCGCCTCCAGCTGCCAGATGCTGGCGCTCTCAAAGGCTGGCCAGCGCATCCTCCACAGCCTGGAGGCGGGGCGGACCCTGGAGTGGAGGGAGCGGGTTGTTTTTTTTTGTTGGTGCCCGTGTTTTAGCTTGGTTTGATGGGAAAAGGCAGCACCATCCATTTTGCGGTCCCCGAATCTCAACCACCCACCTGTGGCGCCCTATTTTCCTAGTGGCCCCTCGGTCAAAATGTCCAGGCTGTGGTCAGTCTGCGAGGGAGTTTCAGGGGGCGCTCACAAAACCGTCTCACCCACAAAACACAGAGACCACTCATAGCGCCATGTCCACTGCAGGAATGGATCTCATGGCGCTAGGAGCTTGATGGTCTCAAGTCTATGCGGATCTATGCGGAATGGAGTGGTTTGACTTGGACCATTGGACAGGGCTGGTCGCTGCCAGCTGCAGAAGTTGTCTTTGTGAGCGAGTGTGTCACAGCAAATAAGCGCTTTCCGAGCCGTGCACTATGGTTCATTCAGCCTAGCGTTTGCAGGACAGGCAGTCTTCAGCTGCCAAGTGGAGTACCTCGCTTGGATTCAGAATCCAGGCCAAGTCGCGGGCTGGTTTTTTAGAAGCGAGGTTGAGCATGTGGCCGTATGGGTATGTGTCAAATAGGCGGACCCCAAAACTGATGATTCCGAAATTCTCAACAAAAAACAAAGAAGAAAACACATACGCCACATTTCAGAGGAAAACTCAGAGTGCAAACTGGTAGGGTTTGTACTTGGTTTGATCGCATTATCGAAACTCTGAGGCCCGAAGAGTAGGAAGACAGCGCTGGAGCAGGGCGAGGACCTGTGACTCAGCGCAGAGGTGTCCGAGCGAGTGGCTCCCTTTTTGGAACCTCCAAAAGTTGCGTTCGTTTCCATGGAAACCCTCCCGTCACTTGCAAGCTTTGAGAGGGACATCTAGTGGCCCCTGCACTAAACAGACGATTTAATCCGCCTAGAGAGGGGTTGCGGTTGATCTCTCTACAAACGCAAAGGAGGATAAATCTTGAAGTATGTCCACCAGGCCAAAAGGAAACCGACCATTGGGCGATGTTCAGGTTATTAAAAGAAACCCTGTTCAAATGACCCACACTCCCTTCGGGCTCTTCGGGTCGCTAGGAGATGCTGGCAGAGCAAGACGCCCTGGACGAGCGGGAGCGGCTCGTGAGATTGGCGGGGCCCTCGGCCAAGTTTGCGAGGAGGGGATTCTTTGTTTGGGCTCAGTTCTGTGATACCTTTGGGAATCTCCCCCGGTGTGGGAGGTTACTCTTTGGGGAGCCCTTTCTGTTGTATCGCGAAGTGGATTCCAGTTCAACCACAGCGCTTGGGCTGGTTTCGCACCATGATCCAAACTTGCTGGTGCTCAGGGAATGTGCGAATGCACCAGGGGATTCCATTCCAGTCGGATGGTTCACAAGGGTCATTCCCCGATTTGTGTTGAGCACCAGCAAGAAAAGGGGGGTAGTGAAAAACGAAGACACCTTGAGCTGAACGCCGACTCAAGCATCCAAACAACCTTTCTCGAGCTTCCCAGGGTGCAAGGCCACAGGAATCTTTCAGAAACTGGGAAGTAGGTGCCAATGTGCGTGTGTGTTTTGTTTAGGGAACCCACAAATGGTGGAGTTCCATTATGTTCCGCTTTAAAACCAACGAAAAAGGGTAGCCCCGAAAACAAGGCAGACCAATGTGTCCAAACCAGGGACGCTGATCAAAAACAAACATATGGTGGGTTTCTGTTGGAGATGTTTGAAAATTGGGGAACCCCTCTCTTTTGGATAGTAAGGAGAGGGAAACTTTGTGAAGGTCACCTATTTTTGAAAAGACCCTTTCCGTGTCCATTCAGCAATGACCACGGAAGACGGAAGCAATGGCACTCCAGGGGTCAACAATGTCATCGCGACGTGGCTGTGAGCAGTGCCGCTGCTTACCTTTTCTTGCTGGTTCTCAGCAGGGAATGAGGGAATGCCCCCCATGAACCATCCGACTGGTGGCTTCCTTAAAGGGAATCCCCAAGAGGTTATTCCCAACACCCGGGCTCGGTCATTCCCTACCTATCGCACCAGCAGCGTGTGGCAGTAAAACAGCTGATGAAATAGGCCACGAACACAGTAATTATCCATTTATATGGCTTTTCAGGGGTTTTTGGGGTTTCGTGGTACGTAGTTCCCTTTTTTCCCGCCAGAAGTTGAAAACCTATCGCGGGGGATCTGAGGGCAGCCCGGACAATGACATGTTCATGTTTTTGTGGGGAGAGAATGAAAATATCGTTTGCGGCTCAATGCTTTGCCAGGTGAAGTCAAAATCAACGCCGCCAGATCCGTTCAGGACAGCGCACTGATGGGTCTACCAAAAAGGGGTAACACTCGTGTTGCAGCGGTGCGCATAATTGGCATTGTCTCCCCGATTGAATGAAATATACGTACAAGAAATGGCTGCTTTTCATTTTGCCTTCCCTTCAAAACCATCGGTGGGTCCGCCGCTTTTGATGGAACCACTCATCGTAGCGTTTGTGGCCATTGCAGCCGGGCGGCACCCGAGAGGAGCCACATCGCCGGCAACATCAAGCAGCGGCTTGTCGAGTCAGCGCACCACGACTCAAAGGAGGCGAGTGGGACGAGAAGCACTTGGAGAAGCGCGGAAGAGTAGATCAGTTCTGCCTAGTTGATAGAACCGGATGTTAGCAAAGGTATGTTGGCACCCAGTCTTGAGGTTTGAGCAGTGCTCACTAGTGACTTGTTTTTGTTCTCCGGCCAGAGTTTCGGGAGCCATCACCCGGATGTTGGCTATGCTCATCTTCTTTGCACTGCTAGCTTTCACTCCCTGTCCATTTCTGACACCAGGGGTGCCTTCTGCAATGCCAGGTTTTCAGTTGCCTATTGATAGCATGTGTGCTTGCATGGCCCGCCTTGGTGTAGATGACAGATTGAGACTAACACTTGATCCATCAGCTGATGGGATACATAGCCTTGTCTAAAGATAGGCAATAGCGGGCAAGCAGTCTGGTGCCAGGAAGGCAATCATCCTTTGCGGGTGTCCTTTGGGAGTAGGGCTTGGTTTCCAAGTTCTGTGGGGAGGCTTGCCATCAATTGGGCTCGCAAACTTGGACTTATCTTTCCCATGTACCTGGGTTGTTTGCTTGAGCCTTCTTTCGCTTCCGGGAAAGTGAAAGAGCGAAAAGCCAATCTGCCGGCATTGCTTTCTCTGTTGATGGCACAGGGGCTGGCCATCAACCAGAGATGCTTGAACATCCGCAAGCAGCTGGCGGGGGGCCACAGGGGGCCATACAGGCGTATGCTTGATGGCGCCTGGCTGAGTTGTTGAAGGCCCTAAGGAATGGATGGGATGCTCCGCGAATGGGTTTGAGCTATTGGTGTGCTTGCTGCGATGCTTGTGGCAGAATCTTAGGAGATGCGACCAGATTGCAGGAGGAGGTCATGCTTGAGGGTGCTTGCAAGCTTGCCTATTCTGCTCGGACCGGTAGAGCCGGCAAGGAGCCTGCAAGCAACAAATATGGGGCTCAGCAGATGAAAGAGCAACCCAAGACTGGTCCCAAGGAAAAAACAAAATAGGCAAAAACCTTGGAAACTTGGTGCATTCACAGTGAGGCGTATCCATAAAGAAGGCTGTACAAAACAAAAAAGGCGCATGAAACCGCAATGCGTGTTTGCTCCGTTGATTCAAGTCGCGCACGCTGCTGCAACTGCGATCATTGGTTGTGGCTCTGTGCGGTGAGTGCTCTCTTACTTGTTCCTTGGTCCTCCGAACCAAATGGCTATGGGTCAAAACCCAAGTCGTACCCCCAGTGAACATCTCAATCCCCACTAAAATAGACTAAAATGGGGGGTGCACCTACCCCAAAATAGTACCATTGGTGTTGACCCACGGCCAAATGATTCGAGGCATCATGTTCAAACCGGGCCAGGGGTTGACAACCAAGGGCAGGTCGGGATAGGAAAGTGTTTCACCCGAGTCACTGGTTATTCCTCCCCCCAGGATCCGGGATAGTCTCCACTGAATCCTTAGCCTTTGCTACATCCTCCCTTGCTTCTAGTTGGTTGGTTGGTTGGCTGGCTGGTTGGCTGGTTGGTTGGCTGGTTGGTTGGCGGGTTGGTGGGTTGGTGGGGTGGCTGGTTGGCTGGTTGGCTGGTCGGTTGATGGGTATCTTCTGCATAAGTTGTGTAGTTTCTTTCTTAAAACAGGCTTCAGGGCCACGGGTACACCTGCATCGTTCAGAGAGAGAGAGAGAGAGAGAGGGAGAGAGAGAGAGAGAGAGAGAGAGAGAGAGAGAGCCGAGGCGGGCATGATCAACGCACGCAAGGAGCTGGCATCACTGCGCGCCAAGGTGGGAGGAGATGGCGGCCGCGCGGTGTTATCTTGAAAAAATGACAGCGTTTGCCCCGAGTTACAGCAACTGCGGTTTCTGGGCATTATGTTGGATGAAGGTTAGTTTGTTGATATGTTGGATGAAGCTTAGTTTGTTGATTCCCCTTGCAAGTATGTGTTTGTCACATTGGTGCACTCAGGGTGTTACAGTAATTACATCATTGTTGCAGCCAGCTACCTTGAAGCTTTTCTTCCACCGCAAGTCGCTTTCACGTTTGGGCGCCAAGAACCCAGGGCCACTTGTTTGCTCTCGCCAGGTGCATCTGATGGTGGAGGACCGCTGTCATCTTGCGATTTGGTATGGGCTACCACTAAAAGGGTCGGTACAAGGGATATGTGTTGGAATGGAATAGGGCCAACACCTCAACTTTATGTGTATTATGTTGACTGGCGTGCAGTTGGTAAACCCTCGGCGCTTGTAAAGCACGTGCCTTTGAATGGGACTCTTGACTGGAGACCATAGCTCAGTGACATGACTAGGAGTGTCCGAACATGAGTTATTTGCCTGGGGGCGCAGCAACATTTATTCATACGGTACATTGGGGTACAGAGGGGTTCCGTTACGGTCCTTATCCAACCCCCCGCCCTTCTGGGCCAAAGACTTGTTCAAACCTGTACGAGTAGCACATCAAGGCCTTTTTTTCAGTTTTGTGCTGGTTTCGAATTGATTGAGTGTCAGTTGTTTATTGGCGTAGTATTGGTTCAGTATAGGTTTAGTATTGGCTGCAAAGTGTCCCCTAATATATGACTAGAGTTAAGGCCGGTATAACATTTGCTGGCTTAGAACTTGTTTGGTATTGGCTATATGATTTGCGATGAGGCAAACACAGCATGGGGTGCATTCATGAATAGGGGGAGATGATCAATGGGGGGGGCCACCCAACCTCCAAAACACCAAATAGAGGGACATAGCCAAGATCTTTCCCTGCAATCCCTTTTTGTTGGGACGAGCCCATTCGCTCGGATTCATCCCTCAGCCGCAGGATCAGTTCCTGCCGCGACATTGGGACGGATATCCTGAGCAGATGCAGCTGGATTATTTTTGAGCGCACCGGCGGGGTGCGCGACCTGCCCTGTGCTGGACACTTTTTCTCCTGGCGGGTGTACATTGCTGGGGCATGTCCGACTTTGATGTATTCTTGTGGTTCCGGTGGTGGTTATATGGGGGATGTCTAGGCGACTTCTTTTTCTCGCCATGCTACCAGCACAGGACATGCAAGAATGGGCTTGCAGCCCTTTAGGCCTGTGTGCCACTTTATCGGGTTCTGCTGAAAGCATTACCCAGGTTAGCCACGAGCGACGTGCTCTCGGAGCGAGACCTTCAAGAGGCTCTTCGGGGAAAAGGGGCGAGGGAAGGCCGTGAAAGGCCGCGGAGCTGCGCCGGCTTCTTGCCTCTCCAAGGCACCAACCGGCTGTGGGTCAAGCATAGGTACCCCTGGCTTTTAAAAGGAACCAAGGACCAAAAAACCTGCCGGGTCCCCTGGTTGGATTTTGCCCCAAACCCCGTTCTTTCCAAAACGGTTTGGTTTGCATCGCCTCTTTTTCGACGGATCCGGAGATCTGGCACTCAGCTCCAGACGCCTCTAGCGTGACCGCCGAGTGCCTGAGGACCCGCAAGGGGCCGGGAGCGGAGCAGGGGCTACCAGTACAGCGAGTTGTGTGAGTCGGATTGCTTGGCAGTGCTGGTCGTCAGCGCAAAGGAGTAGCTTGTTTTTTGGATGAAGGCCCAAACATGAGAAAGGCCAAACACCATGGGGAAAAGAAAAAAGAACGGCTCAAATAGAATCGCGACCAGAATTGTGCGGGGCCATGCATGGATGTGGGCATGAAGTGGAAGCTGTTGGATGATAGAATCAAAGCTAGCGGGCAATGCGATTCTGCGCTTCACTTCAACCACCCTGTGGCTGTTGTTAGTGTTGTTGCTTCCTTTGAGGGCCCCGTTTTGTCGTTTGGTGGCTTCAGTCATCAGCATAGTCCTTTGTAAGTGTCCACTGGGCAGAGTGGCCTTTGCGAGACTTTGAAAAGGGCAAAGAGCAGGGAGCCCAGGCTTTCTGAGGCAATTTATAATGGTCCGTCTTTGTTTGATCGTACATACCCTTTTGTGGGTGGTTTGAAAGGCTGACATCATGGGGAGGGAGCGGGCGGGGAAGGCCCTGACGTGTGTTTTCCTATTAGTCCGTCGGTCGGTCGATGCTCAAGCTTGAATCCAAGTTCTGGGTACTACGAATTCCCAGATCACGAAGCCGTCCCATATCCAACCTTAAACGTGTTGTGCAAACCAGCGCTACAATGTGAAGCCTAAATCCACCTAAATCTGCCCAAAGCCCAGACTTGATCAACCCGGAAATCTGAATTCTCTAGGGGCTGATTCCCCATTCTTTTCAGCCATCGTTCTTCTCAAAAACCAGCCACTTCCCCAGGGCTTTTGGTGGTTTTCTAGAGAGAAGGATCCCTGGAAATTCAATTCTGAACCCGCAGAATCCGAAGTCCAGCCCACATGAAGCTGCCGGCTTCCCACACACTGGAGTTAGCTTCCTGAACGAAATCTATAGGTTGGGTATGACTCAAAGTAGGGGTACCCCCCCAAAATGGCTGGTGTCCTGTTGGTTTCCCTTCTCATCCAAGCAAAACATGTATTTTCGGTCGAATACTCGCATGTCCGGACTTCTCGTGTATCATTGGCTTCTCCATAAACCGCTGTTTGATCTCTTATATTAAACTAATTAAGAAGCTCCTGTATAGACTGTTAGATTAGCATTTGGCTCGCAAAAACGGGAAAAAGCGCATGCAGAATCTTCTTGGGTGTTAAGCAGGTTAGAGCATTGTAACCATGGTAACTGAGGAACTCACCGTTTTTGCATATCTTAAAGCTAGTTTCAACTCTCAATGTCTGTGACATTCCCATACTATCAGCTCTTTTTATGTCGAACTTAAGGTTGTGTGTGTGTGTGTCTTTGTGCTCAGGCTGGTTTTCGGAGCCGTGGGGCAGGTGGAGGCAATGGGTTTTGGGGCCCCGCCATTGGGGCCATGGCTCTCGCATGCGGCATGTGGCGTGAGGATGGCTTTGGAGGTGAAGTTCCTGTGGGCCCTGCTCCTGACAGGACACGCCACTTCGGGGGCACCCCAATTGCCCAGCGGTGCCCTTTTTTCCTTCTTGTTTTTTGGGAAGGCTTTCCTTTAAACTCAATCCAAAAAAGGATGGCTTGACCCCAAACAAATCCACAGCATGATGGCATGGGCAAACAGATCGTAACACGGGTGCAGTGCACATTTCCAGAGGAAAGAAGGGGAGTAGGTGCTGCATGTGTATGCTATGTAGCCTTCGCAGGGTGGTACAGGGAAGCCACGAGGAAAGCACCTGGATTGGAGCGGGCTGCCGTACAGGAGCAGGCGCCACGAACGCTTGCATCAAGGAGAAGTCTTCCTACTATGACGATTCTGTCCCACCATCCGTCGACACCTCAGAGCAGACCATAATTTTATCACCATCTAATCGATCCAGCCGTCCGCTTTGTTGTTTTGCTTGTTACGACATCTACACGACGGCTACACGACGGCTCGAGCTTACTGGAAGACATGGCTCACTCCCTAAGTTTATGGACTTTAAACACTTTGTGGATGGGCAAGTTTACTAGTAAACCAGAAGTTCAGACTTTTTGGGCCAGTCCACTCAGGAAATGAGACAGGTTTGGTTTGACTCCCCCGGGGTCAGGCTGAACCTGTTGGACGGGAGCAGCTCACGAACTCAGGCGGTTGGCTACATGGACACCGCCGCGGAATGTCAAGCGGCTGGCTCCTCGGGAAGGTTTCCCGGGAAACATGTTTCCAATTCTTGCTTATTGTGGCTTAGCGGGAAAGCCCCACTTAAATCCCAAAATTTGAGAATTTTTGCTCCCCTTTCAACGTCAACCAAGTAGACGTACTGTGGATGGTTGCGAAATCCATGCCGCACCGCTTTGAATCCATGAAATCCCATTGTTCATTGGCATTTACAGGGAAATCATCAATCCAGGGTTTCTCAAGTGGTGCAGGATTTCGACCATCCACAGTATCACCCCCCCCTTTTTTGTTCACTATGTTCACTCCTTTTACCCCCCCCCCCCCCCCCACTGATTGGTTGGGGGGGCGGGAGTCTTTCAAAAACTTGGTTGTGATGAGGGCCTTATGGCAGGTGGCAATAGCAGCACTTCACGAGAAAAGCTCTAATGCAACCCAGCCCATGCAAATGCAAAGCACTACATGGGATCTCCCTGAAAGAATGGCTCCCTACTTCCTGGTTTGTAAATGGTTGCTATCAATAGCACCCGGTTGCCATTGGACAAAAGAGCGGTTAGACAGCAAAGGTCATGAGGCGCGCAATGTATCACAGTGTGCTCATGATAACGCAAAAAGTGATTGTTTTTGACCAGTTCACGTTGCAGTTGATTTTTACATGAGCATGGACCCATGAAGGATCAGAGTGGAGGGGAGCAGAGCAAAATATGCACAGGAAGACAAGTTTCGTGGTTGGCTGGCTTTTCGGTTGCTTCGCTGGTTCGCTGCGGCGCAGGTTGTTGGTTTCTCCTTTTCTTGCGACGGGTTGTCTTTTGTTCGCCACCCAAAATCAAACAAATCAGCCACCCCTCAATTGGTGGCTGAGGATTTGAGCCCCAGTTCCTTTGCCGTGCAAACCACCAAGCCAAACCAAACCAAATTGGTGGGACGCTGAAAAAAGAGGTCCCCTTGGAGGCCCAAAAGCCGCTGATTTTCCGCAGTTCCTTTGCAACAACCAAACCGCACGTGGAGAAGCTCAGGCCTGCGCGGTGAACGCCGGCTGTGATGCCAGGGGCCAGTTTTCCTTGGGAGTTCGGAGTTGCGAAAGCTTGGGATAGCTGCTGGGATAGGCAGGGAAGGTGGAATGGAATGAACCCAGGCTTTCCCCTGAAAGGAAACCACCCGTTGGATGGTTTATCTCGGGGCCATTCCATTTCATTCGCCTATCGCACCAGCAAGGAGAGCTGTTTGATGTGAAGAGAGCAGAGCCTCCGGGCGTCTGCCCTCTACCTATCTACCCCCAACAGGCTGCACAACACGATAAAAAACAACGTTGTCCAGCGTAGTCTATGTCATTTGATTTTGCAATTTGCTGCACAGGGCGACACCAGTGTGCAAGCAAAAGCCATGTTTTGGACACCCCAACTGCTGCTGCACGCTCATCGCTGTCTCAAGCTCCACTTGCTCCTGGACAAGCCTTGTACCCCACCAGGCATCCCCGAACGGACGCCTTCCTCGACCTGAAAGTAGGTCGAAGTAGCTACCAAGATGGCCATTGGGAGGCTTCGGCGCTGCTCACTGGGATGTTGAACCACTTAGCAAGTAGGTTACTATAGTTGCAACTTGGGCAACTGGGGGGGTCCCCAAACTCGTCCCCTTTTGACCATGGGGTTGCAACCTGATTATGAAGGGATGCTTGCGCGCACGAGCATCCCTTTTTGGGGTTGTTTGAAAGGCAACACGGAATCCTGTCATTTTGGCGGGCCTCCCGATTTGGAGACCAACGCGTTTCGCCCATACCTAAGAGGCCGAAGACCAAAAGCAAAGTATCAAAGTGAGACAGAATCCTTGCAGGGTGGAAGTAGACCGCGTTTGGTTTCATCATTCCCCCTTAATTCAGCGAGGGAACTGCGCCATCGATCTTTATGCAGTGTTTAGCGCGGCATAAAACGCTTGGAACGCGTGAAACGAACGTGTTGAACGCAAGGCCTGGACCTTCCTGAAGGATGCAAGCACCTGCTGGCAGCTGCCATATAGCCCCGAGGCAGTCCTTCGAAGCGACCCGAACAGCTTGCGGGGGGGGGGGGCCCAACCAATGCCAGACTCGCGGTATCAGAAATCCATCGCCATGTTCCATTTGCATTTTTGAGCAAGATCGGTTGTTGAAACTCCAGTTGGCCACATGGGGGCGTGACACAATTTGCAACAACTTGATGATGCACTTTCCGATTTGGACATGGCAAAATAGGGTAGTTTGTTTCTTTGGTTGGTGGCCGGCCTTCAAGAACAACCAATAGAATTTCTTCTTTTTTGTCAAGGGCTTCAACCGACCTGTCTAGTCCCTCAAAGATACATTTGGTCCATTTGAAACATCACCTTTACCAGCTCCCGGGTGTTGTTTCGTTGTTTAAAACACCGGCAGGACAACAGGTGCGCCTCTTGGGCCTTCTTAGAGAACACACATATTGTCCCTTGAATCCTGCAAGCTGTTGCTGGGTCATGCTGGGTCATTCGCGCGGTCGAATTACCGGCATGTCAAAGCGTCAATGCCTTCAACAGATAGATTAATCTTACGAGGGTGGTAATTGACCACCATTTCACTCCAGCCACACACAGAAGAGAGAGGAATTTCTATCCGCGCGTCAATGTTGTCCCAGTATTATTTAAGGAACACATCATCCACTTTTTGTACGGAAGTACCGATGTCTTTTTGTTTCAAGACAGCCCTCTTTTGCGGCCCAACTTGCCAGATGGTGTTGGTGGGCAATGACAAGGGCACCAGCGGCGACAAGCACTGCGAGCCGCTTTGAAGCGTTTCATGGGCAATGTGTGTGTGTGTGCATGTGCTAACTTGTTCAAGGCGAATCGTCCTGTTGACCTTTTGTCTTTTCCTTTGGGTTTATCTTTAGTCAAGTACCTTTGGGGCTGTGATGGTCAGTATCACCATTTTGCCCCCCTCCGCCCAAAAAGTGTCTTATCAATCAGGTGCGTACGCAGATGAACATTTTGTTTTTGGTTGGGAGGAAAGGCCGAGGAAAGCGGGCCAGTTGGGGTTCCCATATTTGGAGACAAAGTCAAGTGCTGATGCGAGCTTGCATTTGTAAGCCTTCGGCTTTTGGCGTGACACGGCTTAACTCGTGAGTCATGACTTGTTTGGTAGAATCAATCACTCGGTGGTGCCAGTGGGGCGAGGGACCCTCTATGAACATTGGGCTTTGACTTAAACTGGATCAAGAACGAAAGCGGTTCCCGCAAATTCGTTCGTTTGAAAGTGCTTTCAATGAACACAACCCCGAATTGGGTAGCCTCAAAACATACCCGTATCCATGTGAAGTTGAAGCTGGACGAGCTTCGAGCCGGGTGCGGCACTGTTCCTGGATATGTAACCCACTGACCTATTACCATAGGCTGTCTTTTTGATGGTTTTGAAGGAACACCAAAAAGGACAGCCACATTTCGAGGGGCCGTCACAGCCCCACTTAACCCCATTCGTAGCCTAGCTAAGTGGGTGGCACATCCAAGTAAGAGGCCACAAGCTTCCCTGCGTTTAATCACATGTCAGTGAGTGGCTCAAAAGCAGCGAAGTTCGTTCGACCGCTGCCAGGCCTTTTTCGCTATTCATTTGACTGGGTCTCTTTCGGTTTTGGCACTGGTCGCTGTGTTTGTGCCGACTTGTTCGCACTGTCTCATGGAATCCTATACCTCATCGCTCGTTCTCGCCGAGGCCTGTGGGGACAACCGGGCTGAAGAAAACCTGGACCACCCCGTTGCCCAACATGAAGGCACGGGTGAGCCCAGGTTTCGATGTGGCGCACTATAGGTTTGCCATTCCCCTTTGACTGTTTTGACTGTCGTTGGCGCAAATTCCTTTTGTGCGTGCCCAGAGGGTCCACGTACCTCCTGAGGATGACTTTTTGGGAGGTAAGAGATCTTACCTCTTGAGGATGGCTTTTTGGGGGGTAAGAGGTCTAACTACCTTAGAAGGTACTTGCTTTGGGCACGGAATTCAACGAGGTGGCGACGAAATGTCTTAAAACTTGTGGATGGGACTGAACTTTGGTATGTTGCAACCCTGGTTGAATCTCATTGTTTGTTGGGTATTTGGGGTGGAATGTTATTTTTAGTTATGTGTTTTTTTCTTGCAGGGGTTAACTTGCGTTTGTGGGTGGAATGGTTTTTTTAGAGCTATTTGTTTCTTCTTTCGGGCTTTCGGGGGTTAACTTGCGGCGGGAATCGAAGCATTCCAGGGTTTCCGAACGGTGCAGATGTCGCACATTTCCACGGTAGGTGCCGGAGCCGGTGACTGGAAGGTTGGGCTTGCGCCCCAATTGCTCCAGCTCAGGCCGGAAGAGGAAAGAGGTCTGTTAGTTTGGGGCGGGGAGATGGATGCAAAAGCACCGTGATATGTTCTCGTGTTTTGTTTTTTTTTGGGGGGGGGGAGCATTGGGGACGGGGATTGGAGCTGGGGGGGTTGAAAGGTAGCCGTAAGGGAGATATGCAAGCCAGTGAATCCCGGCTTCCCTGATGGGTAGCCAGCTATTCCCTTTTGGTCTTTGAAAGGCGGTTCAATGGTTCCCTTGATTGCCTCCTATACAAGTAAATGGATCCACCGACCAGTTTCCCAGTTTGTAAATTGGACATGGGGCAAATAGGTTTGAAGGTCCTTCCGGCATAAGGGTTTGGGGGGGGAGGATAGGGAAAGTCTGGATAGGGATCGAGCCGGACCGCTACAAACATTGAACGATGTATTGCCCACATAGCGTGAGCCAGAGTGATCGATGTTCCCTTTGTGGCAGTTTGAGATGCCACTGTGTGCTAATTCCGGAGTGTGACCTTGGATTGAGGGATTTTGTAACTGGCTGCTGACTGACCCAGTTTTTGTCAGAGAAACGCGTCAGTATGTACCAACATGTCAACCACTTCGTCCCCTCCTTTAGAAGAGAAGCCAACACAAAACACACACGCACACACAAACAACATGACACACAATTTCCGCATCAAAGGACCCCCAAACCGCAGACCCCCCCAAGAGAAGAAAGAAGAAGAACAACAAGAAGAAGAAGAAGAGGAAGAAAACACATAAACCAGAAGAAATGGAACTAAGATACAGGCACCAACATTCTAAGATACCAGTGTTTGCCCATGATTTGAGGTTGGGGGGGGGCAGGGCATGCCAATCATTCCTCATCAACATGCCACTTCCACCCTCCCACCCTCCCACTTCCACCCACCCTCCCACTTCCAAGGTGTCCTTTCTTCATGCGCCACATGCCCTCCAACTGTCTCACTTCCCACTCCCCAAGGATGTCCCCCCCCCCACAGTTACATTTGCCTGCCCACATCCCAACCCTTCCCTGTGCCCACATCCCAACCCTTCCCTGTGCCCACCCCCTGCACTGTGGCTCGGACTACTTCATGGAATACTTGGAGCAGCAGTTCACAGGGAGGGAGGGAGGGTAAAAACATAGGCACCGCTGAAAAGCGGGTAGCGCTGAAAAGCGCACCTTTTTTTTGGGCACGTGGTAAAGATGACCAAGCAGGCCTGGCCAGACAGGGAGGATGGTCATGGGGCACTTTAGCCTGCACCAAGACTGCAATATTGAATGGCCTAGTGGTCCATACCCCTGCTTTGCTTTAGAACTGTAACAACTGAAAAGTACTTGCCAGCACAGAGGGCACAACCATTTGGAAAACACAGGACCTGCTAGTTCATCACCTGAGATGTCATTCGCATTGGGGCCACCTTTTTCAAACTTGCTGTTCAACATCATGAAGCTAAATAGTGATTGGTTCTCTTTGCAGCATTGAAGCACAAGATTACTTGCAGCAATAACTGAATCCCAAAGCTTCATGGTGAGTTTTAATCTTAAATGCATCACATGGTTGTTTGAGCCCTGGATTTACAGGAAGGGATGTACAAGAACACTTTGCAAGCATGGGACATGTATAGTTGTCAGGGAGCAGGTGGGCAAAGTGTAGGCTGCAAGGTGTCTGGGTAGTGGCGTTCAGAAATTTCTGGTCCTAAGTTTCCATTTGACCATAGCACCAAAAGTCAAATTGAAATGAAGCTTCAGTCAGCTCTATGCTTTCACTTGCAGCCATGCTGCATTTGCACACTTGCCGTCAACCATAAAAGCAGCCGCAAAAAGGGGCAGCAGGACACTAAGGCTCAAACCCTGCAATACTAAGGCTTAGTTCACTAAGGTCCCAGCAGAGCGGAGCCTGCTGCATACTAAGGTTCAGACACTGACTGAGGTCTGACTGAGGTCTGCACACAGCTTTCTAGGCAGTGCAAAGGCTGGCTGGGCAGAGGGCTGGGCTAACATGCCATTCCAAACAGCACTAAGTGAATGCAATGTACTGTTCTGGCCACTGCTGAATTTGGGTAGCCTCCAGTATTGCACAAGGCATTTTGAAACTGCCAACTGTTTCTCTGGAACTTTGCTAAGCCCTCAGGGCACTCATTGCTCCTCATGTCTTGGAGTGTCCCGCCCAAGAAATTCAATCAGCACCAAAGATGCAGGGACAACCCAGTGGATAATCAGGGAACACTCTGTGTGTGTGTGGTTGATGGCAGCTGTTTCCAACAAGAAAACGTTCAAGCCCACAGGTGAGATGTCTGACCTGCTTTTCTGCCACCCAGCCAAGGCTCAAATTCTGACAGTACCCATGGGCTGGTCCATAAACAATCTGTCATTGTGAAATGGCTGCAAAAACATATTCCAATGGAGCGTTGATGTCAACAACAAAAGTTCTCCTAGGCCTGCAGGACTGCTCTGGTCTGCAGGCCTGTCCTGAAACTTGCTGTGCATGTCCAGCAACATGTCCCATTCAGCGTGGAACTGCCAATACAAGTCACTGATCTGGCAGTGTTGGATGTACCGCTTCGGCAAGCCAGAAACCTTTGCCATGCAGGACACAGTCAAGGGGTCAGAGACATTGCCATAGATAGTCTCCTGGCATGCTTGCGCCCAAGAGCTAAGTTTAAAGTAGCCTTTTGCACAAACAAATAAACGGCTAGGCATTACAACACAACTTTGAAGGCAGCCCCTCTCCTCCTGCCATGGGTCATCAGGTGCGCAGTCTTCATCTTCAGGCAGAGCTTCTGCTGCAGACTGGTAAAACTCTTGGAAGAAGTGGTCACACTTCTGTGTGGCAAGTGCGTCCCGGGGCCTGCTGCCAAAGCTGTGTTGGCCAAAGCTGCACGTGCGCATGTCTGGCTGACCAGCCATGAGCTTCCGTATGGTGTTCTGAGAGCTTCCCAGCTTGCTGCAGAAGTTGTGAAAGCATACCTGGGCATCCCCAATGTAGTACTCAACTTTCTGACGTTCAGGGCCCTTCTGGCTGGCATCACCATATGTTGCCTGCAGCAGCTGGCAGCGTTCATTCTGTGAGATCTTCCAGAAGCAGCTGCAGAGGGCCTGCAGGTCTGCAAGCCTGATCTCCTTGGCTTTGCACCCCTCCATCTTGCACTTTCTGGGGCATGGCTGAGCCCATCTTTTTCTGCACTCATCAGGATCACCTCCTTTGGTCTCAAACGTGTTCTTGGCCTTCTTGAAGGTAGATGCTGCAAGCAGTTCTGCGCCAGCGCCCAAAGAAACTTTGCGCGTCTTGGAAGGCTCAGCTTTACTTACCACACTGTCAGCTTCCGCCCATGGGTCTGCATCTTCCTGCCAGGGATCTGCCAAGTCCTCACCCCATGCTGCCAGTGAGGAAGTTGCAGCAGAGGCTGCATGCACAGTCTCACTCCATGGGTCAAAGTCTGGTTCCTTGCAAGGCTTCTTTGGCCTTTTATTGCGCCGCCACTTTGTGATGCTACCATGTGGGGTCTTTGGCATCTCTTGGCCCAACAACGCAAGTCCATGCCGCAAGGTGTCTTCAACAGCAAAAGTCTACGCTGCAAAGTGTCTCAACAACACAAGTCCATGCTGCAAGGTGTCTTCAGCAACACAAGTCTATGCTGCAACGTGTCTTCAACAACACAAGCCCATGCTGCAAAGTGTCTTGATCTGGGCAATCCTGGCACAAACATGAAAGGGGTGCAGGTCTGCTGCCTTTTTGCTACACTGCCCAATGACTCTATGTGCATCAGCAGGCCTGCAGGCCTGCGAATTAGTCTCCCCTTTGGGCATCACCCTGGCGTTTTTGAGCCTTTTTCTGAGCCTTAGCCAACTTAGCTTTGGCTCTTTGCTGCTTGGCTGACTGCCTTCTGACAGCAGCAGACTCACGCCTTTGAACAACTTCTGGGTGTTGGGCCCACATCTGAGCCGCAATGGCCATGGGCACTCCTCTGGACAACCAAAAGGCCTTAAAGTTACTCTGCTGCTCACGCGGGGCAGCTGAAGGGTCCAGGTCCATGGCAGGGTGACTTTGCAAGCTTTCCAGGAAGGAGGTGTTGGCAGCAGTGTCACTGTCACTGGTCAGCCACTCATTGAAGCATGAAGGCCCACCCCGACATGGCCGGCAAGCTTTGGAGTTGCCAGGCAAGTCACTTGTCCCAAGGCTAGAGCTTGCAGGGCCATCCTCTGCCTTTTGGATGCTGGTAGCCTGCAGGTCTTCTCCAAGGATCTGCAAAGCCCCACCAAACATAACCTCAGATGAGAGCAACGGCAGAGGTTCCAAGGCAGGCCCAAACCCACAATCTGTGGGAGCCTACTAGGCCTTCCCTACTGGATTTTACTGGATTGGCCCAACCCCCCTAATCTGTTCGGGAGTCTAGGCCTAGAGTCCCTACTGGATTAGTGGCAGTGGGCCTTCAATTCCCTACTGCTTTAGGTGTACATCGTACACCTAATCCAATCGAGAATCTAGGCTTAGATTCCAGATTGGTTTAGGGAGGTTTGTGCCATTCCCTACTGACCTAGGGGTATGCCATTCTTTGGAACCACCCTGGCTCAATCTGGAATTGCTACTTTGCCCCTAACTCAATCGAGAATCTAAGCCTAGATTCCCTACTGAGTTAGGCGTACATCGTACACCTACTACACTCGGGAAATGAGCCTTCACGGTGCCTAAACCTTGTCAATCCATGTCGGGACTCTAAGCCTAGAGTCCCTACTGAGTTAGGCCCCCGGCCAGCCACCGCCTGCCCCTATCCATGTCGGGACTCTAAGCCTAGAGTCCCTACTGAGTTAGGCCCCCTGGCCAGCCACGGCCTACCCCTAATCCGTTCGGGACTCTAGGCCTAGAGTCCCTACTGAGTTAGGCCCCCCGGCAGCCACGGCCTGCCCCTAATCCGTTCGGGACTCTAAGCTTAGAGTCCCTACTGAATTAGGGCATCGGTCGGGAATCCAGCCTGGCCCCCTAATCCGTTCGGGACTCTAAGCTTAGAGTCCCTACTGAATTAGGGCATCTGTTGGGAATCCAGCCTGGCCCCCTAATCCATTCGGGACTCTAAGCTTAGAGTCCCTACTGAATTAGGGCCTCTGTCGGGAATCCAGCCTGGCCCCCTAATCCGTTTGGGACTCTAGGCCTAGAGTACCCCGCCCCCAGCCTGGCCCCCCTAATCCAGCCTGGCCCCCCTTGCACATTGCTTGAACACGTTGGTACAGGAGTATGCTGGAACAAGTGTTTGTGAACCAGTTGTTTTCAAGCGTTGCTCAAACACTTTTGCGCACTAAGGATTTGGCTGCTGCAAGTGTACTTGATTGTGCGGTTTCCATGCGTTGCCCAGGCATGTTTGTGTACGCAAACATGCTGGAGCAAGTGTTCATGGGTGAGTTGCTTCTTGGGTGTGGTCCGAACACTTTTGCCCACAGAAGAATTTGCCGGAACAAGTGTTTGGGGGTGCGTTCTTGTCACGCGTTGCTTGAACACTTTTGTTTGTATTATAATTATTATTCTAGAGACAAGTGTCCGTGAATGCGTTGCTTTAGCGCATTGTTCGAGCCACTCTTGTGTTCCAGGGTGGCTTGCAACAAGTAAAACCTACTGTCCTGCTTGAGCCTGCATCCCCCCTCTCAATTCGAAAAGAAATTACTCAGCCAGGCAGACCTTGGGCCCAGGGTTCCCACAGATTTTAAAATCAAGGGCCAAAAGATGGCTGGCTTTGCAAGGCTTTCAATGCAACCAGCATGCCAGCAGCCAGGCAGATGTTGCATCAAGGCTTGGCCCAAAATACTGACTTCTGATGCGATTTCAGGTGAAGTTTGACCTTCAGGGGCCCGCCACACACACAGAAACAAACACTCCTGGCACTGGCACCTTTGACAAAATTCAAGAATTCAGAGGCTGATGGCTCGCAATGCAATGAGAACAGTCAGAAAAAAACTACACTTGGTTGCTCCCTCACCTTCAAAACCCTTGCAGGAATTTAGGGCACAGTCTTACATCTGGTAGGTGTTGCTTGTCAAGCCTCACTGGCCCTGGTGTTGAAACAGGGCATGATAACACATACACACATACACACACACACATGCACATGCACGTGCACACACACACAGACACACACACACACACAACACACACCCACACACACACACACACACGCACGCACACAAACACACACATGCACACATGCACACATGCCTGCACACACACAAGTGCACACACACACACACATGCTTTGCGCACACACACACACACGCATGCACAGACGTACGCACGCACGCACACCCGCACACATGCATGCACCCACCCACCCACACACACACACGTGCATGCACCACACACACACACACACACGCACGCACACACACACACACCAACACACAGGCACACACACACACAGAGACACAGAAACAGGCACAGAGACACAGAGCCACAGAGTCACAGAGACACAGAGTCACAGAGACACAGGGAAACACGCTCAGAAACGCAGTTGCACACTCTCTTACGTGCATGCACACACACATGCACACAGACACACACATGCCAAGGCATGGCTTCCATGCCTGGGAAGAATTAGCTCAATCCCCTGAAACAAGCCCTGGAATGATTCAAGCACTAGGCACCTGAAGTGTTAAACTTGAAGTTTTGCAATGTGGAAACTTACTTGCCCCAGGCATTGAGAATGCAGACTTGCACTTTCAGATCATGGACTTGCAGGAGAAGCAGGAGCAGAGCTCTTCTTCCAAGAGCCAGCCATCAAATGCCAAGAAGCCTGAGATGTCTAAGAAGTGAAGCCAGCATTGCAGGCCTACAGGCCTGCAGGCTAGCTTGAACTTGGCTACCTGGCGCCGTTCTGGAAAAAAGCTTGTGAAGCGGTGGGTGTTTGTGTGTGTGTGTGTTACCCATGTGTGGTTGCATGTGCCGTGCGTGGCCTTTGCTGAGCAGCTCAGTTGCGCCTGTTTAGGCTCAAGGTCACTGTGTACATGTCTGTTTGCGCTGTGTTATCAATGGGCTTCTCCTTGCGTTGCAATTGAAGAGCCCACCTGCGGGCAGCACTCATCAGGGTCAACCGATGCAGCACATGCACTTGGGGCTTTGGGGCTGACGCGCATGGCTTGCAGCTGGGGGGCAGGGAGGGGGACTGGAGCATTTATTGGTCTGGTGCTGAACGAATTTCCTGCCCAATGGAGCTGTTTGGAAATTAGATGTTTTGCGCCACTTGGTTGATTGAAGGTTTGCCCTCCCCCTTGCATGATGTCTTCAAGGTTTCTGGCATTAATGTTTAGTGTGTAATTGGTGTTCAAATTTGACAATCCCATCAAGGAGCATCAAAGCTGAACAGTTGTCCTGGCGAAAGTGCAACATTGGCTGGCAGAACCCCAGCCTCCAATCGGTCAACACCTTCAAAAGTCAGTGGGGCCCTCCCTAGTGTCTGACAAGGGCTGGGGTGAACTGCGAAAACTTGCCTTGAACATCCTTTAAGCCTCTGGCCTTTGTCTTACTTGTTCCCAACCCCTACAGTGATAGGAAAATCCAAGGCATGGAGTCCATGCCTTGGCAGGCTTACAACCCCACAATGTGACTGCGCCCTAGTGAGTGGCAACATTGCCTCTTTGCCTGCCAGGCCTGTGTCACCCTGAAGTGAGGGCCTTAGATGCCTGGGCCTTAGTGTCTGCACCTTAGCTTGCAGCAGGCTCCGCTCTGCTGGGGCCTTAGTGAACCTCAGTGCAGGGCTTGAGCCTTAGTGCCCAGCTGCCCCAAACAGTCAAATGGCAACTTCTTTGGCTGCAAGCGTCTGTGTGCAAACACATTGTGGCTGCAGTGTGGTTTGGTGCACGGGTGTGCAACAGGGCATGAAACTTAGGGTCATGGTCAGCACACGTAGCCCCACATGCATTTTCTCAATGGCTGTGCCCTCTATGCATAGTGCTTTGCAGTTGTTACAGTTCTGAAGCAAAGCAGGGATATATATTGACCACTAGGCCATTGAATATTGCAGTCTTGGTGCAGGCTAAAGTGCCCCATGACCATCCTCCCTCTCTGGCCAGGCCTGCTTGGTCATCTTTACCATGTGCCCAGAAAAAATGGTGCGCTTTTCAGCGCTACCCGCTTTTCAGCGGTGCCTATGTTTAAACCCTCCCTCCCTCCCTCCCTCCCTGTGAACTGCTGCTCCAGGTAGCCCGCCAAGTAGTCAAGACAGGGGGGATGCAAGAGGGACCCTTAGGGAATGAGAGGTGGGATGCCTGGCAAACAAAACTAAATCTTGGTATCTTAGAATGTTGGTGCCTGTATCTTAGTTCCATTTCTTCTGGTTTACATATGATATTCCCGTTTAAAACCGCCAAGCCAAACACAGCGTGTTTTGCTACCATAGTGCAACCATAATGGACAACCTCCTGCATCACTTTGAACCCATGGGCGACCATTGTTTGTTGGTATTTACACACATTTCATCCTTCCACAGCTTCACAGGTGGTTTTCCCTGTCGGTTGTTCCCAGTCGAACACCTCCAAACCCAGCCCGGGGGGCTCCAAGAAACCTAAACCACAGAAACCAGAGGGGGCTACCCAGCTCCTCCCCTCCGAACACCTCAAAACCCCACGCGGCGCGGCGCGGGGGGCCGCTGGCTCCCATCGCGAGGCGCGGCCTTCCACGACCCCGCGGTGAAGATGGCCACCTCCAGCCTGGCCAGCGCCGTGGACTGCCAGGCCGCGAGGGAGGTGAGCCAAGGTGAGCTGTTCGAAGGAGTGAAGGAGTCAGTCGATGGAGAGCCGAAACCTGGGTCCCAGGTCTTTTTGTTTTTTTCGGGTTCGGGGGGTTCGCATAGGGATTCCCAGTGAAACTGCCGGTTTTTAGTTGGTTTCGTGGGGTTTCCATCGAAACTGCAGGTTTTTAGTTGCGATGGAAACTGCCGGGTTTTAGTTGGTTTCGTGGGGTGTCCATTGAAAACTGCAGGTTTTTAGTTGGTTTCGTGGGGTTTCCATCGAAACTGCAGGTTTTTAGTTGGTTTCGTGGGGTTTCCATCGAAACTGCAGAATACTGCAGATTATGAGTTGGTTGCGTGGGGTGTCCATCGAAACTGCTGGTTTTTAGTTTGCTTTGTGGGGTTTCCATCGAAACAGCAGGTTTTAGTTGGTTTCGTGGGGTTTCCATCGAAACTGCAGGTGTTTAAACGTGGCGTTGCCAAAAGTCAAGGGTTCATGCGCATATTTCAGCACTTCAGGAATCCTGCGATGAGCGCATTGCTTGAGCAGTTTGCCTTTGTCACCACTCACTCAATGCTCCTCCTTCCTCCTCCCCCCCTTCCCGCCCATCCCCCTATTCGGTGCCTCTAGGCAAGTTGCGCCGCTCTGCCGAGCTGCCACTACTGGACCTACTACAACAACAGCGGCTCGGCCGGCTGTCCGGTTGCCCTCTAACCCACACAAAGCTTCAGAGAGCCCCAGTTCGGTAGTTCAGGGAGCCTATTATCTCATTGCAAAGCTTGGCTCGCCTGCTTTCTTCTCTTTGCCCTTTTCCGTTATGTTTCATCTTCAGCACAAAGTTCACCTGGTCCTTGGATACCCGAAGTTGTTGGAGCTGCAGAGTCCCGATGCGAAGACTCGAAGCTGGGACTCCCTCGCTCGACGGGACTCACTCGCTCAGGCAGGGCCTGCTGGCTGCAGGGTTTCAACGTCACCACCTTCGAGGAGAAGGACGCGGTGAGCGGCCCCAAGGCCTGCCAGAAGATCTTGAAGGCCTCCAGGCGCGGGAGGAGAGGGCGCGGAGGGCAGGTGAGGGGAGGGGAGGGGGGAGTTCTCGCGAGGGTTGAACATGGAGCAGTTGGGATTGATGTCGTTAGCTACCTGTCTCACCCGCAGCTTCCAGAAGGATGGGTTCCGATCGCTTGCGAAGGACAATGTGTGTATTGGAAAAGAACCTAGAGTCTCCATGACCCTTAAAAAATGGGTCCATAACCCCTTGATTTTGGGTAATGACCCAATTTTTTAAGGGTCATGGAGACTCCAGGAAGCCATATAGATCCCAGGCGGAGCTCGCGCTGTGCCAGGTACGAGGCGGGTCAGAACATCACCAACAACGGCCAGGCGGTGATGATGCGGTCCATCCCTCGGCCAGCCTGCTCCTTCCGCGGCAAGGCCTACGTCGACACGAAGGCGGCAAGCGCAAGGGAGATGGCCTCCGAAATAACACTGTGGAAGAACGAAATCCTGCACCATCTAAGAAACCCTGGATTGGTGATTCCCCCGTAAATGCCAATAAACAATGGTTTCCAATGGTTTCAAAGTGGTGCAGGATTTTGTCCATCCACAGTAGGTGTCCTTTTGGTTTCTGTTTCCCTTCAACCCAATCAAAACAAAAGTAACCTCAAAAGAAAGCACACCCAGATGAGAGTGAGAGGCGCTTGGTTTTGGGCGCTGAGCAACTCACAAGACTGTCAGTCTACGGTTCGTTCGGCGACGTGAACGACCCATTTTGCCGTTGCCTGCAGTTGTAGAGGCGCCGTCCAGTTTTCCCATGCCACATCTTCATGTCTCGGTTGGTTCCATGAGAGGGGCCATGGGTCACTGAAGTTGTGGCTATGACTCGTTGCACCTGCGAAAGCCATCCACAGCGCGTCGGGGGAACCATGAAACTCTGACATGCGGTATGAAAGTGGAAGTACATACCCCTCATTCACAGCTTTTGGCTCCGTGGTTCGCTGGTAGCCCCTGAATCTTGGGTACAACCCCCTGCGAGGATATGAACACCAAGCCCACCAAAAGGTCCTTTGCTCGAGAGTACTGAGAAGGGTTGAGGACAATCAGGGTTGTGGGAAGCTGTGTTGTTCTGTTTAGACTTTACTAGACAAATGTGTACAATTCCTGAGGACCACATATCACAACTCTTCCCCCCATGTGTATTTATGCTTGTTAGTTACTTGGCCAGACAAAGGGAATCGTAGACAGGTGCTAAGCCCCAAATTGGTGGTCTGGATTGGTGGTGTGGGGGATTTTAGCCCGTGGTTGTCGTAGAGGGTAAATGGGACGCCACTGTCTAACCATTGAACCACCAAACAAACCAACGCAAAGACTCCAAGACACTGGCGGGCGCCTTTTTTGTTTGGGAAGGGTTCCGGCGAACCCAACCAGCCAGAAAAAAATGGCTGCCGATCCTTTGTTTGCCAGAAATCCGCTGGGCACCTGAGACAACTCGAGGGAATCTGAACTTTGGCGCAGTTTGCCAAGGGATGTTCGGACCTTAACCGTTTGCCAACTAATGGGTTTTCCACGTTAATCCACTAAAAGTAAAACTTTTAGCAGGGGAGCAGAAAGCAACCGAGTGAACATTTATGCGGTTTCCCATTTACCATCTACAAGAACCCACCTGCTAGGGGATCAAGTCCCCAGTTCCCGCCAATCCAAACCACCAATTCGGGGCAACTTGAACATTTGCCGTTGGAAACTTGAAGCCCCCACCATTTCTTTCCACCTGGAAATCCATCGGGATGAGATAACTCGAAAGCTGATCATATTTGCAGGTACAGAAAGTCCCAGTTGCCCAGCGGTGCCCTTTTCCTCTTCTTTTGGGAAGGGTTCCGATTCCTTTAAAGTCAACCAGCCCCAACAAAAATGGATGCCTTTATATTCAGAACCCGTGGAAAGCCACTGGGCATCTGAGATCTCTTAAGGGAAACCAGAAAACCGCATAGATTTTTCCCCGGGGTCGACTTCCATGTCCCATGTCCCTTCATCTCTCCTAGGTCCCCCAGCAGTGCCCTTTTACCCTTTTTCGGGGGAGGGTTCCCCTACTAAAATAGACTACAAACTTATTCTGGCCTGTAGAGACAACCTAGGCTAGAAAGCGGGTTGGATGCGCTTTGTGTGGATTTCAGCCGTCCTTCCCCCTGTAGGTTGTTTTTTCGTACTCTTTTAGTACTCTTTTAACATCCTACAGGGGTGGATCCACAAAAACCGCATCCAAGCCGTTTCCTAGACCCAGTCTCGCGGCGATCGCCAGACATCCCTCGCAGGAGAAGGTGCCGAACCTCTACCTGGCGGATGCCACCGCCTGCCAGGCGGCCTGCGGAGGCCTCAGCAGCTGCAACGGCTTCACCTACTACATCGACACCAAGGCCAAGCTTTCGCCTGAAGCTTTCGATCGATGGATCGATGGGGTTGGATTTGTTGGTTTCCCCTTGGAAATACTCATGCTTCAATTGAAGCAGTGATGTGCCAGGGGTTGGTATGTGGTTTTCCTTGACATGCCAAGGCTTCAAAAGGCATGAAGCAGTGACGCAGGTCTCATCTTTGCAATGAATTTCATGTTCAAAACCACCGGGTGTTTTTGTGCGTTTTTCCCGATCCACTGGCAAAAGCGCGGGTTTTCCCGACAAAAAGCGACTGGGTTCCAAGGGTTCCCGGCTCAGAGCTTCAGGCCTGCTGGCTGGTGGACGAGACCGCCACTGCCTACGAGAGCGCCATGGCGGTGAGCGGGCCCAAGGCCTGCGCCGTGCCGGTGATTCTGGCGAACACGAGCAAGGCCACGAGGGCGGAAGGGCTGGCCCCGGATCTTGTGCTCCAGGAGTCCGGATCCAGGTGAGGCCTGAAACAGGTCGCCTCTGAGATGTCCCCTGGCCCACAAACCTTGTGGTTGATCGCTCGGGTGTGGGCTGGGGAGGGTGGGGAGGAGTGAGCCCAAAAAAGCCTTTTGTTGTACAGAAGTGGAATCCATTTCCCAGCTCTGGAATGGGCGGAAGAAAGGGGTGGCAGTCGCAGGCGTGGAAAGTCCGAGGATGGCGTGGGACGGATGGTGTGGTTTGGTTTGTCGTCGGTGGTTTATGGTATGGACCTTCAAGCGGGGCTGTGGGGAGAAGGCTCCTTTGGCCGATGGGTGTGTTTGACTTTCTCTAGGCTTGTTCCCGCCTCCCCCCTCCCAACTCATAGCTCCCATTGGAGGTCCATGATCATGAGTAGTGGAACTTCTCAACTTCTATTTACTTCATTATGGTTGATCCATGTTGCTCCATGTTGCTCCATGTTGCTCTGCTTGAGACGTTGCTCACAATTGGGGAGAAGCCATTTTTGAAGGCCTTTCTCATTATGACACAAGCGCGGCAATGACATGCCCGGATCCTATTTCTTCGCTGCCTCCGATAAGCCCTGCGCGGGGAGCGGGTTTTCAAAAGGGTGTCTCGTCGAAGGAATTGGGTCTGGTGTGACGAGGACCCGGCCTGTTTTTCATGCAAACCAGCGGGGAGCTGACAGGTTCAGGCTGTGCCCGTCACTCTTCCTGCCAAGCTCGACACGGACCAGGCTGGCCGGGCTGTGCGGAAGGGGGGCGTTGGTGGTGTATGGTATGAACGAGCAGGGTTATGGGGAGAAGAGCTGATCAACGAGGAGTGTCGGTCTATGTTTAACCCAATCTCGCAGAGCGGACAGGTTGTTCAGGCCGTGCCAGTCACCCTTCCCGCGGAGCTCGACACGAGCAAGGCCAGGGGGAGATGGCGGCCGTGTGGGAAGACCTCAATAGATGGCAAGCAGCAAGATGGCGTGTGATGGTTTGTGGTTTGTCGTTTATGGTTTGTGGGATGGACCTCCAAGCGGGGCTGTGAGAAGGGCCGATCGCTCGTTCTCGATGTTTTGTTCTTGTTCTACTAGGCTTATCCTAGCCGCCCCACCCAAAGCCAGCGTTGGAACTCCATCATTATGCATTGTGATTTCTGCTTCCTGTGTTGTGGGAGCAATGGCATGTCCGAACATCGATGGATGCTTTTCTCCTTCCAACAAACCTCACACCTTGAACCAGGATTGCTTTTTTTGAGATTGTAACTCGAATCCGAATGGGTGTCTTGGTGTGAGGAGGACCACCCGGTTTTTTCTTTTTTTCACGCAAACCAGCGGGGAGCTGACAGGTTCAGGCTGTGCCCGTCACTCTTCCTGCCAAGCTCGACACGGACCAGGCCCTCGGGGGGGTGGTGGCCAATAGATGGCAAGATGGAAGATTCAGACATATTCAGATGGTGTGTTGGTGGTGTATGGTTTTTATGGGGAGAAGAGCTGATCAACGAGGAGTATTGGTCTATGTTTGACGCAATCTCGCAGAGCGGACAGGTTGTTCAGGCCGTGCCAGTCACCCTTCCCGCGGAGCTCGACACGAGCAAGGCCAGGGGCAGATGGCGGCCACTCACAGATTGTGTGGGAAGATCTCAATACATGGCAAGCAGCAAGATAGCGTGTGATGGTTTGTGGTTTATGGTTTATGGCATGGACCTCCAAGCGGGTCTATGAGACAGTCCCATCACATATTGACCCCATAGGCGCCGTAGGTCCATCATTTTGTTTCTGGGAACTTCTCGCTTCTACTTGGATTTGTTTGGTCCGTTTCACTTTCGAGATCTTGCTCATCATTTGGCTGTGGGTGAAAACCAATGGTACCATTTTGGGCTAGGTGCACCACCCATTTTAGTCTTTTTAGTGGGGATTGGGATGTTCACTGGGGGTACGATTTGGATTTTGACCCATGGCCATTTGAGAAAAAGGCACGGGTTTTGCTGTCGCCTTTCGTCAAGCAACCCATATGTATCATGGCGCTTCTTCACTGCGCTGCCCTCTGATGGGGCCAGGTAGCATTTTTGGGGTCACGCCAAGTGTGTTTGTGTGTTTGAAGGAGTTGGCAATGTGTGCCTTCGCTGGGTGACTTCACTTGTTTTCCTCGCACAAACATAAACTAAACCTGATCTTACTCATTTGTGAAGCCCAAATTCGTATGCCATGTTGTGCCGGTAAGGATTAAAGTAGCGGTTTGGGTTTGGTTCCACCACTGGTTTAGATTGTTTTTTTCCATTTACCAGGGAAACCCATCTATTTTACCGAAAATACACCTATGATCCCCTCCGATTTCCGCCACCCCCCACAATTAATGTATAGGGAGAGGGTCACGGTTGTGGGATCAAGGGGTTCATCCCCCACTTCTGTGATACAAGGGAATCTTCCCCTTTATAGCGGGGCAGTCTTTGGCCGCCCTTTGTGTTGTATCACAGAGGTGGATTCCATTTCAACCACAGCCCTGGTCCAGATCCACATCCACTGTGGATGGACGAAATCCATTTCGCACTTCCTGGGAAACCCTGGATGGACGCTTCCCCTGGTAAATTCCCCAATAAAGGGTATGGTTAACCAACCAGGGCTTCCAAGTGGTGCGACGCATTTTTCATCCATCCACAGCTTGCGCGTCTGGTTGCGGTTTCTTCCATGGGTTGCGCCGCCCTCCGCCGCATTTCGCCGGTTTGGGACTCACTCCGCCTCCGCAAGGCCGTGGCATTGGAGGCCAGGATGCTCGGAGTTTCGGGTCAGCACCCGGCAGTTTCCCTTCTTGTCGCGGGGGGTGGGGGGGGGGGGTTCCTTTGTGGCTGCAGCACCAAAAAAAGACGGCTGTCAGCATGCCGTGTTTTTTTTGTTTTTTTTCCAGGGGGGGGGTCTGGGCTCAAGAAAGCGGCCAGGAATTGATTTGTGGGTCGTTTGGTTGTCATATGTCAAGAAAGCGATGAGGGGTGCTTACTGGACGACTGCCCCTCATTGAAGTGAGCTTTTGGCGGATCTTCCGGGCCAAGCAGCCTTGCAAGTCCACCGAGCTTAGGTTTTGTCTCAACACTAGAGAGCACCGGCGTGATGGGCTTGAAGGGTCACCAAGGAACAACCAGCTGGAGGGTCTCTGAGTTTGTGTTTCAACACCCATTATTCCTTTGACAGGGTTTCGTGGAGGTGCGCGCCACTGCGCCGTCATGAAAAGGGGACCGCACTAGCCAAGATAAACAAGCACAATGACCGCGGTAGCAATAGGGCTGCTTTGTCAAGGTACAGGCCGCGCGCGCCGCTCGAAAAAGTAAAAACATCACCTTTTTGCCCATTTAAGGTGAGTTTCCCTTGGTGGGGATGTATAGGGAACCCTTGTTGATCCAGTTTGGCGTTCTTCTACCACTGAGCGCGAATCCTTGCCAGGAGAAGACCGAGATGATCCAGTGGCAGAGGCTGCGTTCGCTCACCTACTTTGCTTCTTTTGAGTAACCCACACATATTATACACATGCATATTCTGTGCATTCTGACGTAATGCGTTTCAGTACGCACAACCCCTCTCTGGCTTTTGCAATTTTCAGGGAGAGGTTCGACCTTGTTCTGATGGGACAGGGCTTCGCTATGCTCCTTTCAGTCGAAGCACAACACTTCAGCCCTTGGATGCCCCTTTCGAAAGGCGATGCCAGACCTTGTGTTGGTTTCCACCCCACTGCTACGTGCTTAGAAAGGAGTTTCACGAGTCGGAATAGTGCGGTGGTTGGACGTGAATCCCCACCCAATGGTTATGTCCAACAAAAAACCTCTAATTGAAGTTTATGCTCATACTGTGGATGGACAAAATCCTGCACCACCTAAGACAGCATGGTTGAAGCTATCGTTTGTTAGTATTTGCAGGGGAATCGTATCATTCCGTTGGGTTTCTGAACGATGGTGCGAAAGAAATGTCGCAGCCATCCACGGTATCACCCCAACTTGTGGCAGTCTGGAGGCCGGCAGATTTCACCCCGCTTCTCCTCGCAGCGGCCTGAGTCACTTATGGTCCATACCCCGCAATCCCCACGCAAATCCCACAGATTCGCGTGCGCCTTCTCAGACTGTCCTTTTGTTGTTTTCTTTCATTGTTGTTTTTGTTGGTGACCCGGCCACAAATCAGTGCAGGGAGCATTCGCTATAGGAGGCCAGGTCAGCTTAAAGCCTCAGCAATTCTGTAGGCAGAGGCTGAAGCCAGCTACGGCCAAGTGGCACCAAGAATGCCGCGGCGACAAGTTCTCACTCTTTGCAGCTTAGATTCGTCCACCTTCGCATGACACCTCAGGTTGCGGCCGCCTTCCTGGCCCTCGCTGTGGCCTATGTGGGCCGTGCCTGGCAGGCCGTGTCGATTGGATGCGGGTGGTTATGAATAGAACTGGGGCCAGGCCCTAGCCTTAGCCACGGGCATGTCTTTTGTTGAGGGGTGGTGGAGCTTTGGGGGGTGGTTTGCGGGGCTTCGGGGGGTTAAACGAGGGGCCGGGGGGGGGGGGGGTTGGAGTTGGTGCCTGGCTTTCTTTCAAAGGGAAACCAAAAGCAGCACCATCCTGAAGGTCCGATTCCCAGGAGACACGCCCGTATCCCAGTTGTAGATTTCACCCTTGGAATCCCATTTGGTTTGGCGGCCTGCCCAGAAATGGAAGTGGCTCGACAAAGGGATCCAATTCTTTGTTCTCCCAGGGTCACTGAGCAAAAGGTTGCAGAAGCGTCTTCACACTCGCCAGACCTTCAATCCAAGCTCGAAGCTTTTCCTTGCAGTCTCCCTATTGAAACCGACCTGAAATTGCTGCCCTCACAAATCACGCGGACCACCCCCCTGTCAGCTGGATTGTTCGCAGGTTCGCTCCCGTGCGCACAGGCTGGGTGCGGATAGCTCTCAGTCACTAACGCGGATCCCACCAGAAGGGCGATTGAAAGAAAGTCATTGACTTTCCATGGACTCCCAGTAAGATATAGTTCGATTCCATGTGAGCCACAATCAAAACCCGGGTATAGGTGAAGGTTAGTGAGGGACATTCCCAACCAACATGTGGTGCGGCTGCCTTTTGCAGCTCAGTTCTTTACATTGGTTTGGGAATTTCGAAGGCAATTTTAATGCCAGGTTTTTGAGAATCATGTGGATAAACTGATAATTCATGTGGAGTGCCCTCCAAAACATCCCCATCTAAATCAATGTTCACCAAAAGACCCACTGGACTCCTCCCCAGAGAGCCGTCGCAGGCCTATCGCGTCCGTGGTCTGGGTCCAAGCTGGACCGCCGTACGGGTTTGTGCGTGTGTGACTTTAGGGTACTGTAGCCTCCCTCATGTGACTTTAGGGTACCCTCCTGTCCACCAGCATGGAACTCGCCAGAGGGTCCCTTTCAAAGGAAAGTCGTTTTGGCAGGACCCTCAGTAAGGTTCGATGTCAGTGGACCGGAGAGTACCCCGTTTTGGGGGTTGGTTTTAGAGCAGAACCGAACGGAAACCGCAGGGTCCACAAACCCGTCGGACGTTTATCCTGCACCGAGCTCTGATTGAAACCACCTTTGAAATCCGAAAGAACATAGTCAGGGCCGGGTTCGCCTTCGAAGTCCATGTGTGTGTGTGTGTGTGTTTTAAGGGGGGAGTTGTGGTTCCTTCTGGTTTCCCGTGGACACCCCCCATTTGTTTCAGGTCCGGGATGGTCCTGCAGATTCGCTCGGAAGTAGCGTTTGGGTTGACATTGCGATGCAACTCTTCAGCTGAAGCTTCAGTGGATGCCCCGCCCAGCGCAAAGTGTTGCTGCCACTTGGGGGGCCATCAGTCCAAAGCAAGAAGTCGACATTGATCAAAGGGTCCGAAATACATGGGGTGAGTTTTAAAAAAGATGACATTCACCACACGACGGGAAAGTTACCTTGATCAACGCTCGTTTGATTGAAGCTGCAGCTGTTCTAATCTGGAGGAAGAATTTGATGCGCGCCTGAGCATGGCTTTTTGGCCATTGGAGATGGTTGAAGCATCTAACCCACGACCTCACACGACCTCACCCCAAATGCTGGTTTATGTGGGGAATATCCCCCCAACCACCTTATTTCAGGTTGGTGAAATATTATAATTTTCCCAAAACGGGTAGGGTCTGTTGCAGGACACACCCATTGCTCGCTGAGGATCCCGAACTCACGGACGACTTGGACGAGGAGCTGGGCTTTGGTCACCGCCAAGGGGCTCGAAGTCCGTTTTGGGCAGTGACGCCCAAAAGGGTATCATTTTATATGACCTTCTCCACCAGACCAGTAGCTCAATTGTTCAAAGCCAACCCTCTGACCTGTTGGTTAGACCAATATCAGTGCTCAAGTGTTCCTTTTGGTTTTCCCATGTTGGTTCCCATATTTAGTCATGACCGCAACAGGTGATCAACCTTGAGTTCCAGACCCTTTGGGCAACTGAGATGGGACACCATTTTTGGGGCGACGTTTAGGTGGATGAAATCAGAGGCCGGGTGGAACCTCCTCGACACACCATTGAAGGGGTCCCCAATTTGGGGCGCCACCATGTGAGTTTCTTTTGTGGCGCTTGGTGATGTTTGAAGGGCACAACCTCATAAATGATTCTGAATGCAATATGTTTAAAGTAGTACAATGACGGCATCAACATTCACAGTTACAACATATACATGTAACATGTACACAGTGCATAATGAATGTAGTAAGTCAACATACCAGCTGTATATATATATATATACACAGGAAGAACACATATGATATACATATCCGAGGCATGTTATATAGGGAGACCTGGGGAGCCAGATCTTTTGGTACTTCGCCAGGAGCTGCTGACCGCCTGAGTGCTTGGCGCAGATGTGCCATGCACAGCCCTCCCATAGAAATTGAATTTGGGGAGGGGGGCACGGTGCATGCCTTGAAGATTGCAGGTAAAACAATACCCAACATGATACATCACGGTGAATATTGGCTGGTTTCCTTGCCCTCTTACTTGCAGTATTTAGGGCATCCACCGTCCCCCCCCCTTCCCCGGCCCGAATTTCCCTCTCGGGGAAGATTTGCGCAGAGGTTGGATCTAGCCTTGCTTGTTTTTTTTCTGTAGGTGGCCAGTGCCCAGTCACTCACTCACTATGCTTGGGTCGTTGTTTTCCGTGTGCTAAATCGATGGGCACTGCGAGCCGGTGACGAAAGAAGGGCTTGTCGGCGTGAAAGCGCTATCCCTCTTTAGAGTGACATCCACTGCAAAGACAGGGTGATCACGCGTAAAGAAACAATGCAACTGCACAGCCTGGTGCCCCCCAAAAGAAGGACAAAGGCTGTCTGGGCCACTAGGAGTTGGTGTTTCAAACTCGTTTTTGACTGCAGGTAGGCACGCCGAGCTTTGCTGCCCGCTCCTTTTTGCTCCAGGGGGAGGGGCGTTGGGGGAGCCCGAGCCGTGCCGGGCTCAAATGGAATGGATCAAACAGCGCGGATCTTTGGGTTGTGAAGTGGACGCCACGCCTTTCCTCCAGGTCCGCGTTTTTTTTGGGGGGGGCCCCTTTGCCAGTGCCTTTTTTTCCAAGGGAAGGGGGGCACTTTACCAAAGGGTTGCCCAAGACTTTAGTGAAGGGTTCCGCGGCCACTCCACTCAGGTCGCCTTCCCAGTGGCTGCCAGCCATGCGGTGAATGGCGGCGCTGGGCGCGACCCCCCTGTAGCTAGGATAGAGAAAACCCCCAGGCGACGGGGGAAGAACCCTCGAAAGACCCCGCGGCGGGAATCGCCAGACATCCGATATGCCTTTTGGAAAGGGAAGGGCTTCTTTTTCAGGTTTCGGCCAGAAACAGAGAGGTCTTTGGACAAACCAAGCAACTGAGCAAAAGAAGAAAAAGCTGCGTGAGTTCTTCGGCAGCATCTGCGCTGCCTTACGGAGGCCGGCTGCATGTGGGCATTTCCTTATTTTGTGGTGGGCTTGGGGATACCTTTTAGTTTTTGCTTGGGATTGTTGAGAGGGAAGCAGCAACTTGGGGGTAAATCGCAATTCTACGGGCTCCTGTTTTGAATTGCTTCCGGCCGTGGTTCAAATTTTCACTCTGCCAAAGCAGACTTAAACCCAGATATTTCCATTTTGGGGGGAATCGGGTTGGCGTCTACATTGGAGTTGTCCAAAAGTAGAACCCTTCCTTGGATGCAGCTGGCAGGTGCAGCCATGGCTCCTCACATCTACATGAGTGAACATGAGCAGCGGAGCGCCTGGCGAGTTGCGCCCGCATGGCTCGATGGCTTGGAGATCGCAACATGCGGCCCATGGAGTCATTTTGACTGAGTCGTTCGGAGTCAGGATGTGAGGGGCTCATTTGCTGATGCTTGGCTGATAAAGCGCTTGGAGTCAGAATCACAGGGGCTCGTTTGCCAGGCAAATTCTCCATCAGAGGACGCTGCATGGAGGGAGCCTCAGAATTGAAGGTCTTGTGCTTGGGTTGGGTCAACTGATCAGACGCGGCTTGGGCGGTTCCTTTTCGGCTGGTATGAAATGGGGGCTGGGGAGGGAGCCCTATAAAAGCCCCTACTCAGACCTTAATAAGGCCTTATTTGGGTTCCCTCCCTCCCCTCCCCCTCCCCCTCCCCCCAGCCCCCATGAGCATGGAATGGTATGGCATGGTAGGGTACGGAATGCGACAGAATGGTCTGGAACTGCGGGGATTTGTATTGGACGGACTGGTATGGAATGGTCTCACAGCAGGAGGCGCAGAAACGCAGGGTTGGGTTCCGTGTTCAGTGCGGGGAGGCACCACATCCATCCGCCTAGGAGGGCCTTTAGACTTGCCCGACTCCTTGGCATGCTTGTGGCACATCATCGTCTCTGTTATGCCACAGTTGGCTATGTTTTTAGTTTGTTTGTGCGCCTTGAAATGCGAGGACATGCTTCATGGTGAGGTTGAAAGGGAACAACCACCCGGGCGCACTCATTTCTCATGTCCTTTCCTCCATAGACTTTGTGTGGGTATGTCAAAACTAGGGACCCCCATTTGCATGGTTGGTTTCATATTGGAATCTTCTTGAAACAGACTACGCAAGGGATTCCCAGTTTTGAAACATTCCCATATACAGACAGATGCTCTTTTGACAATTTGACACGTCCGCGACTGAGGTCACAGGTACCGGATGAGTTTCTACGACGCGTATTTGGACCGGTGCATGTGTTCCAGCTTGCACCAAAAAAATAATCATGGTGTAGCATGCCATCCATTTGCAGCATCCGGGCTGCTTCCAGGGGTTCCTTGGGCACAGTTCTATCGGGAAGAAATCCATTCGAGCCACGTGCTCAAAACCCGGGTAGATGAAGGTTAGTAAGGGACGATCCCAGCCATAAATAGTTGCGGATATCCGCCTTGGTATTTCCTTACATGGTTGTGGGTCGATCATTTTTATACCGGGTTTTGATTGCGACTCATTTGTTTGTTCGGGTCACCCAAACTGGCCGCTGATCCGCGGGTTCCTTGGGCCCACACTGGACAGAATTTGGTGCAGGATGTGCTGGACAAAGCGAGACAGGACGCCAAGTATTGGAATGTGGGGAGCCAAGTGCACCTGTGCAAATGGCCAGCTCGCTCTCTCGCTCGCTCTCTGATGCATTTGTTCTAGGGCTTGATTCCCCATTCTTTTCAACCATCGTTCTCTCGGTTTCCGGAGGGTTTCTAGAAAGAAGGATCCCTGGAATGGGGAAGGCTCCCCTAGATTTATCTCGACCTCACCGATGATCGATTCCATTTACTTAGTTTTGTTTATAGAAACCCCGTTGGTGTTCAATTGAATCTCTCACTACCGGATATTTCCCCAAATAGTGTTTACACTAAGGGGTTCTTACGGTAAGAGTTAAGGCCTGGTGTAGATCGAGGTTTTTTGCTGGCAGGGGCGTGTCACACGGAGGTGCGCGCTGCGACGCGGGGTCTGTTTTTTGAGGAAGCCTCACTCGGTGTGCACATGACATAGCCTTGAGGTTGGGACGCATCCGTAGCCATGATGCATCAGTGATTTACGTTTCACACAGATTGGAGCTCAGAGAGCACCGACAAAAAGGTTCGCCTTGCGGTTTGGTTGGGCCCCTTTCGTAGAGCCCCTAGCTCTTTTCCTTGTTTATTTCTTGTTGGTAGCGGAGCCCGGGCATCCGCCCAGGGCGGAACCATGCTGACTGGGTCAGCATGGTTCCAAGGGTTAATGGTAGCCCTTCTGTGGACTGCGGTGTGGTCACAGAAGATGAGTGCAGGTGATGCAATGCTCAGCCAGGCTGGCATTGCATCATCGGCACGCGACGCCAGATCTGACACTGATACGCACAGCCAAGTGGGCATCACAGTATCAGTGAGCAAAGTCAGCTCAGTGCTGAATGTGGCAAGTGCGCATCATGCAATGCTGATCATGCCTACAGTCGCTTTATTAGCTGTGTTATGCTACATGGTGCCAGCAGGTTTCCCAGGCCATCACAATCACCGGTTGCCGCCGCGCTGGGATCCTCAGATGGAGGTGAACGTTCCCTTCAGAACATGGGTCCAGGATTTGATGCTTTGGAGCATTTGCAGTGAACTCCAACCGCATCAGCAATGCGCAGCGATCATCACGCAGTTGGGCGGCGCAGCGCGCGAGATTGCACGTACTCTGACCCCAGCTGAAGTCTTTCATGGGGGTCAAGTGAACGGCGTGCAGCTCGATTCTGTAAGCTTTTTGCTACATGGGCTCAGTGCAAGGTTTGCCCCATTGGACAAGGAGGGCCGACTGAAAGCAGCTCAAGATCTGCTGACGTTCCACAAGAAGCCGCGCGAGACGATCGACACTTTACTGAGTAGGTTTGAGATCGTGAGGGCCAAAGCCCGAGTGGACGGTGGAGGAGCACAAGTTTCAATGGAAACTGCAGCCTTGCTACTCCTCCGCGAAGTGCATTCCCGCAGCTCCGGCTGCAAAGTAGCAACTTGCAGGTGGCAAAAGTTGTGTGCGAAGTGCGTTCCCATGGCTCCGGCCAAAGTTGTGCATTCCCGCAGCAGCTCCGGTTGCAAAATCGTAAGTGTCTACGTGGAAAGGTAACGTGCGAAGGGCGCTCTCGCAGCTCCAGCTCGAACATTGCAACTTCACTTTTTAAGCGCAAAAGTAATGTTCGGAAACTGCGCTCTCGCATCTCCAGCTCGAAAATCGCAACTTGCGCGCGCAAAAGTAGTACGCCAAGTGCACTTCTGCAACTAACCCGCCAGCCTTCTTGGGCAGCCAAGCTGCACGCGGATCGCCGAGAGGTTGGGCGGCAGAGTTTACCCAGCATCATGCGCAAGAGGGACCGTCACGCGCAGCAGCATCATGCGCAGCATCCCGCACGGCGTCGCGCGCAACGTCACACGCAGCATCATGTGCAACATCATGCCTGCGCATCATGCGCAACATCACACGTAGCTTCACGCGCAGCAACGTCAAAACACAGCGTAGCGCGCAAGAGAAGTTGACAGGAAGTGTTTTTTTTCCGAAGTTTTTTGCACCAAGCAACTGGAAGTGTAAGGTCTAGGGTTTGGGGTTCCCCTATGTCCGATTTGTGAATAGCAATTTGCCCAGATTCGCAGCAACTGGAGCACATCTTTTGGGTCTACTATTGGTTCTGGGGGGAAAGCCCAAATTCACCCGCAAAAGGGCACAAATCGCCTAGTCCGTGGTTCACATGCCCTTGATGTTAGGGGCCATTGGAAGGTCAGCCAGGTTTGTCCGAAGAGAACTGACTTTTCAATCGATTCACAATCAAAACCCAGGCACTTAAGGTGTCCTTTTAGGTTGGTTGATTTGAAGAATTGAGGGCGATTGCTGGTACCTGGATATTCGATCATCTGCCAGGGAAATCCAAATCGATGGTCTAAAACGGACACCCTTGGGGCCGCCAAAGGTCCCGGGCCATAGGTGTCCTTTTTGTTTGATTTGCTTGAAAAATTGTCTACCAGGGAAACCATCTATTTTTTCCAAAAAGCACACCTACTGTGGATGGACGAAATCCTGCACCACTTTGAAACCATGGTAAGCCATTGTTTGTGGGTACTTACAGGAGAGTCATCATTCCTGGGTTTCTTAGGTGGTGCGAAATGGATTTCGTCCGTCCAAAGTATGGCCGGCACAGTTACTAGCGAGAGCCGAGAGCCCCCGATTCCGGGACCATCCCTCGGCTCGGAGCTCGGCTGGACTCGTCGCTTGAGGCGACTGTGCACGGCAAGGAGCTGCGCCTCGTGAAGGTGTCCTGCGGCTTCTTCCGCGCGGAGACCATCCCCGACGCCGACGTTCGCTCGCTTGGAGTTGGATCGAGGGTTTTGGGGTTGAGGAGTTGGGTGGAGGAGTTGGGGGCCGGGTTGGGCTTCTCAGATTGGGGGATTGAATTTGGGATAAGCCCAACTAGGTCCCCCAGCTAGGTGCCCTTTCTCACCGTTTCTTTTTTTGGTTGGGAGGGTTCCCCTACTTAAAATAGACTGCAGAACTCATGGGTACCCTTATTCTAGCCTCTGTACTGGAGGACCTAGGCTCGCTTTCCGGGAGTTGGGTTTGGAGGGTTTGTCGGGGGTGGGTTGGGGTTGGGGGCGGTTTGGGGAAATTGTCCGACCCGACTGCTGCTGCCCTTGGTGCGTCAGTCCCGCGGCGGCGGCTGGTTGCTGAAGGCCAAGCTGCCCGCCGGCGCACACTTTTGGAACGCAGCCGGCTCGAGCGTCCGCCGTCTTTGGCTGGCAGCGTGGCGCGCGTTCAGCTGCAAGCGCGCATGCTGCGGATGAGGAGCGGCCAGTGCGGGCTGAAGCTTGAAGTTACCGATGCGCTCTTGAAGCCGCAGTGCGCCCGCGGATGCTTATTCGGCGACAGGATGCGACGAGGCAATGTCAGGGTGGCCACAGTATGTTGCAAGGGCAAAAAACGGGCAGAACAGCTTGCTGTGTTGTTCAACAACAAACTCCGCGCGAATCTGAACTGTTGTGAACGGATGGATGACCGTGCTTGTGTCTCAATGATGGGGCATTTGTGCTTTTGTGATGCAATTTGCACCGAGTTTCCTTCCCACGCATCTCGTGAGATGGCTACTTGTGCTTGATTTACAGGCTGTGTCCCTTCTTTCGAAGAGACGCATTGCCACGCGGTGTTTTTCCGCCAAACAAGTCAGCTACAAGCCATGCGCTAGCAAGTACAAAAAACAAGACAATAATCCCAAAGACAGCGCGTAATCCAAAAACTGCAGCCCCGCAGATTCATCATCAGAACCATCCTTCATCAAAAATTGAAGTTCTCACAGTACGTTGCTCCCTGTTTGACTCAGGCTGCACTGATGTATGGCTCCAAGAGTGTGTCATCGCGTCACTCAAGACCCAATCGCTCTGTTTGATATTTGAAGAGCTTTGCATTAGTACCCCCCCTCCCCCCCGGTGCCCGACTTTTCCCGGCTATTCTTTTCAGGAACACGCTGAGGGCACCGTTTTGGGGCCAATATGAGCTCTCGAGCCCTTCTCCTCGCGAGGAGATCCCCGTCTTCGAGAGGTTCCGGCTCAGGATGCTGTGGCTCGCTGAGTGGAGGCGAAACCCGTTTCGGGCGTCCGACTGGATCCGGATCTTCGGGGTTCTAGGTCCCCCAGCAATTGGTGCCCTTGCTCACCGCTTCTTTTTTTTGGTTGGGGGGGTTCCCCTACTTAAAATAGACTGCAGAACAAATGGGTACCCTTGTTCTAGCCTCTGTACTGGAGGACATAGGTTTGGTTGAAGGCTTTGCTCGTGGTTTCGGTTTGGCTTGGTGAGTTGGAAGCAGGTTTCGGTTTGGTAAACATGTGGCCGTGGGTCCTGAGTGACAACCCACAAGCACATACACGCACGCATATACAGATGTGCACATACACAATTAGGCGTGTATATATATATATATAGACATACCTGGATCTTCCTGCATGCATAAAATTTCCGCCTTTTCGCTACGAATTGCTTTTTGGGGCAGTTGCGCGTGTTTTTTGCCTACGGCCTTTTTTTGCTCAATTTGGGTGTTAAGCGAAATCTCCCCGAATCTACAGGCGAAAATTCCCGACCAACAGGCGAAAACTCCCGACCAACAGGCGAACATTCCCGACCGCGGCGCAAACAAATATGACCGCCGGCGTTTTTTCGCCCTAAAAGCATTTTTTCACACCAAAGGCAAAAAACACGTGTTTTTTGGCCAACGCCTAAAGTTTTGGACCCCCGGAAGGTCCAGGTATATATATATATATATATTTGCAGACAGCACACACCCACACGCGTACATACATCTGCCCTCAGTCACAAAGATGCGGGAAGCTGCGCGAGTTCCATCGTGTGTGCCCAGTGTTTTCGAGAACTTTGTGGTGATCCTGATCGTGTGCAACGCGCTGGCTCCGCCGCCACGTTCTTGCGGGGCACCGCCGAGAGATTGCAATCCAAAGTGCGATACAGATGCCTGGGTGTCCTAGGGATTTGGAGATGGTTAGCTACCAAATGGCTAAGCTGCCATATGAAAAAGTCACTTTGCAGGCATGCACTCTTTGAATCCCATGCTGTTTGATTCATGCTGTCAAGCGCAATGAGTTTCTCAAAATGGACCTTTGGGAAAGGGAAACTGCAAACCCCATGGGACCGGACGACTATGGAAAGCACCGAATTCAGGGAACCGCTGAGGGCCGGCTTGACCAGGTTATGGCTCACCCAGTGGCATACAACGAGGCTGATCAGCCGAGAGGCCGCGGGCTTGGCATTTTCAGCGGCAGGGAATGAGAAAGGCAAGACTTCCATTTGCTGAACCTCTTGGTTTTGAAGGGAGTTGATTTTTCACTCCTGGACATCTTTTTTCTATAGGGGGATTCAGCAAATGGAAGCAGACCCCGAGAAAAAAGCAAATGCAACTGGTGGGTTTGTTTAGGGGAATCCCCAGGTTCATTCCCTCATTCCCTGAGCACCAGCAAGTTTTGCCCAGCGAGATTGGCTTGGAGAGGTGCAGAGAGACGCGGAATGGTAGGAATTGGCTCATTGCGTGTGTTGCAAAGCGAAGAGAGCATATGGGTGTGGGTCAAAATTAAACCACCAGGGGACCGCAGGTTGTAGTCCAAGTTTCCAGGGTTCCATTTTGGGTACATATTTTGACCCACAGCCATATAGCAAACATTGTGTAGACAAGAAAGTCAGAGAGTTAAAAGTATGAGGTGTCCAGAACACCTACTTCGTCTTTGAGATCTTGGTTTCGGTGCGCTGGCCGACTGCTTTGCACATGCCGGTCGCTTTGTTCAAACTGCAAGCCGTATGAACCAGGCTTGCGTGCCGTAGCTTTTGCCTTCCTCCGTCGGTGTTTGGAGAGTGTCTCAATTGATGTTTTTGCTCATGGTGATGCCCATGCAGCTTCGAACATTCGTTTTTGTTGTTTTTTTCATATGGGGAGCATTAAGAAGTGGTTTTACTGTTCCCTTAGAAGCCTGCAGCCTCAAGGTCACCCCCACTTTTTCAACGGCACAACCGCTTAGGGCAGAAGGAGATTCCCGTCCGGTCCTTTTGTTTGGTTCGCGTGGCTCCACAAAACCTGGAGGACCCGAACAGCGTTTGTTGGTCTTCGCACGAGTTGGCGCCAGGCAGTCTTCACCGTGGAGTGCTTGTGCCGCATCATTGCGCAGGGCCTCTTTTTTGGCTGGATGCTCGGAGATGAACCCAGCGGACTCCTGGACTTGTCGTCTGGATTACGAATGGCTCATGTTGAAGGAAACCAACAGGAGATGTATATCATTGTTTTTGTCTGACCCCCTAGTCAGCACTCAGTTCTGAAAGGATGTTGTTGACATAGGCGGGGTTGAAAGAGCATGAACTCGCAGAACAGGGGATCCACACTTCAAGCGTCCTTCCCGCCATCCTGCCCAAATCTGAAGAGAATCCCCCCGTTTCTCCCCAGTTGCCCAGTGGCGCCCTTTTCTTTTGCGGAAGGATTCCCTTTAAACTCAACCAACCCAAAAAGGCTGCCCTTTTTTTGCCATGGCCACTGGGCATCTGAGTCTCTGTGTGGTTCCTCAGAGAATATGTGGAACCCATCGTGGCCGCTGAGTGCAGCTTTTCAACCGGCACGGCGGCACGGTGCTTTGCCTGGAGGTGACGCGCCGAGCCCGTGCTATCTCAAAGAGCCGTCCAACTGGATCGACATGATTGTCGCAGCGGCCCCGATCGTCAAGCAAAAAATTGTTGACCACCCCTTTCGTTGCACCCGCTCAGCGCTCCCCTTTTTTTTCCACGCCAATTTTTGTAGGAAGCCGGGCCTTCTTTTTTGTCGGTTTGTGTGGGGAATGTAGTTTGCCCTCAGTACATGTGTGGACGGGCTCAACGAGTTCAAGCTTTATTTGTTTTGTCTATCAATCCAAGAGCCCATCACTTTTGCGAGTCGCTCATTGACCCACAGCAGCCCCTTAGTTCTGAGGTATTGATATTTCCTCCAAAAAGGGTGGTCCAACCAGTGGACAGTTTCAAAGAGACAGCCTCACAAGCACCACAAGTTCCATTTTTTTTCTCTTTCAGGGCATTCCCTGATTGTCCCCCCACAAATGCCCAGCATGTTATTTATTCCCCCCCCCCCACCGCAAATTCCCGTTTTGTTCTCCTCACCCGGCCGGGACATGGCGGCGGAGGTGATCTGCACGCTCTCGGAGCCCTTCGCCGCGGAGGCCGGGAGCCCTGGGCACCGTAGGGGCTCCCACGGTCGACGAGCAGTTGCGAGCGGGGGAGGGCGAGGAGTTGCGAGTGCTGAGTGGACCTCGAGATGGCCATGGTGAGGGTTAGATCTGTGGAGAAATAGAAATCCACTTACCAGGCGACATTGCTGAATACAGCTACCTTCTCTTTCTAGAAGACCTCCGGAAACCCAGGGAAACATGGATCCGGTTTGCGAAAAGAACGATGGTTGGATAGGATGGGGAATCAACCCTTAGACATTTGGTGTAAACTCGCTCCCTGAGTTCATGGACCTTAAACTTTTTCGATGCACCATCGTTTTAGTAGTAGATAAGAAGTTTCAGGACTTGTTTCATTTGGTCTAAACTTTTTGGATAGACCATTTTATTAGGACATGAGCAGTTCTAGGACTTTTTTGGCCAGTCCGCTCGATTGGAAGTGAGTTGATTGCTAGCGGGCAACTGAAAACAAAGACTTGCCATTTTGCAGAGCCCAGGTCTGACGTCAAAAGGAGGATCCCCAGTTGCACCCAGCGGGTTGCGGTGCCTCCCTTTTTCAACTTTTCCGAGGGGACGGGTTCCGATTCCTTTACAGTCAGCCAACCCGGAAATCTACTGGGCATCCGAGGAGAAACATCATTGTTTGGGCTCCAAACCAGATGGGTGCGGCTCAAAATTAAGCAGGAGGGGCAAACCGCAGGTGTTGGTCCATGATTCCACTTACCAGGGTTCCATTTTGGGTACCGGTTTTCGAGCCACAGCCAGATTGTCAACTGAGCTTTCGCCCGACCCGATGTGGTTCTCAGGTCATCTCTGAGCAGGACCTGCGGACCATGCGGGTGCTCCGCATCTTCCGGGCGGCGTGCTGAGTGAACCTCTCATAGAGATGGCCATGGTGAAGGTTAGATCTGTGGATGGATGAGATCCATTTACCAGGCGACATCACTGAATACAGTACCTTCTAGGGGTAGCTTCCCCATTCTTTTCAGGGATCCGAATCTTTCTAGAAGACCTCCGGAAACCCTGGGAAAACAGCTGGTCTTTGAAAAGAACGATGGTTGAAAAGAATCGGGAATCAACCCCTAAAATACCAGTACCTACCAACGGCTTGTAGCTTTTGGAAGAGAGAGAGCAGCAAAAAGTGCTTCCTTCCCCAACCAGCTCAGGTGTTCCGCCTGGTCAGAAGCATCACCTTCCTGCCGCGGCTCAGGACTGCACTATGTCCTTCATTTGCCAATGTGGAATCCATCACTACTGGAAATATCTGGGTGAATTATACGACCTCGCACGCCCTTACCCCATATGGTGGTTTATGTGGGGAATAGCCCGCAAACCACCTTTGGGGTGAAATATGATCATTCACCCAGAAATATGTGCTTTTTTTCCAGGGGACTTAAGCAAAATGGAGGGTCTGGTCTTTGCCAAGTGGAGAGACCTGTCGGGAAGTGATCACCATTTTGAAGGGAGGATGCTCCAGATTCTCACCTGCAAAAACCTGGAAAGGTGAGAACCAGCACCAATCTTTTGTTTTCCAAACGAACGAGTGTGGCTCAGGCTCAAGGCAAAACGAGGAAGGTTGCCGTTGAGGGGCGAAACAAATTGTTGAGATGCAGCCACGCTATGGCCGGAATGGTTTGTGCTTCAAAAAACGCAAACAGAATCAGCATCATCACTACCGCCACCACCACCATCACCATCACCGTCAGCAGGTCTTCCAGCCGCGATCGCCTGTTTGGAGCTTCGTTTGGTTTGCCTTTGGTTTGCCTGTCGCAGACATGTTCGGCCCCCCACACAGCCTCGAGCCAACCACTGGGCAAAGCCAAGCGAGCTGTAGTTCACATATGGTAGATTTTTGTGTGCTGTTTAGACCGCGGAGCCCACAGGCTAGTCAGGAAGGGTTGTTCACGATTGATTGTGACAGGCAGCAGCCGCAACATCAGCAGAAGTGTCATCAACATTCATGATCATCAGCAGCAGCATCAGCATCATCACCATCATCACCAGCATCATCAGCATTATCAGCATCATCCTCAACATCATCAGCAGCAGCATCATCAGCATCAGCATGCATCATCCTCATCATCAGCGCCGCCGCCACCACCACCACCATCACGGCCAGCAGCATCATCAGCATCAGCGAAAGCATCAGCGGAAGCATCAGCGGAAGCATCAGCGGAAGCATCAGCAGAAGCATCAGCGGAAGCATCAGCGGAAGCATCTGCGGAAGCATCAGGATCATCATCGTCGTCGTCGTCATCATCATCATCATCATCATCCTCTCCCCTGATGGCTGGGATGAAGGGGTGAGATTGGGCGCACTCTCCGAAACACCACGCAATGCTGACACTTGTTTGTGGTATGTAGGGACTCGCATCCGCCGATTCCAGGAGTATTGTGCAAGCGCTGTCTTCCAGTGTGCGGGTCTGAGTTGACGATTCCGCTGCCATTTTCGAGGAGGAAGGTGGGCCAGTAAGGCAGGCATGCCATTGGTTGCGGAGGTGAAGCTGTTGTTGTCATCATTTGCATGGGCCTTGGAATTCGCAATGCCCGCCCCCACAATGTGTTGAATACCACGGTGAAGCCTTGCCATCCTGAATCGTCTGTTTGCGAGTCACGATGCTTGCAAGACAGTTTCGAGGATCGGCATTCTTATCTGACCATGCCTGTTATTGGGTACATTTCATGCAGCGGGACAACGGGGTAGGGAAGGGTATGCTCCGCCAGGGAAAAGTCCCATTCTCGATGAGTCCATCTCGCCAGATCCATGTTCGAAGATGTCTTGTTCCTCCAGAAATTCGGGGGTGTCGGCCCTGGCTTCGAGCATGTTTCGGATGTCTTGGTGTTTTGTTCCTGCTGTCATTGGGGTTTGGTCACACTGACATGTTTTCAGCATGTGGCTGTGGGTCAAAACCAATGGCACCATTTTTGGGTAAGTGCACCTCCATTTTAGTCTATTTTAGTGGGGATTGGGATGTTCAGGGGTGACCGGGGTTTTGACCCACACCCATGTTTCTGCCATCACGCCTTCAGCTGAGCGCTCGCCCGCTGAGTTGTACCGCCTTTGGGTGTCGTGGCTGGCGATCTTCTTCACGCTCTTGGCCATCAGCATGGCTGGGCCGGCGCCTTAGCTTCTAGCTTGCGGCAGGCAAGCTGCGCGGGTTCCTTTGGAACAAGTGTGTGTGTGTGTGTGTGTTTTTTGTTGGGAACTTTCGGTTGGTTTTAAAGGGAACTCAAAAGGAACACAGCTTTTCGGGCGTCCTCTAACAGAGACGACAGCAGCACAAGAACAATGGGAAAGACAACCTGATTTTTCAAGGGCAAATCGAATGTGGAGGTTGAATGGGCAGCGGTACTCACGTTTGGGCAGTTTGGCATTGCTTTTTCTTGCACCCCCTCGCGGCTTGACGAGCCTTTCGCGAGGACTGATTTGTGGGGTGACGTCTACTGGAGGCCAGGGCTGGCAATGGTCTCAGAGTCGCTTAGGAACGGGATTTTGCAACCTATAGCAGGATGCAAGAAGGTAGGATCCCCCTGAAACAGTGTGAATTCTAATTTACAGTTCGGTCAAGGTAGATGGCACAACCGCCTCCCTATGTTGGTGTTCATTTTTACTTCCGCATACTAGATGGAGGAGAAGAAGCTATCTACTTGCATCCTGGTGTCATTCTATAGCTCCTTTGGTGCATTTTGCTGAACATGTTAGGACTTTATTTCTTTGCCAACTAATGGGTTTTCCGTATTAAACCGCTGAAAGTTGAAAGCTTTTCGCAGGGCTTCGCAGAGTTCGCAACCGAAGCTCTTGATAGTGTGACACGAGTACCTGCTTCAGGCGGTGCCGAATGACCGAGCAGCCATTCCAAGCGAACGGCACCTTGCTTTGGCGGCTTGGCGGATTTTTGGCTGAAACGAGATGGGTCTATATTGTCTGTCTTTTTTTCAGGCTACCCCTTGCTGAAAGGGAAACTAAAAGGACAGGAGCATTTTGGGGGTGCAATTCCGGAAAAAAAGAAAAGAAGAAACGATCTGATCTTTCTCGAATCGGTTGATTTCGTTGTCACGATGCCCAGACTGCGAAAATCGAATCTCTGGGAGGGGGTTTCTTGAGGAAGACTAGCTAGGGGGCTACCGACCACCTCCCCTTTTGTTGGTGGGGTGGATTCATTGGGTCTAGTCTTCTTTTCGCATTGATGACATCGGGAACTTGATTGATGCCAGGTACAGGCGGTTGTAGACCTTGGCAGTCCATGCATTGGTTGGACAAAGCAGTTGGTTCTTCCTGGCTACGTTGGAAATGAACCTGCCATGAAAGGACTGAATACCTGACCTTGTTCTTCCCTTCCTTTGCATGTGTCTTAGGCCAATCGACCATTCGCAGCCTCGCTTTTGCGGTGGGCGGTACGAATGCGTGAGGAGCTTGGTATGCAGGATCTTGCAGGCAAAGCGCATGTGTTTTTGTGCTGCTCTAGGAAAGTTTGCTGTCGGTGTCTGTGGTGACTTGCAGTTGAGACTGGGTCAACCTGCGGTACCATCTTACATCTTTGCCCTTGACCAAAGGGATTGTGGTCCCCCCAAAAACGGTGTCTTTTGTTCCCATGTTCAAAGTCCCAAGTCAAGCACTGGTCAAAAAAAACAGTGGTTGGGGGGGGGCGGGGGTTCAGGTAGGTTTAGGGTTGGCATTCGAAGGAGATCCCTTCAGATTGCTTTGCCGTCGAACGGGGCCTTGAGGTCGCTGCTCCGGATGGATCCATGACCTTCTGCGGGTCCCCAGTTGGGCGCCTGTGGAAATCGGCGACAAACTCCCATGGGGCGAAGCTGAGGAGCTGACTTCTGGAATTGCACTTAACCCTAAAAACAAGCAAAACTGGGGGTCGACATTTTCTAGGTCCCCCACCTAGGTGCCCTTTTTAACCGTTTCTTATTTGGGGGAGGGTTCCCCTACTAAAATAGACTGCATAAAAAAGTATGTACCCTTATTCTAACCTCTCTACTGGAGGACCTAGCTAGCAAAGCTGGGGGTCCACACCATGCGGAGTCCGCAAAATGAAGCGAACATTATTGGTGGTTCCCAGCCATCCGGTTCAATGAGCAGTTTAGCTTTTGAGTGCTCAGCGGTTGGATTCCCATTTGACCCGCTAAAAGCTAGTCACGTCACCGGCGGGGGATCTGAAAACGGACAGCCCAGAATTCTCGCTCAAACGAAACCCGGCAACTCATACGCAGCGGTGAGGTCAGCACGGTGACGGGGCCCATCCCGGGGTACGACGCGTGGGCGGAGATCGAGCAGAACCCCTTTGCCCCTTGAGCAGTATGTTTCGCTCGCACTAGGAGATGCAAAAGAAGCAACTGTCCAAGGGCAAAGTCGTCTCGGGGGTCTATGCACAAGCCCATGTTAGATGGGAGGGTAATGGGCAAAAAGCTGGGTATCTGACTTAGTCCCCAATGGATGTTCTTACCTTCAGGTCCCAGACGGAGGAAAGGGAAATGACTCGTTTCGGCGGCGACTAGCTCGGGCCAAGCATTGGTTGCCTTTTGGTGTCCCTTCAAAGCAGTCAGAGCAAAGGATAGCGGATCCCTCAAAAAGCACAGCTTTGCATGCGATGAAAGGTAGCCCTGATGTGGTAGCAACATGTAGCACCGCCCTCGATTTGAGGCGCAATGCCACGGCATCAGACGCCATGACAGCTTCTTACCAGGTCCAGCTAAATCGGGTATGTCTTTTTCCGAGGGTACCCTTTTTGGGTGGCTTTTCAAGGGAAAACCGAAGGGACACCAGCAACCTATGTTAAGAGACACCCACATCTATGATCCAAATACTATCATCTCCCATTGGTGGGGGGGACGGACGCTCTGGAAACTGAGGCGGACTTTGGCTTGACAGGGCGCTGCGCCAAGCTGTCAGAGCATTGTCAGTATGTTCCCGGACGTTCATGGCGCTCCGGCAAACGCCCCGACTGAATCGCATCACAATCGAAGCCCGTTACTGGCCTAGAAATTTCCTCCAATTGAAAAGGAGCACCAGAGCCATCCAGAATGCAGGTGTTGTTGCGAGCAGGCGGCCTTTTGAGAGAGATCCGCACCGGACTATTGTGATCCGAAAGGTTTGTTGAGCAGTTCTTATTGCTATCCTTTTCTGGAGGGATACCACCATACGGCCCATCACGGCCATGACAAGTTTGCAGACCCTTTGATTGTTTAATCCAAGGCAGGTTGACTCACCGCTCAATGATTGGACTTGATTGCAAGCGAGGGAGAAAAGCCTGTGAGGTATCAGACCCTCTGGAGTGGCTTGCTCACAACGTACCAGGCCAGGAATGTGTGTGTGTGTGTGTGTTGTTTCTCGGGTCTCGGTACCCGGCTTCTTGTTTTTTTGTTCATTGTCCCGCAACCCCGAACTTTTGAAATATTTCAGGCATGTACGCACATAATGCAGACATGCATGTTGCGCTTTTGACACTGGCTGAATATATGAACCCTAAAATGTGATGAACCAATGTTGACTGTGGGCCCCTTTGGTCGCTGGTTCTGAATGTGCCAAGTCATGAATAGTTGAACTCAGCTAGATGTGTCTTTTCTTTGCTCCCTTTGTTGGTTTCAAGGCAAGGCAAAAGGACACCCAACTAGGGGGTCCCCTTAAAAGGACACACACCCCACTAGGTGCCTCTACAGGGGTTTGCCTGCCGGCCATTCGTTCGGCCGAAGGTGGTGAACATTGATGGCTGGATCAGCGTGATGCACCGCTTTGCGGACGGGATCGCGTTGAGAAATGTGCGGATGCGATACACGTGGATCGGGTTATCCGGAAGGGACGGGCGCAAGATACGGAGGGAGCCTCTTATCGGACGGTCGAAAGGAAGGTAAGTTGGAAATCACCTACCCACCTGGAAAGGTCCCCGATTTTGAGAAACAACCACACCAAGCCAGCCTTGACAGAGTGGGGCATATGCAGAGACTCTTCTTGGCTTTGTTTGGTGGCCTTGGCCACATGTCCAAAGTGAGGTCCTCGAAGCTTACCTCAAAACAGGTGTTTGATGGGTGTGTTTTTCCTTGAGGGTCCCCCTTTGTGGCGTTTAAAGGGACACCAAAAGGACAACCACCACTTTGAGGGGTCCCACAAACAAAAAAAGCCACCTTCAAGGGTCACCCACAAACACAAACCATCACTTCGAGGGGTGTCAGAAAAAAAGTTGCCCAAGCGGATGCCTCACTTGCGACAACGCGAGGATGCCAAATGGCCGGGGCTCGCCATCGGCTGGTTCGCTCTGCTGATGCTCTTTGGAGGCCTGCGACTCTGTTCCTGGGTGCGCACGACTTTAGCAGCGTGGATGGACATGTCTCTGCTTCCGGCGCTGGTGACTGCAGCAGCTACAGGACGCTTCTTTTTTCTGGGACCTCGAAAGTGGTGTGGTGTGAAAAGGACATAGTGAAGAAGGAAACCATGAATCCATGGTTCGGAAGGAGTCCCCTTAAGGGTTCTCAGGATTCCAAGATCCTCATGGGGGTTGGGGGCCCGAAATATATTTGTTTGGTTTTTGGCTTAGGCTTTGCTAAGGCTTTGATTCTTTTGGTCCAAGCAAATGCCCAGGATTAGGATTGCGCAAGCAATAGGTGCAATGTCGGCCACGAAGATTGCAAGCTTCCTTTTTCCTCGCAAGCTTTGAGTTCTTTTCGTTCTCGCCGGAGACTTCTACCATCTCCTTTTTCCCTCCAGGATGGGAGCGGCGCCAGCGCATAGGCTTGATGCAAATAAGGCTGGCTTTGGTGGACATAATCTGCAACAAGCGAAAAGGTTCGCGTGAGTTGCCTGCATACGTTTGAGGCCTCCAAACTTGCTGTGGTCCAGTGTTTGCGGTAACGATATCCAATTGACAAACATTGTGCCGTTCATGTAAGTGCCGTGTAAGCAATTGCTATGTTGACGATCCCAAAAAGCATCCAACGATCAAGATTAATTCTCAAGGCCAATCAGGGACCGTTTGAATTGGTGTATCTTACAGTATCATTCAGCTCCTGCCAGGAAAGCCATGTCTCCACCTCGCACAATGTTCAGAAGGAGGTTGACGCTGGAGTTCACGTGCACGAGCCTCTCCCAAGGGGTTGCTAGCAACTAGGCGGATGGATGCAGAAATGTAGCGAGCACAATCCCTTGCGCTTGAATTCTTTCGGGACATCCGGCATCCAACTCTTCACCGCTTGGCAGGGTTTCTTCGAGCCTCCAAATAAAGGTCAACTATGGCTCATGTTCCTTTACCCAGGGCTTAAATTCCAGCCCTCGTGCCATCTTATGAGCAACAGCAACCTGGCGGGCAAGCAAAGCAGGCCTGGTGCTCATGAATCTGGTGCTGGCAATCCTTTGGCACAGCTTCGACATCACCGTGCAAGAGGCCGGGGGAAGCAGTGGCTGTTTGTGATGACCTCCACTCAGCTTTTCTTGTTGTTGGGTTTGGAGTTGGGAGGTTTAGATCTGCTTTTCCCTGCAGCAGGTTGAAGGAACGGCCACCAGGGGTCACTGTGTCATTGTCAACACTGTCTCTTTTATGGGGCTGGTAGGGGTGATGGACTCTTTGGCTAGGAATTTGGAAAACCATTGTAGGTATTCCGATTAAAGGAACCCTGGCCATGACTCAGAAGGAGTTTGTGTCATGGCAAACCTGAGAACTTGGGTTTTGCTCAAGCTGCAGGACAGATCCCAGCACGAGGGCGAGTACAAGCTAGTGATGGAGGCACGTGGAAGCCTTGCAAAGGAGGGGCAAAAGCCTCTTTAGACGCCTGTATTCACCAAATACGTGTTGTGGTTCTTGGAAAAGGGGGGATACAATTACAACACGGCCAATCCCCGCCACTCACTCCCTGAGATCATGGACTTTACCACTTTTTGGATAGACAATTTTAGTGGTAATTCAGAAGTTGAGACTGTTTTTGGCCAGTCTGCTCGATCGGAAGTGAGAGATACCCGACTTCTTCCGTTTTTGCTTCAACAACCGGCGAGACGCCTCACCCGATTTCGCCGCGGTTTTTTTCGGGTTTTTCGCCACTTGAGGCGAAGCAGATGGATCCAAAGCCGGTGATCACCAAGGACATCCAGGTCTTGCCGCTCCATGCGCTGGCGCTCCGCCCCGGATTCCGGACAGAGAGCTGGCTGTGGTCAAAACCGTTTTGGATCCGAAGTTGGGGTTTTCGGTGCACCACCCATTTCAGAACCTATTTTAGTGGGGATTGGGATGTTCACTGGACTGGGGTACGGGCTTTTGACCCATGGCCAGCTTCCAATCTTCCATGTGCTGAAATGAAGCTCTCACTTGCTCAAAGTTAAGCTTTTGACCGTTTGGCTTTGACCTGTTGGTACATGTTTATTCATGGCCCATGACCCTAGAAGGCTAACATCTCATTTCCAGGTCCTTTGGGCATCTGAGATATTGCTTGTTTTCCCTTGTTGGTTTTAAGGGGAATCGATCACTACTGGAAATATGTATCATTCTTATTATTATTATTAGTAGTAGTAGTAATAGAAATATTATTATTATTGTTATTGTCATTATTGTTATTATTAATACTGTTATTGCTGTTATTGTTGTTGTTATGAGTATGATTATTATTACTCATTATCAGTTTATTATTGTTATTATTAGTATCCAGGTGACTTAAGCAAATAGACACAATTTCAGAAGGTTTTTGAAATGGGTGGAACCAAGGACTAAAACCTGCGGTTCTTTTGACACACACACACACACACACACTTATGAATCCCATATCTGAATCCAAATGGAACACCCCACCCGTACTCTACTCCACCAGGAGGTCTTCTGCATTCCGAGCACCCATTGATCGGGGCAACATTTTTTTGAGTATCTATTTTTGACCCACGGTCTAAAGACCCCCTCATAGAGTGGATTTCGGGCGGGGTGTCAAGTTTTGGAGTCAGGTACCTTGTTTCTCCGCTGCAACTCCGTTTGTCGCATTCATTTGGATTGCGAAACAATTGGGCTTAATGTTTTCAGTGGGCTAGCGTTCAACAGACCATTAGCCTCCCCGCAATTGGTGGTTTGGATGTGTTCCCCGGTACAGCTTCCCGTTTGCCTCAAGAGGAACCGGGCTTGAAAAAGCTTCCAAACCGGCAATCCCATCCCAAGCCAAATCTCGATATTCCCCACATGCTTTGGCTCATCGATCCCACCTCCTCAGCAAAAAATCCAACCCCAAAATACTCGATCACCCAACCAAATCCCCAATTGCCTCAGTTTGCTTCTTCCACCCCAAATCCCAATTTGTTTCATTCGCTTCAAGGGTTTGACCACCATACCCTTTCGTATGGCGTGCCAACAACAACCACATTTGGCCACTAACCCTTTTTCAAGCCTTATACAATGTTCATATTTGGCATATATTCTACAGTTCCTGTCCCCACCGGTTGGCCCTGAACGCGCACCTCAACCCTAGGGCCCTAAACCACCACAACCCACCACAACCCCACCACAGCAGGGGCGTGGTCCTTTACCAACCCTAAACCAAACCACCCATGGGGGGGGGACTTGTGAACCCCTGACATGTGAAAATACAGAAAATACGTGAAACTATATACACATATGTATACAAAAGTGTATAATATATATAATATATATATACATACACATACCATGCACATATATACATACACATACACCATACATATAAATACATACATACATGAAATATGAATACATACATATATATATATACATACCATGAACATATATACATATACATACACCATACATATACATATATTTGAAATATGAATATATATACATATATATATATATATATATACAAACCATGCACATATATACATATACATACACCATATACATACATGTATGAAATATGAATATATATATATATATACATACCATGAGCATATATACATATACATACACCATACATATACATACATATGTGAAATATGAATATACATATATATATATACATATATATATATATACATACCATGCACATATATACATATACATGCACCATACATATACATACGCCATACATGTACATACATATTTGAAATGTGAATACGTATATATATATATATATACAGTTATACCATGCACATATATACATATACATACACCATACATATACATACATATGTATATATATATATATACATACCATACAGATGTATACATATACATACACCATACATATACACACACATATGAAGTATGAACATATATATATATATACATACCGTGCACATATATACATAGAAAGACATATGCATACATATTGTATATAAACTATGAGAAAATATATATATACCTACCACGCACATATATACATATACATACACATATACATACATCTATGCAATATGCATATATATAGACATACCATGAACATATATACATATACATACACCATACATATACATACATAATTGAAATATGAATATATATATATATATATATACATACCATGAACATATATACATAGACATACACCATACACATACACACATCTATGAAATAGGTATTTATATGTACACATACCATGAACATATGTACATATACCTACACCATACCTATACATACACATATGAAATATGCATACATATACACATGCCATGAACATTTATACATATACAAGCACCATACATACACATACATGTATGAAATATGCATACATATATACATACCATGAACATATATACATATACATGCACCATACATATACATACACCATACATGTACATACATATTTGTAATATGAACATATATCTATATATATATATTTATACCATGCACATATATACATATACATGCACCATACATATACATACATATTTAAAGCACATATATATATACATACCATACACATGTATACATGTACATACACCGTACACATACACACACATGTGAAATATGAACATATATATTTACATACCATGCACATATATACATATAATCACATATGCATACATATTATATATTAACTATGCATATATATATATATCTATACATACCACGCACATATATACATATACATACACATATACATACATCTATGCAATATGTATACATATACACACAACATTAACATATATACATATACATACACCATACATATACGTACATATTTGAAATATGAATGCATATATATATATATATACCATGAACATATATACATATACATACACCATACACATACATACATCTATGAAATATGAATATACATATATATATATATCTATACATACCATGAACATTTCTAGATATACATACACCATTATATATATATATGTATATATATCTCTTCTCGGGTGTGGGTTCGGGGCGATTTCAGCGACCCGCGCATCCCAGGTGCGGTCTGTGCAGGACCTCGAGGTGGAGCTGGCGGCGGCCCAGGCCTTCCACGCCCTGGACACGGAGCGATTGGGGCGCTCAGGGGTCACCGGATCCGTGCAAAGAGTTGCTATTTTCTGGTATGTGTTTTATTATGCAAGCTGCCACTTTCGGTGGTTAAAGGGAAATTCGGAAAGAGCCGAGGTGACCTTTTTGGAAAAATGATGGTGGAACAAATCCAATCTGAAGTGCCATCTAAAACTATACGTGTGAGGTCCAACCTAAAAAGTGGGTACAACTCACTGAGTTCCGTTTCGGATTCAATTTTTGTCGCCCCCCCATTCTTTTCAACCAAGGGTTCTGACTCCAATGCCGGTTTCTCCGGGCTGGAGGTGAAAGATTCGGATTGGGGAAGGTACCCTTAGAATGCTTCCTCGGCACGTGGGGGTTTGAGAGTCGTTTCAGTGAACCAAATCTCCGGAGGTTCCGGTACCTCTGGAGCTGCGACTTTGGGGGTTAAAAACGCGCGAGGAGTTTCGGTCCATGGGCATCAAGAACATTTGCTACAGCATGATCACCAGTCCTTGGCCGCAGCCCTGGTGAGTTAGGCGTGCCAAAGCGAATCGCAGTCCGTGGGCTTCCAGGGGACTTTTTTTTGTGTTTCGTGGGCATTTTCCAGGACAACATTTGCCTTTTTTTTTGGGGGGGGGGGTGATGTACACATTGGCGCCATCGGGGGCCTAGTTCACGAGTGTTGCCACCGAATTCTCGGGTGCATGCGCCTGAGACTCTCCGTGGCCCTTTTTTGTCAAAAGAATCCAGCTGTGCTTATGGTCAACTCATTGAGGTAGTCTTTGTAGCTGCGGTAGCTGAGTTAATTCCCTTTAAAGCCCGTCTACAACCTACTTGGGTTGCACATCCAAGTTGGATCCCGCAAAGCCCCCACCCCGCAGTTTGTTTAATGCAGCGGCGTGCCACGCCGCAGTCATGACGGCGTAGCATGATCAAGCTGTGATGGGAAGTGGGCGGCCCATATGTCCCTGTTTGTTGGTTGGTTTTATGCATCACCTTTAAGGCGGTGGGGGAATGTTTAAAACTTGACTGCTATTGGTTGGGTGGGATCTTTAGACCAACTTTTTGGGAATTCAAGAGGTTTCCGGTTTTCCACAACCCCCAAAAAGTTGAACTTTTTGCAGGGGGGTCAACAGCAACCAAGTAAAGCAATCTAGGGAACCCGGCAAGCGTTTGGTGCCTTGTAGGCTGGGACCCGCGCGAGGTTTGGCCGCGTGATGAACATCATCATCATCGTCAATGCTTTGTGCATGTGCTTTGATATCTATCCTCCGTACGTGCCTCTTCCGCACATGGATTTGCACGGTCGCAGTCTTAAACCCCTCAGCTTTTGAGGTTTTTTAGTTGCTTTAATGGTAGTTTCTAAAGATCTGAGGGCAGCCCAATGCAAGGATGATACCATGCTGCTCATTCTGGACAACATCAACCTTCTTTGCTCCGTGATGTTTTTCGCAGAGGCGACGGCAAAGAGCTGTGAGACACGCAACCCTCACGTTTGGGGATTTGAACCCCAGGTTCTGGTGGCCGGCGCACGGGTTTAGCCCTCCTGAACCACCAAACCGATTCGACTCCAAACCAGAGGAAAAAACCCACCCATATGAATGATGTACACCAGAGGGTCCTGTATGAAAATTCACATCCACTGCCAGGTCTGCGTGAAGATCATTGGAGTTGGTGTCTCCTTCTTTGAGGACAATGGCAACAGGCCGGCCGGGTCCTCCTGTTGGTCGTTCCGAAAAGGTCAGCCGCAGGGTGTGGCTCTTCCACAGTTCCGTATACTTCCCGTTGGCTTGGTAGTGGCCATGGGTCAAAATCCAAATCAGTTCGCCCCCAGTGAACATCCCAATCCAACCGCTAAAATGGTTGTGAAATGGGTGGTGAATTCACCTGCCCCCACAGATCCCTTTGTTTTTGACAACCACAGCCACACATCACTTTTGGGCCACTGGCGCCACTTTGAAGCGGGTTCCTCTTGCAGGGGGGACGTTGAAAAAGAAAACTTGTAGGGAACCCGGTTCCCCAGCTAGTAGCCTGCTAATTGTGTTTTCATGGTAGTTGTGGATCCAAACTACCCCATCAGGAAAGACAAAAGCTCCCCAGGTAATTTGTGTTTTCATGGAAAGAACTGGAGCCGTGCCAATCTTGACCTCCCGCCGTCGGTTGGCTTCTTCGTTTGCGGAACGCCGAAACTGGACTCTTGGTTGGGGTGAATAGGAACTCCACCTCAAGGATTTTTGTTCGAGAACCATGCAGTTAGATATATCTATCTATATCTATTGCATTTTTTTCAAAATAGGGGTGCCCCAAAAAATGATCTGCTTTCCCGTGGTTCCCCTTTGGGTAGTCCCAAAAAGCACATGTATATATATATATATATTCACACACACGCATTTATCCATATATTTGTTTGTATGATACTTTGGAGTCCACCCCAAGCAACTAGCAGCGCACTTTTATTCAACCCATGCATCGCCAGGTTCGACTTCCTTCTGGTCATGCTGTCGGTGGTTGAGCTCTTCATGAGCGGTGGCTCTGCTTTGCTCGGGGGCCCATTGATTCGCCTTTGTATGGGTCTTGTTTTTTTTTGGTCGGTACCCGTTTTGGGGTGGTGTGTAAGTAAGGGGAACCAAACGAACCCCGCAAATTTGGAGGGATCCCTATTTGTTGAGACGTGTGTCAGGGGGCCACTAAAGGAGCCCCACGAATTTGGGGAGGGTTCCCTATTTTGAGACCTGGCGCTGGAGCCGATTGGAAATGGCTCCGCCGGCTCGGTCCGAAGGCTTACCCAAGCATTCCTCTCGGTTGGCGAGGGTCAGACCCGTTTCGAGACCCCTCCAACAATGGGTGAGACCCCTCCAACAGTTGGAAGACGATGTTCCTCTGGGACACCCCCCCGCTGGCCACTTCCATTGTTGGACAGAGGGTGCCGATATACTGCCAGGGTTGAGGTCAAGCCTACCCTGGCTGAAAGCCCCACGTGAATGTTTGGGCACGCCGCATGTGGTTATGTGTGGTCAATTTGCGACAGTTTCAACCACGGCCGAACTCAAATGTTCCCACATGGAGCTGCCCTCGGTTCAGGTCAGCGCTGAGAACGGCGCGACTTCTGAGAATCTTCAGGATGATCCACATGAGCATGTGGCTCGATTTGCTTTAGGCGTTTTTGCGTTCAGCAATTTGAACTTTGCTTTAATCCACAGTGTTCGCTGCGGTGTGCGATTTCATGTCGCAATTGTGGATTCAGCCAAGGAACTTGCGAATTCTGCTGATGGTCTTCCAAATGGCATCTTGGCTTGCAGTTCTTGATGCGACGATTCGGGTTGTGCTTTGGCAACACAAAACCAGTGGAAACCCCCACTAAACCCACTAAAACTCACTAAACCGCAAAACCAGCAGCTCTTGATGAGTTGCGAGCTGAGGCAGTCACACCTACGCTGTACTTCTCCATGATTGTGATCTTGTCCGCAGCCCAGAGACTGGCGCCAGTTGCAACTGAATGACTGGCCGCGATACTTTGAGGGCGATTTTGGAAAAACCAATGGCAACACGATACACTTATGGCTGCGGGCCAAAACCAAGGGTACCAATTGGGGTGCACCACCCATTTTAGTCTATTTTAGTGGGGATTGGGATGTTCACTGGGGGTATGGGATTTTGACCCTTTTCTGGTAGCTTTCGGGTTTTACGCGGTTGCGTCACCTTGGCGCCCCATTTTTCGGACGGCTCTTTCAGAAGCCATATTCCTTCCGCGTAATGTGTGGCGAGCTCAGCGTGGTATAAAGATCCTTTACTTTGGGGGTCCGATTCTTATTTCAACTTTTGGACATATTGTCAAATTGGGCAGATAACTTGGCAGGTTCCTCTACTGCTCCTGCCTTGCTGGGCTCCAGATCTTCTACAAGACCGATGGCAGGGTCCCCAGAGTCCAGCGACAGCGCGTCCAAAATCAACCCTGCGGAAATGCGACTTGAGGTGGTTCCACTACCTGATTTTACAGGGCTCCTACAACCTACATAAGCCTTTATCACAACTGTAACGGTAGGACCAAATGTCAATGGGTGTTGCGCGCTGCTCTCATTGATGTTTGGTCAAAATGACCAGTAGTCTATGGCTGATTTGGGAAGCACATGGGCGAGCACACTAAAAGTCCAAAATGAACAGTATTCTCCCCATGTCCTTTTGGAGAAAGCAACCATTTTGAACGTGCCTCACATTCAAACCAAAAAGGACACCCTCCCATGGAGATTTCAATAGAAATGGCGGCTTGTTTGGTTCCATGCTAATCTGGAATGATTTGTAGTAAGTCCGGACCTTCGAAGGAGCGGTTCCACTGCGAAAACTGCCCATGCCGTGCTTGATCTCTCGTCCTCTCCTTTCGAGACTAAGGGCACGAGTCCATTCAAGGGTTCTTTCCGGGTTCTTTTGAGGCAGAGCCCGAAGTTGTGGTGCTTGCAAAGCTCTTAGTTTCTCTGACCCATTTGGTGGCGCAAATGCCAGCCCTTAGAACAGTAACTTTCAATTGTTTGGGGGATGAATGTTTTGTTTCCTAGCCAATCAGTATCTCAACCAACCGTAGTGATGCCGAAGCAATTAGTAGCGCCCGCCCCTCCTTTTTAAATGGCAAGCTCGCACCTAGAACTGCCTTCAGAGTGGCTTTCCTTGCATTTGAGTCGCATTGTCCAACAATTCAAGCACGTGCAAAATAGGGAGCTTTTTTTTTGGACCATGTTTTGAAGGGAAGCCGGACAGGAAGGCCACCCCGTTTCCCACCCCTCACCCCCGCCCCTCACCCCCACCAGCTCCCCACCCCCCATCCCCCACCCTGCGGTTCCATTTTTGGCGGTCCAAACGGAAGCGGGCGATCGAATTCGGCGCCAGTTGCCATGAACAGCCCGGGCCTGGGCTTCGACTCGCTGGCGGGGTGCCCCAGCGTTCAGCTTGGAACCCCGCGGCCTTGGGCTCGTCTTTTGGGGCAACCACTCTTGGATTGTTTTTAAAGAGGAAGATCCCAAAGGAATTTTGAGGGGTCCACTTTAAGACAAACTTGGATGTTCAAACCAAGTGCTTAGGCAGTAGGTTACAATGACTTTGGGTCCCTAGAAACCACGGTCACAGCTTTGTCCGTTCAACCCACTGAGTTCGAAAGGTTATAGTGACCATGGATAGAACTGGGGCATTCGGTGGTCGATTCCCCTATGGTTGCGAAGTGGCTTAAAAATACAAGTCAGGAACCCAATTATTTCTTTGTTGCCCTGAACACTGTTCACTTTGAGGGCCCAAGAGCCTCCAGCATGTTTATCGGGGGTGTCCAATGCAGCCGGCTTCAAGAGGGGGTGAATTGCTGCACTTGCAAGTGACTCGTTTTGGATCATTTCATGGGAGCCTCAAACACCCACCACGTTGATCCCTGTAGAAAAATTGTCTACTCAACGTCTCAGGTAGGTCTTGCGGCAAATCATGGCCTCCCGCAAATTCGCTGGCCGATTAGGGTCCCCGTTGTGGGATTGGTTTGAAGTATGGAACCGTACCCTCCCAAAGAAGGACCTTCCTCAATGTTCCCTTGGTGGGTAATTCGGGAGGTTCGGAGGACAGCCCACGTTTAATGAAACCATATACCAATACATGTGTTTTGGTGTTGTGGCTAAGAAAAATTGGAGGACGCCCCACGTTGAATGACGCCAATATTTATATATACGTAATATAGTTGTTATGTTCCCTTTGTGGGTACCGACAGCCCACGTTTAATGAAACGACATGAAACCAATACATGTTTCTTTTTTTGTGCGTACCAAACAGAAGTCGTGGAGGCCCATGGATCCTCAGAAGGCCATCGAATCGCTGAGGGCATTGGCTTCCTGACGTCACTGGCCATCTTCTCGGGGGACGGGTGGCTGGATATCGCCAAGGCCCAGATCCAGAAGCAGGCGGAAGCTTCGAAGCTTCGGGCGTTGGTTTCTACTTGTCAGAGCTGCATTTTGCCAAGGGACGTTAAGACTTTAACTTTTAGCCAACTAACGGGTTTTCCATGAAACCACTATGAGTTAAAAAACTTTTAGCAGGGGAGCAGAATGTTGTTGCTTGGTGTCTACAGGAAACCCAAGGGAATCCGGGAACCCCTGTCTTTTCCAGGGTCTCTTCCCAGGGTACTGGTACCTGTTTTTTAGTATGTTCAAAAGGAAAGCCAAAGGGCGGCCATGCCTGCTAGGATTATGGCTCTTTGGAGACACAACTAGTTGACTAACCAGGCCCCCAGAATGGCTCTGAGAACCATTCGAAGAGACCCTACTGAAATGGTTCTAAACTCCTTAGCCGGGCAGGAGGGCTTTGGTTTTCTCAGCGTGGGATGCGAAGTAGTTTCCCAAGCAAAAGGATCCTTGCGGCTTGTGTCGGTAAACCATGTAAATGGACAGACAAAACGACATAACGCGTGCAGGCACGCACGCACGTACGCAACCCACACTCCCCTCGCACGCCCCCCGCATGCCCCCACACCCGCAAACGCGCACGCGGCCGCCCGCAAGCACGCACGCACACGCACAAGCGCATGCTGCTCGCGCATACTCGAAAGCACGCACGCGCACACCAGCGAAATCACAAGCAAACAACAAGCAACCACTAAACATGTCAGACACACACCACACACACACACACACACAGCACAGGCCTGCGCGCGCCAGTGCACGCACACGCGCACACTCACACAGACACATTGTAGAGCAGTACCATGCCTTCCAAGAGACGCCAAAGCCCAGCCCTAATCTGTGTCATGTTCTTGCTTTTGTTTGCGTTGTCTGTTTTTCTTGAACTGTGTGTGTGTGTGTTTGTGCGAGTCGGATGTTTGGTCTGATCTCCCGCTTGGAAGTGGCAAGCAGTTCTGTTCCTTCCAGTATCTATTTCCGTTGGTGTTGGTGTGTATTTCGGCTTCAGAGGTAGTCAATGCAGTTCATCAGCGTGTTTGTTGGTTGCTTGCTTGCTTGCTTGCTTGCTTGCTTGCTTGCTTGCTTGCTTGCTTGCTTGCTTGCTTGCTTGCTTGCTTGCTTGCTTGCTTGCTTGCTTGCTTGCTTGCTTGCTTTGTTGGCTGGCTGGCTGGCTGGCTGGCTGGCTGGCTGGCTGGCTGGCTGGCTGGCTGGTTGGTTGGTTGGTTGGTTGGTTGGTTGGTTGGTTGGTTGGTTGGTTGGTGTGGTTCTTTCTTTCTTTCTTTCTTTCTTTCTTTCTTTCTTTCTTTCTTTCTTTCTTTCTTTCTTTCTTTCTTTCTTTCTTTCTTTCTTTCTTTCTTTCTTTCTGTGTGTGTGTGTGTTTGTTTGTTTGTTTGTTTGTGTGTTTGTGGTTTGGTTTGGTTCAGATTGGATTGGATTGGATTGGTTGGCTTACCTGGCGGGCTGGCTGTTTTTTTGTTTGTTTGTTTGTTTGTTTGTTTGTTTGCTTGTTTGTGTGTTGGTTTGTTTGTTTGTGTGTTGGTTTGCTTGGAATTGGTTTGGTTTGGTTATGGTTTGATTGGCTGGTCGGCTGGTTGATTGGTTGGTTGGTCGGTCGGTCGGTCGGTCGGTCGGTTGGTTGGTTGGTTGGTTGGTTGCTCGGTTGGTTAGTTTGCTTGCTTGCTTGTTTGTGTGTTGGGTTGTTTGGTTTGTTTGGTTTGTTTGGTTTGTTTGGTTTGTTTGGTTTGTTTGGTTTGTTTGGTTTGTTTGGTTTGTTTGGTTTGTTTGGTTTGTTTGGTTTGTTTGGTTTGTGTGTTTGTTTGTTTCCCTAAGGATCCCAACTCTTTTCGGGGCGTCGTTTGGCATCGGGACCTCAAAGGCAGAATGGCGAGGGGCCATAGAAACACGACCCCTTTTAGCGAGGGCCCCGGCTGCCCAGGGCCACTGCCTGCGGGCTGCAAACCCTATCCTTGAAAACCATCGCTTTGACCACTGACCATTGGCCGGCACACCGGCCTGGCTGGCAAACAGATGATTCAGTTGCCAAAGACAAATCGGGCAAGCACAAGTGAGCACGTGCCCTAAACCTAGCAAAACACAAACCCTTCGATGGCTGTTCGACATCTGTTTTCCGACGGCGTCCGTACTCATGCTGGAATTCCGCGATTTGCCGACAACTTTCCGACGGCTTTCCGACGGATTCCTGACAGCTTTCCGACAGCTTTCCGACGGATTTCCGACGGCTTTCCGACGGATTCCTAACGTTTCCGATGGCTTCCCAACGTTTCCGACGGCTTCCCGGCGTTTCTGACGGCTTCCCGACGTCTAAAGGCTTCCCGACGTTTCTGACGGCTTACCAACGTTTCCGCCGGCTTCCCGACGTTTCCGACGGTTTGTCGACGGCTTTCCGATCGCGCGTAGCCAATTGAATTGCGCACGGCAGGCCATGCTGCCCTCATTGGCCTTTCAGACACACGCACAAACACAGAAAGTCAGCAACCTTTGTTTGGCAAGCGTGGGGCCCCTGTCAAGAACCAAGCATCATAAGACGCATCGCCAGCCCACAACACATTTGCAACATATCCGAAACAATACGCGTTTCCACCTACATGGGGCCTGGCCTTTTGTACTCCCTTCTGGACATCGGAATTGTGTTCTGCGGCAGGTGTGTGGTTGTGGCTAGTGGCCAGCAGTTGGGCTTGAGACCTTGTGGCCTGTGCTCTCAAAACGGGTCTGGGCCCTTGGGGCGTCGAACTACGAACTGCCAGAGCCCCGTAACGTCGTCAACAGGGAATCCAGGCTGGACCTCTTCAATGCACATCCGACCCCTCCAATGCACATACCAAAGAGCCCTAGCGTTGTTTGTTTTCTTAATTTAATCACCGGTGCAAGAAGCCAACACCACTGCCACGCATTGGAAGGAGAACTCGCTGTTCGGATTCGTTTACTTCCTGATGACCTTCACGCACCTCGGTTTTTGTCAGACACTGCAAGCGTGTTCCACACATGGTTTCAAACAGCACCTTTCTGGACACTTGCAGTGGCCTCCTGGGGTGATGTTTAAAGAGGAAATGCAAGGTGCCCCGTTGCATCCTCAGGATCGGCCTGTGGCCGAACACCGAGGCTTGTCTCAGCGTTGCTTTCCGAAAGAGCAGTCATCGGAATTTTCAAAAAGTCGGGCCAGGACCATGAAAGACAAGCATCAGCTGGTGGGGTTATGACTTGATCTATCCAGACATCAAGTGCAACAGTTGCCCTTGAGAGGGTCCCTTTGAGAAGAATCAAGCTTCTCAGGTAGCATTACAGCTGCTCTGTTTGTGGGAGGAAGGCTGATCGACTTGCAGGCAAGCTGACACATATGCATGACAGGCCGTGCCTCACATGCAGGGGGCAAAGCTTTCGTGTGAGGTTTGTCAGCACCTACGTTCTAGCTTGGGCATGTCTTTGGCGACGCCGAGCAGCGACAAATCCCATCATGTGGTTTGGTCGGGGGGTAGACTTTCTTAATAGACCTTGTGACTTCTGACCTTATGGTTTTATTCCTCATGGGTGATGTGCTTTGTGACATGAGACGGCACCCGAGGAGCACTTGCATTCACCTTGTACTGCGCCTTACACCCTGGAACATCTTGAATGTTGATGAACGTTTGTCATGAAACTTGCAGAGTGCATGACCTCGCAGGCGGTCTGAGTGGGACCCCAAAAAATGTTTGGGCACCCTCAAAGACAGAGACACAGGCACATACTCAGACACACACACACACACACACAGAGACACACTCACACACATAATAATATGGGTTTGTCTTTTTTCAGGGGACCCCCAAATGGTGGTTTTCTTCCTTTTGGTTTCCCTTCAAAGCACACCCAAAAAGGGCATCTAACAAAAGACACACCCAGAGGTATGGCTTTGGAGCCACGCGTTCCCAGGCTGGGGAAGGCCGTCCTGAAGAATTTGCTTTTGGGCATCATCGCGGCGGAGTTCCGCATCGCGAGAGACCGCATGAAGCAGGCCGCCTGCTCGGCGCGTGGTCATGGCTTCTTGCAGTGGGGTGTGGCTGGGTGGGGCATGGTGGACTGGTGGGCTGGTGGCTTTGGCGCTTTGAAGTTTGACGAATTTCAGGCTGGCATGCCACAGAGGGCCAATGCGTGACACAGTTCAACGACCTGTTCCACCTGCCAGCTGGTCATTTCCAAAATATGAGGGCTTTGCTTCAGGCATGTTGTACGGGCTCTTCACTTACGACACACCCTTGTTTGGCTCAGGCGGGACATATCTACCCATAGGTCCGAGTCTCTGAGTCCGTGGTATATACCAGTTGCTACGTCGGCCCACTCGGAGTGCCCAACTGCACCCCAAGCAGTTGGTTGCAGTTTGGGACATAGCCTGAACAAAAGACGCGCCTTTCCCAAAGGTCCCTTTTTAAGCAACCCCAAAGGCCTGAAAGTGACACGCTCCTCGAGGACTTCCGCCTACGGATGGCCATCGCGAGGGCGAAGCTGGAGAAGGCACGGTCGAGGCATGGCATCAGCAGATAACTTTCCAGACCCTCACGTTGTCCGTTCTTTTTGGAGGGAGTTCCCCTTTCAATGAATTCCCATGAAAAGAGTGGCCTGTCGTTATGGCCAGTGGGGGTCTGCTGGCAAGGTGGACTTGAAGGTAGGGCTTTTCCTTTGTGGGACATGCCTAGGTGCAAGCCTATCTTGGGTCGGCTTGTGAACCCCACAAAATGCAAGCGGTTTGACCCAAACTAAGCAGCATGAGGCGGCCAAAGGGTGCCGTAGGGTAGAATTCACACCCATGTCCCTTTGTGGAAGTCTTTTCACAACTTAGAGCAAGCTCTCAGCCTGGTTCGCCTATGAAGAGTCCTTGTACCAGTTTCACTGGAACTGTCCAGTGAAATTGTTTCACTGGAACTGGCTAGAGAAGTTGAGAGAGAGGGAGAGACTGGGAGGGGAATTTAGCGACCCCTCGGTGTCTGTATATCATATCAAGCCCCCCCCCCGCCGCCCGCCCAATTTTGAACATTGAAAAGAAGCAGCGGTCCAGCAACCATTTGGATGTGTCCCTTTGTGAGAGTACCCGTTTTTTGTTGTTTCAAAAGGACACAAAACGCAAACCACCTTTTTGTTTGCGAGGGTCTTGCAAAAGACACGACCTTTTGGGTTGAGGCCAATTCTGGGGAGATGTGACTCCACAACCATGGCAGTGTTTCAAAACTAGCCGCGTTTTCTTGGGCGAGGTGTTGAAGTCAACCATTCGCATGTGTTCCTGGTTTGACAGGACCTGGACAGCACCCAAACATCTGCAGAAAGGCCATAGCGGGTTCTACTTGGTTTCATGGGTATAGAAAGGCCAACATAAACCATTAGCAACCATCTCATTGGAACCAACAGTCAACGTGTTTTGGCGCTGCTCACTTGAATTGCGTGTTTGCTATTTTGGGAGGATACTGAGGACTTGGGCAATCCCTTGGCGATTGCATTTTCCTGCACAGCTCGATAGGACAACCAAAGGAACCGCTCTTGAACAAAGAACGGCAAAATGGCTGGTTGTGTACCTGGGATCAGCTGGGCCAGGATCGTGCGAATGGTCCGTGACGATCTGGGGATTGTCAAGACTGCCATCAGGGATTCGGGTTTAACATGCGGGGACGGTCGATGCATTGAAGCGGGGGACCCTATCGACGGAGTTTGGACATCCGTGCCCAGTTGCGGCGGGCCGAAGCGGCGGCGGCCCTGCCAGGCCTGTCCCGGTTCGGTTTCGCTGGGGTTCGGCTCGGCCAGTGATTTTGGTGCTGGAAGTGGATCTGAGTGGAAGCCTACCATCCTCTTGAGAAGGCTTGGCCACTTCCAGAGATGTGTCGAAACGAGGGGACAAAGGTGATGTGTTTGTTGGTTTGCCTTTGAACCAACCTGAAAGCAACACCTCGTTTTTGTATTTTTTACTTGCTTTGTTGGTCAGACAGGAACGGTTTAAGTTTTCCGGATCTCAATTTCTACCAAGGATTGCATTCGAGTTCACAGCTTTTACCGAAAGCATTGCGAACGGTTCTTCCGCATAGATTCGCCAGCCGTATCGTGCAGCCAAAAAGCACGCAGCACATGCAGAGCCAGATGCACGAGAGCACGGACGTGCAGAGGAAGTGGTGCGACCAAATCATGTGTGACAGATACCTTGACAGAGGCGGTTCTGCATAAACACCTGTTTTCACATTTTGGGTCCAAACGGGCTTAAAACCCCGGACAACCCCCCGGACAAACCCCCGGACAACCCTCCGGACAGCTTTGAGGGCCCAAAATCGGCGGGACAACTCCCCGGACAAACCCCCGGACAAATTTCCGGACAGCTTTGAGGGCCCAAAAGCGCGGGACAAACCCCCGGACAAACCCCCGGACAACCCTCCGGGCAGCTTTGCGGCCCCAAAAGCCGGGACAAACCCCCGGACAAACCCCCGGACAACCCTCCGGGCAGCTTTGCGGCCCCAAAAGCCCGGGACAAACCCCCGGACAAACCCCCGGACAACCCTCCGGACAGGTTTGAGGGCCCAAGAACCCGGGACAAACCCCCGGACAAGTCTTCGGACAGGTTTGGAACACGCCAAAACCACTCGGAAACCACTCGGAAACCACTCGGAAACCGCTCGGAAACCACTCGGAAACCACTCGGAACCTGCTCAAAACCACTCGGAAACCACTCGGAGGGAAGTATTCTCGCGGGAGGGGGGGTTTGCAGCATAAATCTCGGCAAAGCGCGCGAACAACCCTCCGGACAACCCTCCGGACAACCCCCCGGACAACCCCCCGGACAACTTGCCGGACAGTTGTTTGTCCAGCAGTTTGTCCCGCAATTTGTCCGGCACTTTGTCCCGCACTTTGTCCCGCACTCTGTCCCGCATATCGCGGGGGGTGTTTATGCAGAAGGGCATTCGTCAACAGATACCCTGGCTTGTACTTTTGACGCTGGAAGGAAGCCAATCTATGCTGGCGTCTCCTAAACCTGCCAACTAACAACAAACAAACTGTCATGCTGCACAATTATGTTTGAGCGCAAGTGCCTGCAGCTCTTTGAGAGCTTCAATCTTCCTTGTGTGGCAACTTGTTCAATTTCCACGCACATGGCTTCTGAGTGGTCTTCTCAGGAATTCGTTCATAGAATCCGGCCACACAGAACTTTGCAGTATGCTTGGAGATGATTTAAGTGGCTTGCCCTGGCCCTCCCGTCAATAAACATGGAACTTGACTGGAATACCATGTTTTTTAAAGGGACCGCTTGTCATGTTCCATGTTGGTGGGAGGTTAGATGTTCCTGTTTTCCTTTGCATTGCCTCATGGAAAAAACACACACACCAAACAAAACGTGCCTTTCGAACCCGAAACCGCGATTTTCTGCCTGCCGGAGGAGGGTCAAATGCGGAGGCTGAGGCGTGGAGGGTTTGTTTTTTTTTCTTGAGATGGGCCGAAAAGATCGCAGCCGGGCAAACACATCCAGCACATAGAGTTGTCCTTTTGATCGGCTAGCGTGGATAGAAATAGATGTGTAAACCATTAGTTTAGATGGGTTTTATATTCATTCCACTTCCCAGGGGCATCCATCTATTTTTTGCCCCGCTGCTCTTTTGGACAATACTTGGGGGTTTGCTGGGTGGATGCTGGACCGTCGCGCGCCTGTGCGGCTTGCTTGCGTGAAACCAGCAAGCCCGCTTTGCTGGCCAGGATTGGTTGCCAAGTTGGTTTCAAGTCCTGTGGTCGAAGGGACGCCAGAAAACGTCGACGTAAACGGTGGCTTGTTTAAAGAGATCCCAAGCCTAGCGAGCCTCCGCCCTAAGCATCCCAACTTCATTGGGGGTGTCGTAGAGCTGCGGGGCGTGGGGGAAGGTGCTCTAGAGGCCCAGAGGCCACGGGGTTGTCACAGGGACACCCCCGGGGTGTCGTAGTGAGGGCCCAAAGCTCCGAGTGCAAAGTTGCACGTGAAAGTACCATTGTGCAAGCGTTCCAGCGCAAACTTTTTAGGCAACCGGCCACACAGACTTGCAACGTACTCTCACCTGTGAAAGTCGTTGCGTTTGGTTTTGGCAGCATGTTTTTCGTGTTATACGCACACGAAGCGCATCCGGTAGGGTCGTTGCAACTCCGTGTGCCAGTGGCGTTTGGTTTAGCATGTTTTCAAGAGACAATTGCTGCGTGATATTGAGGTCTTTTTTGTAGAGAAATACATGCTGAACGTGGTCCCCTGAGATGGTTTCATTGATCAAGTTGAGGTCTTTTGGGTAGGCCGAACGCACTGGCACACATGGAAAACACCTTCCCTCGATCGCGGTTTGTGTTGGTGATGTTGAGGCATTTTGGGTGGCCAATCGCATTGGCACACGCCTGAAAAAACACTTACTGGGTCCTTGTGGTTACACGCCCCGCAAGCCATGATCTCGCGCCGCAAGCAGTGTGCCAGTGGGGAAAGCTATTTAGGGTCATGATCATGCTGTCTTTTATGATGTGTGGCATGAAGCCATTTTGAATCAAATCGCATGGGTACACTCGTTTCACTTAGATGTTGCTGACGATGCAAGTGCTACCCCAGCCCCCCACCGTACACAAAGCCAAGTGTCTGGTGTGCCATGGGGGACCGGATACTTTGAGGAGTGTTTGGTGAAGGGGCGCTGTTGCACGTTGAGGCCCACTCCCGTCACAAAACGCAATGGCACACTGCCTCCGGCCAAGATAATGAAAAGATTCAGTCAACTAACACATGGGAGTCTGGTTCCTTGTGTTGTTCAGCTGTGTGCCAGTAGGATTCGAGGTGATAGAAGTTGCAGGCTTAGATGTTGCTGGCGACGCAAGTGCTACCCCAGCCCCCCACTGTACACAAAGCCAAGTGTCTGGTGTGCCATGGGGAGGCGGATACTTTGAGGAGTGTTTGGCGAAGGTGCGCTGTTGAATGTTGAGGCCCACTCCCATCACAAAACGCAATGGCACACTGCCTCTGGCCAAGATAATGAGAAGGTTCAGTCAACTAACACATGAATCGCATTGGCACACGCAGTCATCCTCAACAAGTGCTTGTAATACGTGTTAGGCTAAGGCCGACAGTCTGCTTAACACATCAATTGGTTTCAACGGCCTGCTTTTCAGGCTGAGGCCTAGGTGGGTTGCGGCTGCACGTTTTCTTTCTTTTCGGACTCGTTTTAGACTCGTTTTTGGACTCGTTTTTTTCCTGGGTAAACTTGCCAAAAACTTAACACAAGGCACCTCCTACTACTGCTGCTACTACTACTACTACCACCACGACTACTACTACTACTACTGCTACTACTACTACTACTACTACTGCTTCTGCTACTACTACTACTACTACTACTACTACTACTACTACTACTACTACTACTACTACTACTACTGCTACTACTACTACTACTACTACTACTACTACTACTACTACTACTACTACTACTACTACTGCTACTACTACTACTACTACTACTACTACTACTACTACTACTACTACTACTACTACTACTACTACTACTACTACTACTACTACTACTACTACTACTACTACATATATATATATGTTTAAACACTGCTCGGTTGCGGTTGGTTCTGCGATGTGCCATGGGGGTTGCTTGTATTTGGCGCTTCGAGAAATGTGTTCAAGATGTGTTTGGTTGCTTTTGGGTATGCTTGTGCCATGGGGATTGCCTTCGTACTAGCACACGAACTTGTTTTTGCAAGACTTGTTTCGATGTTGTTGAGCATGCGATGCGCCATGGGGATTGCCTTCTTTTTGGCGAGCAAGCATACATAGTCAAGCAACATTTCAGTCCCAACTAGTATGTGATGTGCCATGCTGGTTGCCTTCTTACTCATACTTAAACATGTATGCTTAAAATGCGATTAAGCGGCTTGTAATATGCGATGTGCCATGGGGATCGCGTCCGTAGTGGCGCTCAGACAAAACAGTCTTAGGAGACACATTGCGGTTGATTATGCAATGTGCCATGGGGGTTGCCTTCACTTCTGTGCTTCGAATAGATGTTTTCAAGATGCATTTGGTTGCCTTTGGGTATGCATGTGCCATGGGGATTGCCTTCATACTAGCGCAAGAACTTGTTTTTGCAAAAATTGTTTCGGTGTTGTTGAGCATGCGATGTGCCATGGGGATTGCCTTCTTTTTGGCGTGCAAACACACATAGTCAAGCAACATCTTGGTCCCAACTGGTATGCGATGTGCCATGGGGATTGCCTTCTTACTCGTACTTAAACGTGTATGCTTAAAATGCGTTTAAGTGCTTTGTAATATGCGATGTGCCATGGGGATTGCGTCCGTAGTGGTACTCAAACAAATCAGTTTTAGGAGACACTTGGGCGCCGTGTGCCAGTGGGGAAGGCTCAGTTGCAAGGACCCTGCCGGGACTATCCGTGGCGTTGTTTTTACTGGCAGGCTGCGGACGTTCGAGCAAAACACGAAAAATGCAAGGACTTTCGCGGTTGGGTGTATCAAGCATGCATTCAAAAAACTTGTTTCTTCGCTTTCGCTCTCACAAGAGTCGCCTGCAGTTGAAGGGTAAGCTCCGACTACTTACGCCCTGTTTCACACTATTTTCTGGGATGTCTCACTCAATGTGTTCACGCTTAAGCATTAAGGCCGCTGCGTCAAAAGCAAAAACAAGTTGGAGCTTTGGAGCCGGAATGCTAAAAACTGCAAACAGAAAGAACGCATCCCCCGAACTAGCTGGCTTTAACTGTGACCAGGTGTTTGCGGTTCTCTACGTGAGGGGTAGAAAATTGCGAGCCCGCCAACCTAGTAAAGAAGCTGGCGCTATTTGCCTGAGTTGAACTCTTGTATTTTAATAGTGCTGCTTGGGCAAACATGGAACTCGTAGTAATTATAGGCTTACGTGCTTTATATACATCATTGCGTTGGTTGCCTGGGGCGAACTTTTATCACTGATATCACCTTCCAGCAGTGCTGGTAACAGGGTAACGATGCGTGCCTGAAGATAAGTCCAACATTGGTCACACCAAGCTTTGTCTAGTAGAAACCGGTTCCGGAGTGCAGATGACAACTCGCATCAAACTTTACACATATTCCAAGCGAAGGTACTGATTTGCGCTGTTTTCCGCTTCGGTCTTACTCCCTTATTCTGCGCGTTGTACCAGCGGTGGCCCACAGTGGCAATGCGACGGGCCAATCACGGAAGCTTCGCTCACTTTAGCATTTCCACTAAACATGTTTGACAGAATCAAAGCAATAACAAACACCACCCGAGAAAGGTTGCGAGATGCTAATACACACAAAGCATCGCAAAGGACACACACACACACACACACGCGCACACAAGGGCACCAAACAAAAAGCCCGATTCAAACTGCGGCAGCAATTAACAAAACGGTATTTCTCCTATCCCTAGGAGCCCAAGGCCTCATTATTTGGGGCCTTTGGCGGTTGATGGGCCTCATAGGGTCTTGGGCTCCGGTAAGGCATTTTCAATGGTTTTGTCGCTTTCCAAGGCCTGAAGGCTTTGAAACTCAAACGCTTTCCGATGCTTTCCGATGCTTTCCGGTGCTTTCCGGCGCTTTCCGATGCTTTCCGACGGCTGGGGCGTCACGGGGCGTCAAAACCTTGCAATTTTGACACCCCCTTTCCGACGTTTCCGACGCTTTCCGATGCTTTCCGACGCTTTCCGATGCTTTCCGACGTTTCCGACGCAAAAGTTCGACCGCCCCCGCAGCGCTAGTGAAACAACAGATGGGCTCAAAGAAACATTGCCACCGGCATGCATATATAGCGCATGCCCAAAACACACACGCAAGCGCTCCAGCATGGGCTGCTTAGATGCTGCAAGTGTGGGAAGGGCACATACCTGCCGACATACCCATTGGCACTTGGCTTGGCAACAAGCAATTGTTTGGGCTAAGTTTACCGTTGATGAGCCGGGGTCACGTGGGTACGTTGCAAAGTGAGAAATCTTAGCATTTTCCCTCATCTGGGAGTTGCCACGCTGTTGGCAGCTGCAGCCGGGCATGGCTACATTACCGAAGAGGAGACATCATGCGCAAAAAGCTTGACCCTTTAGACAGCACACTGCACTGATGCAATACCTGGCAAACCCTTAATGGGAAATATCGAAAGGTTGGGTTTCAAGGAGCTCTGGGCAGAAACAAACCAGTCCGATATAAGATGTACCCAATGTGTTGGAAGATGCGCGCTCAACCAAAGCAACACCACCGACCTAAATTGCTTGTGGGAAACTCGCGTTCGCACAATGCCGCGTCACGCGCCTGCCAGAGTACAAGAGCAAATGGATCCCCTTGTTGCTGCGTTCTGCTTCGAACTGGTTTGGTCATTCACTCCCCTTCCATAGATGTTGGACCAGTGGGATGGAGCTGTTTGTTTCTGCGAGGTGTTATGAACCTTCCCAAGCATGATATTTGTGACACAGTTGGCAGGCAAAAGGTGGAATGACTAGTCAACATGTTGTTTCGCCTCTCGCGAAACAGGGCCAAGCAGCGCGAGGAATTGGAACACGCGCGTTACCGCTTTGCAAAGCGACGCAAGGCATCGTAAACATCGGAAAGCGTTGCACAGCGTCGGAAATCTCAGAAAGCAAGAACTTGCCAAAATTGGAGTCAGATGCATTGAAGGACAAAAGCGGTGGAACAGAATTGGATAAACATTTCAGAGTGATCGAATGCGCTGGAACGAGTGAGAAAGCAACGGCAATCATTGTCAATAGGAGGGTTTGAAGCGTGTGGCAGCATGCAAAAAGAACTGCATGGATAACAAAAAGAAGCTGTTCAAAGCGCTGCTGAAAACACGAGTACAGTTTGCGCCAACCGCACATCAAAACACTTTTCATGGTCGCATGGCCCGTGTATGCATCCTTCGGGGCGTCGGGGCGTCAGCACTGTGTCCCCCACACCCCCGGGCTCTCTCAGGCACAGTATTTGGCCCCAGGTTCTCCAATGCAAGACCCAGATTCTCCAATGCACACCCCAAAGATTCTTAGGGCGGCAGAATGCCCGATGGCAAGGCGCTTACAAGTTGGGTCAACGACTTTCCAGTGGTCTCTGCTTAAATTTGGAAGGGCCAGGGGCGCGGGCGATGAAGCTACTGGTATGGGGTTCTTGCCCAGAGAATTCAGACGAAAAGTCTTGGCATGGGTGGTTTGGGGCAACTTTCAGGCAGGGTTCCTCAGGGTGCCAGGGGCTTCCGGGCCTGTTGGGGGACACCGCCCAGGCTTGACGTTTTTTTTTGTTTGTGGGGAGGGGGCATAATTTCCCGCAAAGCAAGGGAAGGCTCCTCGGACTCACTCGTTTGCTCATGATGTTTCTGGTTTGAGACCTTTTGGTGGGTGCTTTTCAGTTTGCAGGGTCCGCTCTGAGACGCACCCATGCATATTGGGGTAGCTAAACCGTGGCTCTCGTTGCTTCACCTTGGCGACAGGTCCCAAAGCGAATCTTGGGCCAGTGTTTCATTTCGAAATCGGAGAGGTGTGGCCGGTTGTGCAACCAACTGCGTGTGTTTTGTGGCGGGCCCCCATGTTGGTTGGTTTTACAGGGAGAAAGGAAGCTAATGCCATTGTTGTGGCCCCATATGTTCAAGATATTGGTGTATTTTCCATTCATCCCATAGCCTATGCCCCCCTTCAAGTTCAAGCTTTTGTTGCTTGCGCGTATGGGTCCAAGACTCGGGTTGGTCAGGATGACGCCCCGCCGGTGCCGGACCGAACGCAGGGTCCAGCGGGTGGCTTGGGCCGTTGGACAAGCCTGGTTCATCGGGGATCCAGAGAGGTTTCGATATTTTGGGCTTGTGGTAGGACATCTATAAGCGGGGAGCCCGGTTAAATGGAGCGCCATGTGCCGACACATCTCTCACCTTGAGGATTGTTTTAACACTGCCGCTGTCGCAGATAGATTTGAATCGGGCAAGCACGATTCCTGAAGTCCGGGAGTGCCTCTTGCTGGAGAACGACAGAAAATGAGGGGACTAGTTGGAATGCCCTTGATTTAAATCATCCCCGACTTGGTTTCCTTTCCCCAAACGGTTCATTCCCAACACGCGGGGCTGGTTGTCATTCCCAACACCCATCGCGCCGATCGCAAGTCAACTGCTTGGAGGAGTCCCCGCGCTGGCCGCAGAACGCCTTCAGCCGATTGGAGGGCACCATGGAGAAGACGTGCGCCAGGCGCAGAGAAAACGGATACCCAGCGAGCCCTGAGCATGGTATCCTGGGTATCATCAGATTGAGGTGGGTGTGTTGTTTTTTAGGGGGGACGCCCCAAATTTGTGTTTGTTTTGATTGATTTCCCTGTAAAGCCACAAGAAAAGGTACCCTCAAAAACAGACATACCCAAGTGCATCAACCTGTCTCTGGGTTAAGATGCACACGCGCCTTAGGCAAATTGCAGCAACAGTGGCATCGCACAGTGTTGCATGGTAAGACCAGGCAACAGGGCGCGTATTTCGCGCAGGCCCGTCATAGGCGCGAAAAAGTTGTCATCAGGCATCCAAGTAAGGCGCAGATACGCACAGATTGGACCCATGGCACATCGCCCGTGGGCCGGATATCGTGGGTGTGGGCTTTCGTTTTGCCAGGAACATGGACGTCATCAAGATGATCCATGTGAAGGCCCAGGCTGCAAAGCGACTCCAGGCGAGGCGCCCTGAAAGTTGCTATGCTGAGGTGTTTGATTTTTGTCATTTCTTCGCGCGGGACAATGTACGAGTGGGTTCTGCCCGCACAGTCCCTTTGTGTTTGGTGGGTCCCCCATTTAGAAAGTCTGCCCAAAAAGTCCCCTGTGTTTGGTGGGTCTGGGTCCTCATTTAGAAAGTGGTCAACCTGAAGCAGGGTTCGGCTCACTGAGCAAGATTGCACGGGCGGCCAGAGGGCAAGAGGGCCCCGCTGACGTCGAAGCGCAGGAGCTGGGCAAGATTCATGCCATGGGCAAGAGCAAGTACGCTTGGCGGCAGCCCTGAGATGCGTTGGAGAGATTTGGCTGTGGGTCAAAAGCAATGGTACCATTTTGGGGTAGGTGCACCACTCATTTTAGTCTATTTTAGTGGGGATTGGGATGTTCACTGGGTGTACGGGATTTTGACCCATAGCACTTTTGCTTGCGTTGACAAGACCGCTGGCATCAATTTAGGCGGGCGGGAACTTGGACAGCATGGATCAGGGGACACTCTGTGTGCAATCCAACATTGAAGAGGTTATGTGTTTTTTTTGTTTTTCTTTCTTTCATACGTTCTTGGTCACTTCTCTGTTTCTTATTATTTTAGTGGTTGGATTGGGATGTTCACTGGGGGCTAACCGATTTGGATTTTGACCCATGGTACGGGACTTTTTTTGTCGTAATTACATCTCCCATTGTCTAATGCTGTTCAAGCGATTCTTCGGGGTCGCGGCGGCCTGAAGATTCTCTAGACGTTCAGCATTTTGTCCTAAGGAATCCCTGTGCATGGACAAAATCCACAACACCACTTGGAACCCATGGGAAGCCATAGCGTTTGTTGGTAATTGCAGGGGGGATCTAGTATCATTCCAGCGGGTTTCTGAGCGCTGGCCGCGATTTCTGGATTTCGCAACCATCCACAGTATACTTCGATCAGCCATCTCTCATATCCGAGGCAGCGGTTTTTTTTGGTCCTGAGGCCGATGGGCGAGCGGCATCCTCCAGACCCAGGCGGGGCAAAAACACGCACTTCGGTGAGAGGAAAATGTGGGACAATCGATGTGTGGCACATCGTCGCACATGGGGCTGTAGCCTGTTTTGTGGTTTTGTTTAAAGGGAATCCGAAATGAACACCCATTATTTTGAGGGCCTTCCCTGAAAAAAGAGACGCCCGAATTGTCTTTGGCAACTGCAGGACACCTCGTTGCCTGAAGCCACGCACAGGAATATCAAGTGATGCCTTCATTCTCCCCGGGCAATGGATGGAAGAGGGTCGAGAAAAAGGTGGCCATGGATTGTAGAGGATCCTTCCTCCCACTAACATAGCACCTGGAAGATCAGTTTCCTCTTGGAAGACCCCTGTCGGTTGGTAGAGGGTTACAAGATAGAAAATACGCGGCCATTTGGACGGCCCAACCTCGAGCTGTGCGTGTGTTTCGCGAGGCATGTCGGATGTGGAGGCGGGGCTGGGGCAGTCGGTGAGGCTGCCAGACATGCTGCACCTATGACAAACCGCTTAGGGGTGACAAGCTGTAAGCAAACTGCTAGTTCTCAACAGTTCCAAGGGGTCATATCTGATGGCCCTTGCCCTGTGAGATCACACCGCCTGTGAAATCCCAAGCTAGAGAGAGGGGGAGCTCCGGTCATTGGAGCTGTTGGGCCTTGGGCTGAAAGACTGAGATGGCGCAGTTTCCACCCGCACAGCGATGCCTTTTGCGGGTCCCGGCCCCCCACCCCAACCCAGTTCAAGACAAATCCAGATGAGGAGGGTTTTGAAAGGGCCTCTTAAGCTTGGGTGGTTTCCCTGTAGCAACGAGCCCAAAATGGGGAGGGGGGTGTTCCAACCAAAAAGATCCATCCCCCGCCCCGCCCCGCCCCCCCCAAGTCACGGTCCTCCCAAAGAACAGAACCTCCCCCTGTTCCTGGGAAGAACCAAGCAACCAAACGATCGCCGGTTGCTTTTTTTGGTCCATGCACTTTATCTCACAATCCAGCAGTGACTCAAAGAAACAGCAACTTGGCTATCTAGAAATCCTAGTTAAAGAAGAAAGCAAACACCAAGAAGCCGGCCTGTTTCTTCGAAGCGGCCCAACCAACCAAACCAAAGCCCGCCAACAAAAAAAACCTCCCCATCACTCGCGCGCAGGCGATGTTCCACAGCTCCGTGGAGATGCAGACGGCGGGCTTTGGGGGTTCGGCCCCGTACTCTTCTTGGGGCGACTTTTTGCAAGGGAAGCCAAGACACCCGCATTCTGGAGATGCAGATGGGGCAAACATCGTACAGCTCGAGTTTACCCCTGAAGCGATCGGTTGTTCAAACAGGAGGCCAGCCGGCCTAAGGGAAACCGTGAGGTGCAAACAAAGAGTCAATGTTGCAACCGTTCCTTAGTGCATCGTTGTTTCTATTGTTCGGGGCGAAAGAAACAGAGTGTCTATGGCAGCATCAGGTGAAGTCTGCGCCAAGAACCGTGTTGGGGGTGGGGGAGGAAGGTGCGTACCTGTCCTGTTCCATGGCATGCACCCAAGCCTTTGGCCGCGAACTGAGACTTGTTTGGACTGGGCCCGTTAGATCTTTGTTGGCTCACCTAACATGGGGTTGTCGCCAAATCGGGCCATGGCTGGCCTTTTTCCCAGGCCAGCAAAATCGTCGAACCTTTGGACACGACTTAAAATTGTTTCCAGAATGAAAAAAGGGCGTCTCCCCCAAATGGCGCAAAGGGCCATAGTCTTTGGCCCAGCCAGGACGCAGTGCACCGAAGCGCACCACCGGAGGTGCGGTTTTTCGGGGCCATGTGATCTTTCTTTGGGCTTTTCTTCGAATGGTTGTGTTTTTTTGTTTACGGGACCCCTTTAAACTGGGTAAATGTTTTTCCTTATGGTTTCCCTTTCAAACCTGCAGAAAAACAGGTACCCTCAAAAAGTTGACAGACCTAAATGGGTTCCTTTTGGAGGTTGGCTGCAAGTTCAACTGGACACCGCCCCTTTCAAGTTGGTTTGGGAAACCGACAGGTAGCAACTGTTGTTTTGGGGCTCCGTTTCTGCCTATTTTGACACACACCCCTCCTCCCACTAACAGTACCTGGAAGGTACCATGTTAGTCGGAGAGAGGGTAATTACTCAAATTGCGGGAGGGGGTGGTCAAACCTTGGGACACTTTGGGCGACACCGGATTTCATGAGCCGCCTTTCAAAAGGCTTCCATAAACAGGTTCATAGTTTGCTACACCAAAAAGAGCACTTTCTTTCGGGTGATTGTGAAAGTCACTTCGCAAACGGAGAGGGTTCTTTTTCTTTTTGAACTCGATCCATGTAGCGGACCCCGGCGACCGTCCCGTTGACAGGTGACAAGGGGGGCTCCCCACATTCGTGCACCATGTCAGGTTCAGGCTAGGGGTTAGGCTGGTGACGTTTGCCAAGGTTGTGAATTGTATTATGTATGACTACAAATATAGTATATGCATACATACAGCTTTTACTTACATGCAATTGTATTTATATTACATATTTCTATTATATATATAATATACACAGCACAGGCACTAGTACACATCCAATCGCTTCAATCATACTATGATTGAAAGACATGTTTTCAGGCGGAAGCAAAGGGTGAACGGAAGTTGTTCCTTGAACAGTATAGGGTGATTCCTGGTTTACCTGGCCAGGGCCATCTATTTTCCAAAAAGGACACCTATGGACACACCCATATTTGCCCGAGTTAAAACGCCTGTGTTTTTTGGGTGAGAACACGCGGAAGCAGTTTCCTTTTCGAGCGGCGAAGGCCTCTCGCCCGGGACTGCGTTTGCGGCGAGAAGTGCGGCACGGCGCAGCGCCCCCGGAGGCAGGCTGATGCATCCCTTGGCACATGGCGCAAAGAATCCCGACGTCGGTGGCTCGCCTTTTTTCTCGCTGGCTCTCAACTGGGAATGAGAGCATGACCCTTGTGCGCCATCCCCCGTGGTTTCCTTTTAGGGAATCCCCAGGTTCATTCCCAGTTTTTTGGGGGACCCCCCCGCAAATTTGTGGTTGTCCTTCTGATGTTGCGGTAAAACCACCAAAAAGGGGGAACCCTCGAAAAATGACACACCCACATGACGCAAGTTATCATCTTTTGGGAAGACTCGTCTCACAGTCAGCTTCTGGACTTGATGTTTTCTTGGGTTCCACCCCCCGGGTGTTTCACACCCAGCAAGGGGGAAGTCTCTTTGGACTCCCCGTGCCATCATTTTGGGGACTCCTTGAACAACATTCTCAGGGCCGCCAGCGTGCGCGCGCGCGAGCGCGCGTGCGTTTGCACGCCAGGAGGAGGAAAGATGTGGCGAAGGCTTCGGGACTGAAAGTTGAAGCGCCTCAACCTAAAACCCTTGCCATTGGAGAGGTTCCTGACTTTGACACAGGGCCACTTGATTGTTTCAAGCAAAGGACACACTGCAAAGAGCCGGTCTCAATTATTCATGATTTGCATGTCTATGCACCCAACCTCAACCTAGTTGTTACATGTTGTTACCCTCGGTTGACCACCAGAGATGAGGAGTGAAGTATGCAGGCCTTTGTTTGCGAGTTACTTGTTAGCGGCCATTTCGGACTTGCTTGTTCCCTTGACCAGAAATGTAGTCCCGCCAGGCCAATCCAAAATAGACAGCCAACCCAAACCAAGGCTCAACAGTGGGGTGCCAATTGGGCAACCTTGCTGGTGCTCAGTATGGAATGAGGGCATGAACTTGGTAATTCCCTTAAAGGAAACCACAGGAGATGCTTTGTTGGGGCCATTCCATTTCTCATTCCCTGACTATCACCAGCAAGCAACTCCCCACCCCTTGGATCCTGAGCCTGCGACTGTCCTGCCGTAGGCTTCCTGTCTTTGCGCGTGGCGCCCGCGCGGAGCTCGAACGAAAATGGATTGTCGGGAGGGGCTCCTCGACCTCCCGGAAATCAGCTGACAAGGTGCACTTGCTTCCCCTTTCCCCGTCACATGGCTGTGGTTGTCAAAACCGTTTTGGGATCCCATTTTGGTTGGTAGGTGAACTCACCACCCATTTTAGAACCTATTTTAGTGGGGATTGGGATGTTCACTGGGGGTACTTATGTGTTTTGACCCAGGATGCTTTCGGGCTGAACGATGAAGCAAGGCCTCCTTGGGCTATGAGGGGATGTGGTTCCAGGTTTTTTGAAACATGTGCCTAGGGTATTTTATGGCTGCGAACCTTGGCATCTCGATGTTCGATGTGGGGGGGGAGGTAGCCTTTTTGAGGTTTTCAAAGGAAAACATGGGGAAGTCTTTTGGGGGTTCCCCTATTTTGAGGCGGACTTAGTGCTTGAGGGACTCGCCGGTCGAATTTCAAAAGGGTATTCACGCTTACTTGCCCGAAGAAAATAAAAGGCCTGTGAGGGACATTGGCTAAAGATATACTAAAACCTGGAAAGCCAAAAATGGTCAACAGAGGTTGCTAAATAGATGGAAACGAGGGGTCCGGAAAGATCAAGATTGTGCAGTCCATTGGTTGCCCATACAGGAAACTGCAAACTGCAGGTTCTGAGTAGTCAAGGGTTCGAGGGGTTGTCACGTTTCCGCTTTCCAGATATTATCCCTTCACCCAAGTCTCCGTCGCAGCCTGGCAGTTTGGCCTATTTGCCCATGGAACCTGGGCCTAGCTCCAGCAGAGCCTAGAGGTCCAGTGTGTCCGCTGCACGAGATATTTTTGTTGAGGGTAGCGTCGGCAAACACTTTCTAGGCGCTTGGAGCGTCTGTGACCCCGGTTCGCCCTTCGAAGTCCCATTCTCAAACGGTGCGTACCAAGTTGCAGCATGGCGGTCGTCACGACACCCTGGCACAACTACCCTGCCCATTTGGACAAGGACCGGGAAGAAACCAAGATGACAAGTGTATCCCCCAACTCCAGGCCATGTCCAAGTCCCTAGCCCCGGTCATTCTCAGCCCGCCTTTTCTGAGGCTGGCTCCACTTGGCAGTCATTTGCCGTAGAGGACTGGATCGGCAGAGAATCTTGTAACTTGTAATTGGAACGAATAGAAATTCCCTACCCCTTTGTGAGTATCAATTGGAAAGCATGCTAAAATGGTTGATTTGCGTGGATGTGTATTTGGAAACCGAGAGAATGGCTGTCCTTTAGGTTTCACTTTGAAACCGTCCAGCGGGTCGATCCTCTTGGGACAGCCCATGGCACCAAGGGCGATCACTGGGTTTGGTTGAGGGATTGCCCGTGTGACGAGTATCCCACCAGCCGAAAACCAAGGCCACATCGAAGCCACCAATCTGAAGCATCAATGAGGGGTAAGCTGAGCATTGACGAGTCATGAGTCATGGCTGGTAAACATATTCATTTTGTTTGTGGCACCGAAGTCACAGAGGAAAATGTTGGTCACTCGAGACAAGCACTTTCAGCTTGGTGGCTCCCAGCCATCCGGTTCCTTAGCCTTTTTGCTTTGTGTTTCGTTTCCTGGTTGGATTTTCGAATTTAACCCACTGAAAGTTTGGCCACTTTTCGCAGGGGATCTAAAAACGGACAGCAGAACCACTCCCCACTGCCAGGACTGCCCACCGCCCCGAGCTGAGCGACAGCCGTCGGATCCTCGGATGGAAGTCAAATGGCAACTCCTAGAAGGGCGGCGGGTTTCGTTTCCCCGTGCTGCCCGTTTAAAGCAACCCCCCGAAAGGGTACGCGCACGACACGTAAAGATTACCCTTGGTGAAGCAAGTTCATTTGTCTGGGGCACATTTGACGAGGTGGTTGCTTTGTTGTCACCTTGAGCCAAAGCGTGCAAAGTAGTGCTTGCAGTCTGCTTTGCCACCCATGCTAGGAACACCAGTGTATGTCTATGAAAAACTGTTTCAATCCTGAGCCCCGTGTCAGACCAACCTCCTACATTGCCTTCACAATTTGTTTGTCTACTAGCTTCAACAACAGGGCAGCGGCTGAAGCAGACATGTCAAGCCAATTAGAGCCCTCAGCCCTCGGAGATGTTTGAGAGACAGCTCGCTGAAGGCCGCCAGCTCAAGTAGGCGAGCCTGGGCTGGGAGGGAAGGGTTTGCGGGATGTTGGATCTGTCTGAGTGAGTGAGCACTAGTTGCGCAGATCATAGTGACCTCACAAATAATTTTGAGAACCTTACCTAAGATGAAGGCTCGATTCTTGGGGGTACTTCATTTCCAGGTTAGTCAATTATTGCAATTTGCCGAGATATGATGATGCCTGGAAAGGCCCTTGCTGAGCCTTTGTTCTGGATCTGTTTTGGCTTGTTCGATGCACGTCGAGCCATTTTTCTGCTGGCCCCGTACTGCCTCCCCCGCAGTCTCCCAAGAAGCGTGGCGGTCGTTGGCTGGGCTCTTGTAGCAAGTAGGTGTCCACGGTCTTGTTATTTGATGCGCGCTGAAAAACGGCCAACACCCAAATGAAGCTCCTAAACTTTGGATTCTGAGCATTTGTCAGGTCGGTGTGTTGTTGAGGTTTTACATTGAATAGCATTGCTCAATTGACGCGGGACCGATCGAGTAGCCGTTTTTCACATCGATCCAGCGCACGATGCGGCAAGCGGCACTTTGCCTATGATATGGGCTTGTTTTTGAGGAAAGCCTAAAATAGGGATTTTCCTTTTGGTGTCCCGTCAAAACCGCCAAAAAGGGGGCCCTCTTTAAAAGAGAACACACCAATATACTTTGATTCCAGCCACTTGGTGGGTTCTCGCTATGATAATAGGGCTACCCCAGTTATAGCCAGGGTTAACGCCTACTTGCTGGATGACCATCCAGTGAACTGCTGTGTTTGAATGTAAGCTGTGGCGAGCTTGGAGGACATAGATATTTATGTCTTCCACCTGCTGTAAGAGTATTGTGTGGTACTGGTAAACCAATGACATCTTGATCGTTGGATTGTCCCCTTGCAACTGTTTATCTCCTTCATGTTAGTTTTGCAGGTCTTGAAGTAACCGGAAGGACTACCTTTCCTGTCCATTTAAGGGGACCAGAGGTCAACGTGTGTGGGGATATTGTTCGTGGGTTGACCATGGTATGTTCCTCACGGTGTTTAGAGCCAAACACAAGCCGAAAGAAGCAACAGCTTGGCCGGGTGTTACTCTCTCAACAAACAAGTTGAGCAGCCCCCAATCTCATATTGGCCAGCTCAGTAGGTGTTTTCTACTCAGTTTGTGTGAGATATAGAAGGGACTGTCTATATATATATATATATATATTATGTAGGTACAAGCCTGTATAAGTATGTTGGTTGTCGCTGCTCAGTTGGCCACTTTTGTTTGCATAGACGGGCCCTCCAACAGCTGCGTTTCACAGACCTTTGTGGTGCTTGGAGGCAGAAGAAGCCAATGGGGCCGTTGGATCATTGGGTTTCCAATTCAAAAAATAAACGATGAAAGGGTTCCACTGTTTGACTACCCCAAGTAGACTGAAACCCAATGGTTCACTCCCCCAACAGGAGAACCCTGGGTTTAAGTCCATCTTGGGGTCGTCAAAAATGGGTCCTGCGCTTTCGCCGGACTCCAGGCCGATCGGATCAGCGCTTTGACTGCTTGCCGGCGCCGTTCTCAGAGTTTTTTGAGTGGGGGCCATTGGTCCAGGACCCGGCCCATGGGTGTGTGACTCAAAATATCGGGGACCCACCCCCCAAATAAATTGCTGATTTCTTTGTTGGTGTTCATTTAGAGGAAGATGAACATTAAAAGGGTACTCTTAAGAACACACCCCCTTTTGGTTTCCGTTCAAAAGAAGCTCCAAAGGTCTGATTTGGGGTTTTGGGGTTTTGGGGTTTTGGAGTTTTGGGGTTTTGGGGTTTTGGGGTTTTGGGGTTTTGGGGTTTTGGGGTGTGGTCATGGATCCTTCAGTTGGGATTAGCATTGGACCAGGACCAAGACCCACCAGTGTTTTGACATATGGGTCTGTATTTGTTGATGGTACCCTTTCTGGGGTGGTTGAAAGGGCAACCAAAAGGAAACCACCTTTTTTGGGGTGGGCCATTTTGGGACACACCCATATCAGCAACGGAGCATGTTTCCAGGGCATCGGTTTAGAGTCCCCATGAGTTCCCATCAGCGTGTGGTAACATGGGTTGGGTATTTCTACGGTACCTACGGGTATGCGTTTGAATTGGTTGGACCCTTTGGGCAGTAATCGTTTGGACTTTTTGGTGCATCAGTTTCATAGGGCTGTAGGGCTCAGCCATGTTCAAGGGGCAATGTCAGGGGGGCGCTTGGCGCTATGCGGCTATCCCCTTCAAGCTTGGAAAGTCAGAGGCCACACCTGCACTTCTGTTTTTTGTTTTGTTTTTGCGTTCCAGGAAACACCTTGTTTTGCGTTCCAAGAGGCAGGCGCTGAAAAAGTTGGCTCCGAGGTCTGGCGCGCGGCTCCGAGCGCGGCCAGAGAGGCGCTGACAGCCCTTCAGCGACGAGCTGTCCGCGAGCAAGCCATTGAAAATGTTCCTGAACTCCTTCCTGATTTGGGTATGGGTCAAAATTAAACCACCAGGGGACCGCAGGTTTTCTTGTTTCCATTTACCAGGGTTCCATTTTGGGTACATATTTTTGACCCACAGCCATTTCCCGGACTTTACGTTTTCACAAAATGGACTCCGCTTTCGCAAACAACGAAAAGCCACTTTTGGCCAATCCACGGGTCTTTTTTTCACTGAGCGGTTCCTTTTTCACTGAGAATCCTTTAAGTCGTTAGTCATCGGGGAGGGGGAATGACGGGGTTCCTGTACAAGTTTAAGCATTGCAGTGTTCTTATTTTGGAGCAATCTGAGGGTGGGCGATGGTTGGGAAATCTGCATGTGTTTGATACCCGCTGCCAGCCCTTGTCTTTGTTTGCATTCTACAAGAGAGAGTACAAAGATTGCCAACATTTAATTTGCGGCGCCTTGTTGCATGGATCAAGAACTTGGTGGGAAACCGGAGGCGGAGAGACATGAACATATGCTTGATAAGATGCAAGCATACTATAAGGTCAAGGAACTACAATGGGTTGTTGGGGGCTTTGAAGCCAACGTTCGTCATCATAGGAGTAATCGATTAGTTGCTTCATGCCAGAATGCCTAGACAACCACTTGTTGATTGGTCGGGTGACCACTATGGGTCACCATGAGCCTTCACATGGGGCGTCTTAAGTGAGCTGCGCGTCAAAGCTTGCGTGGCGCAAAGACTTAACATTCTCTCTTTATCAAGTATAACTTGTATATGTGACTGATTTCCTTCATGCATCTTGTTCTCCCCCCGGGCAACCTCTTTTCTTTTGGAGACCAACAACCAGATTGGGTGTGACTTTTTTGAAGGCGCCCTTCTTAGAGGTTGTTCTAGTGGGAGATTAAAGGGAAACCAGCCAGGCGCGCCTGAGCTTTCGGGAGCAGTACCGGGCCGCGAGAGCTGCAGGCGGGAAAGTCGAGCTCTGCGAAGTGCCTCGGTGTGTGAAAGCTGATGGGGTAGGGTCCTTAGAACCCAAACGGTGAAAACTTGATTTCGGGGGAATCCCGAAGTTCTCAAGGAGCCTACACAGGTTTCTGCTAGACATGTTCCAACCTGTAGGAACAGTCATAGCGTCCTGGAACCCATGATTGTTGGAGCCCATTGGGTCACCCGAAGCTTCCATTGGGAACCTGGAGCTTCAAGGCAACGAGGGGCAAGGCAACGAGGTGTGGCTGCCCAATCTCCCTTGCCCAAAGCAAATCGACCTGTTGACCTTGTGGCTTCCCGCTTTTGGTCCATTTCTAGTCAGCCCCAGCAGGTTAGCCTTGCATTTCTGGGTCCTTTGGGCAACGTGCAGTTCCCGCCCCTGTTCTGCTAGTAAGCTAGTACATCAAACAACCTGTAATTGGTGGTTTGGATTTGGGAGCCCTGGTTCTTGTAGAGGGTTAATGGGAAACCCCTCCGTTTCACTACCAAACCACCAGTCCAAACCACCAATTGGCGGGAAGCTGAGTATAGCATAGGCTGGATGTGTTTTGTATTTATGGTACGCGCATAATATCGGCAAGTACATTCTTCGTAGCACCAGTTTCAGGATATGATTTGTCCAGCAGCTTGTCACTGTGCACCACTTGATCCGCACTTTACATCTCGCTGCAGGCAGACTGGAGGCTGAGGCGCGCGCATGTGGGCCTGAGGGTGCCATGTCTTGCACAAGTGAGATGCACCCATGTGTCGGGTGGGCAGAGGAGACGCCTTAGGCTGCGCAAAAAGGGATGCCTTTTTTCGGACCCATTTATGACAAAATTACAAGGGGAACAATCTGGGCACAAGGCCCAAACTAGGGACGATTCTTTCTTGGAACAGCCCTCATGCTAGCAGTGTCCCCCCCACCAACAAAGCAATGGGGGCCATGCACGCTATACAGGACTCATTCCAGGAAATAGGGTATGAGGAGGCTTGAGCCCACGTTTTCCTATTTCTTGGTTGGAGTTGCGGCGTACTCGTACTTTGGGATACTTTGGGTTGAGACATTGTCGGGACAACCCCTTGTTTAAGCCAAACCATGGTTTCCAACCAAATGTTGTTTAAACGTGTTTATACAGCGTCCTTTTGGTTTCCCTCAAAACCAGGGCCTTGTTGACCTTTTGCAACCAACCCTGGCTCTATCGGTGCCCCGGGGACCAGCGGACCGGGAGCTGTCGGGACACATTCCGGTCAGGCAAGCACGGACACGGAGGCGTGCAGGAGGAGGCTTCCACTGCCGGACACCTCAGACTCCCCAGAGAGGGTGCATGTGTGTCTGTTCGTTTGTCTGATTTTGTCTGCCTGTCTGCCGGCCCGTCCATTCGTTGTCTGTTTGTCTGTCTGTGTTCAGTTTTTTGAGGGTGACCCTTTATTTTGACCCATTCCCAACACACTCAGATGAGCATGTTCAACAGAAGCTGATTCAGCTACCCCAGTCAGTCTATGCTTACGACTCATAACCCACCAAGTGGGTTGAACATCCAATAGCCGTGCTTCATCCATTGTGAACCCAAGGGACCCTTCGTTGCAGAAAACGTGGCCCCCGAAACCTAGGGCACTCGGGGCGTGTCTCAAAGGAACCAGATCTCAGATGGTGTCTAGTACTTGGGAAAACATGGATGGTCGGGAGCTGACCCTCATGCCAAGTGCTTTGGACGTGAAACACTGTGCATGTGTGGTCTTTGGCAGGACTCCTTGGGGGTGTGAGGACCTTCCTCCAGCAATGGATGTGCAGGTTGCAAGCCGTTTGCTTGCGGTCCGCCTTGATGTGGTGTTGTTTGACTTTGTTTGGGAACTTCGCAGGCACTGCCACGTGCTGCCAAAGGCTTCCATTTCATCGGAATTCCAAGCGCCGAAGCACACGTCATCCAACCGAAAAGAACGCAATTTGAGAAGGGGAGGGCCTAGTGTGTTGTCCAAGCTCAAATGGCAAAGGGACCGAGCACGAGTCGCTTTGGAGATCCGTCCCTGTTTGGTCGCTTGCTTCGAGCCGTCCCTAGAACCTCTGAGGTTCTCCCTAGATGGACAACACCAAATGGCGCCGCCGGAAAAGAAGGCCAGGCCTCAGCGGGTGGCCCTCATCTCACTCCCTGAGTTCCTGGACTTCAAACTTTTTGGGAAGACCCATTTTAGTGGTCAACAGACAGCTTGGTTACTTTTCTTGGCCCATCAGCTCAGGAAGTGAGTCATTAGCTGAGACGCCGCGTTTGGGGTGGGCCATTGGACTTGATCCCTGGTGGGCAAAGAGAGTCCCCTGGGCCGGAGTTAAAAGGGGCGCTTTAGTGCAGAAGCCCAGAAATTCCCTCAAGCATGAGGGGCGAGCAGAATTCTCTACAAGCCATATATAGATTTTCTAAGGCCAGGTACAGTATATACTCTTTGAAGGGAGGTCAAAAGGCAAAAAGTTCTCGCCAACAATCAAATCCGCGAGCGCAGGAGGTCAGAGTGGAGGAGTGTGGAGCTCAGCCAAGGGATCGAGACAAAGACCCTCTTTGCCAGGCGTCCTAATTGAACCACCGGGTAAACCAGGCCATCATTTTTTTAGCCTAGCCAAAAAGGACATGGATCAGAGCCTAAGACGGTTCCAAGAAGTTTCCTGAGGGTGGGGGGTGGGCGGCGTTTGTGTCCTACAGCGGTTGGTTGTTTTGGCGAATTTGTCGCGAACTCAGGGAGCCGCAGATCATTGGGGAGCAGGTGCCGCTGTCTGCGCTGGAGGTGGGGCCGATTGCATCGCGGGTTGAGTGGACCCTTTGGTTTGAAAGGGAAACCAAGAAGAAGCCCAAGAAGCCGCCCACCTTTCAACAATTTGGTGCTTTGTAGGGGAGGTTCCTTATTTGAGACTCTTTCTTGAAGGAGAGGAAACTACGGAGGGCCATGGTTTCAACGAAGGATTTGTTCGTTGTTGTTTTTCAGTTTTCTTTTGGGGGAGGTGGGTGGCTTTTCGACTTTTAGGCTTTCGCTTTTTCGTGGGGGTATTCGGCTTTTGCTGGCTTTTCCGGCTTTGGCTTTTCGCATTTTTTGCGTTCCCAGTTCCTCTCTGGCAGGTGGCTTTTTGCTTTTGCGGCTTCTTATTGCGGCTTTGTTGGCTGCGGTTTTTCATCCTCTGCATCACCAGTTCCTCTCTGGCAAGTGTTCTTTATTTTCATTTTTAGGTTGGGCCAAGACGAAAAACACAAAAACAAACAAGCAAACAAACAAACAAACAAACAAACAAACATCCTAAATCTCGACCCGGAAGCTATGTCAGGAAGTTGCCTACAGCTGGACGGATTCCCCCCCACCCCCATCCCCCTCACCCAAAACCAGTGCAACACTCCAAATGAATCAATGGTGAACCCGGAAGCCGGTTCAAGCCGGCGTATTCGCTTTGGCCCTTGGACCTCAGCAATACTGTGGATGGACGAAGTGCTGCACCATTTAAGAAACCCTGGATTCGTGATTCGCCTGTAAATGCCAATAAACAATGGTTTCCAGTGGTTTCAAAGTGCAGGATTTCGTCCATCCACAGTAGTTTTATCAGCCTTCGACCCCAAATTGCCACAAATCACAGGCTTTATTCTCGTCTATATTTAGTGTCCCGGCTGAATCATGTTGCATCCGGTGGTCAGGACTTGCCCAGAGAGGCTGAAGAAAAAGAGGAGAGCGTGGAGCTCGAGAAAGCGAGGTGCTTCGGGCGAGCGAACGAGTTCACGCATTTTTTTCTGGATACCCTCCCACCAGCTAACATGGAACTGCACAGAACCCTGTAGAAAGACGACTTTCCTCTTGGAAAGGGCCTTTTTGCACTTCCATGTTAGTTGGTGGGAGGGTAAATAAACCAAACGGGCTTCAAAGCAATGTTTTTCGAGTCTTGCTTCGACGTGGTCGAAGAGATTGGGAAGGGAACTGGTTGGAGACCCTGGAGAGGAATATTATGCGAATGGCACACTTCATGATCCACCAATGCTGCCAAGTAGAATGTGGTAAACATGAGTCTGGTTCCATCGCGGCAACATATGGTCGTGCAAAGCACAACTGCAGGGGACATTCAGGATGAGTGAAATCCGAGACTGCGCCAGTTTCTCAGGATTGTACGCTCGCCAGTTTGGAACAACATATTTGGTAACTTACCCACCAACCGGGTTGTCTCCAACGAATTCGGGGTACGCCCTGTTGGATGTCCAAAAAGCTTATTAGGAAGGTCAGATGTTTTGGGCCTGTTCTCGTCAGAGTGGCCTTGCGTGGTTGGAAGGCTGGTTGGAGATGGTTGGAAGGTGGTCGGAAGTTGGTCGGAGGTGGTCGCAAGGTGGTCCCGAGGTGGTCCCGAGGTGGTCCCGGGGTGGTCGGAAGGTGGTCGGAAGTTGGTTGGCGGTGGTCGGTTCAGGTTGCAGTCTGGTTCTAAAGGTGTGGTTCTGTTCGAGCTTCACGTGTTTCCGTCTCTGGGTCATGCTGTGCAATTTCCCATGGCATTTGCTTTTTCAGCACGGTTCATAGCCTATTTGATCAGCAGGCCGCCCGGGTACGCCTCCCCCCCCTCCCAAAGTGGGTGTCTGATTGGACTATCGATTCCTTACGAGCAACTCCGAAACGGGCACCAGCTCCAACAAGAAGGACCCTCACTCATTTGGTTGCTGCCTTTTTTAGGGCAGCCGTTCTTGGCAGCTTCGAATCCAAAAAGGAAGCCACCTGTCTTGGGGGTCATTTGGATCGAGTCAAACCCGCGCCTGGGAGCGGCTTTCCAGCTGACCCCTGACATCCGCCAGGTTTCCTGCACCTCCTGAGAAGAAGTCCGTGAGAGCGTCTCAGCTGCCAGAAAGGAACGCCCCCGTAGATCTTCGGGTCAGCAGCGTTCCAGTTTTTTTTTGGTTTGTTTTTCCCCCGGGATGTTCGGACGGAGACCGTTTCAGAGCTCTTCTTTTTGTGGAGACTCCTTCAACACCCCTTCAAAGCTTCAAAGTAGGCACCAAGGAAATGGAACCCTGAAGGCCAAGGTGAGCTTTCGTTTTGTGCGTCTTGAGTTCAACGCTATGCGTTCGCCTTAAAGGGCAACCAACCGGAAGCCACAGTTGGCGTTCATGAAAGGCGCTGTGTTTTGGTCAAGCGCATCGGACTGTTTGGCCAAGTCACCCAAGCAGTCAGGCTACTGGGGGAGTATCAATCCTCTTGATCTGTTTTTTCCAATGGGTTTTGGCTAGACCCCCAATATCATTTGACTTCAACCATTTTATTGCGACTATGGGGCCATCTGGAATTTACAACTCTGACATTCCAAGAAGAGTAGGGGTTCCAATATTCCACTGGGGTGGTTTCATGGAGGTTGCCCTTTCCGTCCAAAACCAGGGCAGCGCTCATGCCTCGCAGAGTCCTTGGCCAGCTTTTGCCCGGGTTTCGCAGCCAACAAGGCAATAGGCTTTGAGCCCTTGATAAACAGAGCCTGGGGCGGGTCTTGTTTTGTTGCCATGAGCTAGTGGCAACATAGAGGGGTCGACCTCCAACTTCCCCACTAGGATGTTCAAATGATTCTTTGGGGATTGACCGAGCTGTTGCAATGTTCTGAGAAAACTGGTGGGGCCGAGAGTTGCTTGCTGCTCTCAGGAACTTCTGCGGGCATGTGCGGGACACAGTGCAAATTAGTCGTCGCAGCGTACAATAGTCTCATTGACTCATTGCAGTCTTCCCAGGCACTTCCCAGTTGTTCAGCGGTTGTTCCCTTTGCCCCTTTTGCTTGGCGGGTTCCCTACTACTAAGCATGTCAGCCAGCAGGGTTCCCTTTTTTCTACCAGAGTGACTGACCTACGCATCAGGCGCTGTCAGCATCATGAAGTCACCTGGCTTCGAGCCGGTCAGGAGCTCAAAAAGGAGGTTACGGTAGCCTGGCACCCCAAAAGAGGTTGGCCTACTGTGGATGGACGAAATCCATTTGCAGCCCTGGAATGATGATTCCCCTGGAAATACCAGCAAACAATGGTTTCCCAAGGTTTCAAAGTGGTGAAGGATTTCGTCTATCCACAGTATGACATGCACATAGATGCCTGTTTAGTCTTTTAGGTGGAACATAGATGGCGATTCCTGGTTTCCTGGTGGTTCAATCATCCTCCCATCTATACCAAGCAAGCACCAAATGCGACATGGGCACGCTGCATGCGCTGCGCATGCCTGCCGTAGCTTCGACCTTCTGAACTTTACCTTCTTAGAGCGAGGTGGTGCTCTTTGTCATCATCATCTCCTCCATCTCGCTGTCTTTCGAGAGCCCCTTTTCGGATCCGGAGTCGGAGGCGCTCGGATTCTCGGAGTCGGAAGCCGATCGATCCCAGCGGCATCCAGCCTGTTTTGGAAAGAAGGGGAGCTGAGCAACGCCAGCAGCGGGAAAACCGGGTTTTTGGCTTGTTGTGTTTCTTAACATGCGTGTATTGCATTCAAAACCTGTTTGTTCTTCTTTTTGTTCTTCTTAAGATTTATGTTTTGCCTTCAAATGTTTGAAGGGCTCCAACCAGCAAAGGGCCGAGCATCGCTTTCGCGCTTTAACTTGGGCGGGCCTCCGCACGCCGTTTCGGAGCACGGGTACCATGCGGCCGTGCCAGGTGTCCTACCTTCAGATGGTCATCGACAGGGCGGGCGGCTGAGTGAGTGTTCTGGTGCTTTGCGTGTGGGATGGAAGCCAAGGGCCCGGGAAGAGCAGCCACGTTGGGTCACCCGACTCAAACAGGTGACAGGCGATTGGTCAACCAAATGAGTATAGCAAGCAGTCCCAAAGCTCCCATTTTTCCCTTTCAGCGGCCTCTTTTCGAGCAAATCATTTCCCGGCCCGTTCTACCACTGAATCAGTTCTCCATCTTCGTGGTCCTCTCGGAGATGACGATCCGCATGACCGTCATGGGCCTCTGGAAGAAGCCCAGCGAGTGCGCGCCAGGGGAATTGCCACTCGGCTGGGCTTAGGGGAGGGGGGGAGCCTACAATCCCTCAGACGAACAGCCGAAAGCTCCCCCAATTGGCCTGTGGAACCAAGTCTTCCATTTCGGGGTCCTGGGAGCTTCCGTGGAATGGTTTCGGGGAAGGGTGTCCATTTCACCCACTCAAAGTTACACTTAAAGCAGGGGATCTGCGGACAGCCCCGATACTCTGGCGGGAGGTGTCTTAGGCCAAGGTCTTTTTGCCGTTGTTCTGTATGGTCCCGCGATGTTCAGATGGGGTGTCTTCTTGGTGCCCCCCGGACTTGTTTCAACGAAAGTATCGAACGCGGAGCATTGGGTGGGGAGATGTCGAAGCAGAGAATCTACGGCATAGATGTCGTGGCAAGTGCTTGAAAGTTTGTTGTTGTTTTTTTGAGGGAGTATGTGAGGGTGCATGTCCCTTTGAAGATAGAGTGGCCTTGTACTACTGGTCGGGACTTGCGGTTCGGTGGCAATACACCCTGGGCGCAGAGCTCTGAATGACCCTCGCTTTTGCACAAAAGGTTCGGGCGCGTCGCGTCTCACAGGACGACACGTTTCGTCTCACAGTTTCTCAGCTAAGTTGAGTGCGACCCTTATGCCCTCTTAGGGACATCCCAGCAAATGCCTCTCCCTTGGTGCTCGCCATGTGTCGAGGCCCGGCTACTTTCGAGTTCCGTGGCACGTCTTGGATTTCGCAGCACCCTCAGGGATGGGACCCGGGCGTTTTGGGGCTTTGTTTCTTTTGAAGGACAGGTGTGTGTATGATGTGAAGCTCAGAAGCCGATGTTGAAGCCAAATGAAGCAAAATTTATCTGAATGTGTTGTTTCCTTGTTGGTTTCTTTATCTCAGTTGTTCCAAGCCGACCTTTGAGCCCTGTTGGTTTCCAGTCATGGCCCCAAAAGGTGATTTCTGGGTCCTTTGGGCAACTGGGTGGTAAGACCCAACTTTGGCCCCTAGTGTGAATGGACGAAATCCTGCACCACCTAAGAAACCGTGAGAAACCACTGTTTGTTGGTATTTACAGGGAATCAGACCATCCCAGGGCTTCTTAGGTGGTGCGAAATGGCTTTCGTCCATCCACAGTAGTTCTGCACACTTACACAGCTATGTCTCCATGTCTCCAGAGAAGGCCTGCGCCACTAGGATGTGTAAGGCCTGGCAAAGGATACCGAAAAGCAACTGGAGACAACAGGAAAGGTCGTGAAACTTCCGTTTCCTTAAGAATATTTGTTATTTTCCCTGTTGGTTTTAAGGGAATTTCTGTCACTGCTGGAAATGTGTTTTGTTTCTTCTATGTCTTCCAGGGACAAGGGGTCCTGCTTGTGACTTGTCAAAGGAAGATTGTCCAATTGAGTTGGTCCAAAGGAAGACGGTGCAATTGATTTGAATAGCACATCACCAAATCATGAGATAGTCCAAAGGATTGTCTCAACCTTGGTGAGATCGTGAGGGGCAGGTGCGAGAGCGAGGAAGGATGCTTGCTGGATCGTGGAAGCAGAGCATTTGTGCTGCCTGTTTCCGACAGAAAACACACATGTTCAAAGCATGAAATCTGGAAGTCCTGCAATGTGGAGTTGCCAAGTTACCTCAGTGTCTTAGGAAAACTAGAGCGGGCATTACTTCTCACTTTCTAAGTTCCTGGACTTGATTCTTGTTCTGGGAAGACCATTTTGTGCTCAAAAAAACAAGTTCAAGCTTTTTTTGGTCCATCCACTCGGGAAGTGAGACTACGGTACTACCCTGTTCAGTCGGAAGGTATAAAAACACATTTCTGTAAGATCATGGCATTTTTTGACTTGCAAGGAATTTCGACTGCATAAATGGTATGAACACAAGTTAGGCATGCAAGATGCCGGTGTCCAATGTCTGGGGCAGTTTACAGGTGCGCTCACCTTTCGCTCACCTTTCGCTCAGGTCATTTGCATGGGCGGCTTGACCTATCTCCTTGCAGAATTCTTTGCACGGACCTCGGCGATATTGTGCTGCGATGTTTGGATGCTTGTAGCGACGCACCGCTCTGTCAGACCAGCAACCTGCAAGATCTCAAGACGGCGCCGGACTTAATCTGTGGAACTGTGACACTGCTACGTGAAGCTCGTTACAGCATCATTGGGTTGAAACACGTTCTGTGCGGCAGGGCACTATCAGAGAATGCAGCAGTCATGCATGCAAGTGTCGTGAGTCAGGGTATTGATGTGTGGCTCTTTAGGTTGCGCCCTTTGCTTCGGACAAAACACCAATGTTATAGAGTCCCCCCCTGTGTTGGCACCTACCCAACTTCAGTCAACACTTTCAGTAGTCTATGGTTCATTTGGGAGGGACATGCGTGACGTCCCTAGTGTCTGGCCTTGACCCAGGAGTAAGTTTGACAATGGTTTATGTAGGTCTGTGTCAAAAGTCGTGGATTTCCTTTTTGTATCTTTATCTTATGCTATTTGTTGAAGGAACCTTCAAAGCGGGTACCCTCAAAATACACACCTTTCCCTTTGAGGTCCCTTTAAAGGAACCTTGCAACAGTACCCTAAACGAACACACACACACACACACACAGCCTGTTGGTGGCCACCCAGTTGACGAGCCGAGGTTCGTGTCTTGAAGATGGTGAGCATGCTTCGGCCCCTGCGGCTGATCGGCAAGACCAGCTCCGTTCGACTCATCATTGAGGCGACGGGTGACGGTAGGTGGAAACCGCGAGCCAACCCGGCTCACCACTGAATACGGGAATCTGGGATCTGCAAACCTAGTATGTCATGTTTCAAAGGTAGCTAGCTTCCATTTGCTTAAGAACAGTTTGCTATTTTCCCTGGATCGTTCTTGTAAAAACAAGTATGTTTAGTTTTTTGTATTTTAGGTAGACTACAAGTAGACAAGAGATGAGACAGATTCTGAGAGTATGTGGGTACGGCAGATGTGGGTGGGGGTCTGGTCAGAAAATGTGTGTTGCTTTAAGGTTGGCTAAATATGACACAAAATAGAACCATAAGTATTATTTTCCGGTTTAGTTTGGTTAGAAGATAGATGTAACTGGTTTAGATGGGTTTGATTCTATTTGCCAGGGTCATCTATTTTAACAAAAGCTATGAATGGAACACCTTTTAAAGTTTAATTGACCTTTGTTTGCTGTAGCCCAGAGCAGTCAAGGTTTTGCACGTGATCGGTTTGGGGGTGATTTGGGCGGAGTGGACACTGTGAACAGCAGCTTTGCTTTGTTTCACCAGCACTGAACATGAGGAAGGGACTTTGTCAAGCTGGACGTAGTGTCTTCCAAGCGTGCCAGCCCATCAGAACTGCATGAGTCAGAGCCCTGGCAGAAAGGGAGATGAAGACCGGGCACCGGCCGGGGTGAAGAGGCTGACGAAGAAGGTCAGCTGGTGGCAGAGGGGGAGGTCACGCCAAAGGAGGAGGCCGAGCTAGGCCGTGAAAGGACGCGGAGCTCTTTGGTGGCCAGGTCAGCATCGGGAAGAAGAAGCTCGGTGGCCTGCAGAGAAGGGCATTCAGGGATCCCACGTGAGACACTTCCGCCGTTGCCGGAGTCGGGAGAGAAGAAGGCTGTTGGAGGCAAACAGAGAGAGGGAGGTTGGTAGCTATTGAGGTGGGTCATTCCCTACCTATCGCACCAGCAATCTTTGTTCCAAACTGACCCAAAACGGAGGCGCTTCTGGCGGCCATTCCCACGCTCATCAACATGGCCGCAGCCTCGAATCGAAGTGTTGGAAGTTTGGATGTGGGGAGGTGTGATAATTAGTTGTGTGGATGGTATCATGGTCCTTTGAGTAAGACAGCTTGCAATGGTTGTCTAGCACTGCAGTGGAAAGGGGTGCATGACCATCCCTGCCAGCCCCGACCAAGCAAAGACTGCAAAACACGTGTTACTCGGCCAGGACTGGTCAACGGACGCCCCTTGAGAATTAGACATGCAATGCAAGGGTTCCAACCAGGACCATGTTCCAGTGAGATTTGACGCCAGGACATATGGTTGTCAAAAAGGATACGGAAGGGTTGGTGATGAACCAAGACATTCAAGATGATGACAAGTGCTTGGAAGGGTTCCTAGTTTTGGCTCATTCGTTAAGACAAGGCACTTGTCTACGTTGACATGGCAGATCGAGAGCGGAAACATGTTGAACCATGGCCGTTGTTTTCTTTGTTGTTTGTTTATGCCACGACAAGCTTCCATAAACTCCGTATGATACTTGTTGACAATTATGTCAGGTGTATGACAGCAAGATGCCGCTTACCCCAAAACCTTCCGAAGTGAAGTGTTTGATGGTTTTTGGTGGTTTTTACTGGAAAACCCGAAGGAACGCCACCATCTTGGGTGTCGGCCAAAAAAACAATTATGCCCATTTCTTCATAAAAGGGAAGGCATCCAGACATCCGTTGTACTTGCTATAGGGACCTTGGCTTGCGCCAGATTCGATTCGGGATCATCCGGGGGAGGGGCGGATGCGATATCATGAAATCATGGATGGACTGCAAAGGTCTCATTCTGATTGTCCCAGTTGCCCAGTGGTGCACTCTTTCCTTTTTTTGGGAGAGTTCCCCTTTTTGGTCAACCAACCAAACAATGATGCCTTTTTTCCCATGGCCACTGGGTATTTGAGTTGTGTGGGTGGGACCAAATCCCTTTCGCACCACCGTTCAGACACCCTGGTTGCATGATGATTCGCTTGTAAACACCAACAGACAAGCGTTGCCCGTGGTTTCAAAGTGGTGCAGGATTTCGTCCATGCACAGTATGGTATGTGATAAGTAAGTATCACCTGATATTCTCTGATATCGTGGCCTGATATGATATCACACTTGTTTTCCGAGTCAATCCGACAATGTGATATGAACGGTACTGTACAACTGAATTCTTGTATATGTA